AAACGTCAAATCACAATCAGTTGTAATTTTTCTTTTGTTTAACCCTCCTTCCAGGACCACCAGCTCAATCTGAAGGTATTGTTTGAGGCACTGAGTGGGCAGTTCTACTCTGTTGCCACACCTTTTGTCCTGTCAGAGATGGTTGTGAGGGGTCTCTCATTTGAAGTCCTGTTTGATTGTCAACCAAATCAGTGTGGAAGCAGAAGTACATTGGGTACTTACAGTAGGTGCCACCTTGGAAAATGTTATTTAAACTTGTTTGTCTTAGTGTTTGGAAAAAACTCTTAACTTAAACATTAAATTAAATTAAATACAACCATTTCAAAAACTCTCCTCAAGGAAGACCATTACTTACAGTTACCATTCAAATCTGCACTCTCTAGAAAAAGGAGGTTCTTTGAGCGATGTCAAATAAGAACCACTTTTAGTTCCCTAAAGAACTATATTTGAAAACAGGATTTTGAATTTGAAGAACCTTTTAATGGTTTAAAGGACCATGACTGTAACAACTCTAAATTGGTCAGTTCTCCACCAATTTAAGGGGTCTCACTGCATGTCAAGGTCCTTAAATTGATTGGTTCCTCACAGAACCTCTACATTATGTGGAGGTTCTTTAAAAAGGTTCTTCACACACACATCTTATTTTCAGAATAGATCTTTAAATAACTAGTGATTGAACGGTTCTTTAGGGAACCAGAAATGATTCTTCTATGGTTTCACACAAATAACCTTTTTAGGCACGTTTATTTTTAAAGAGTGTAGCTAATCAGTCCTTATTATGTTAAATTTGACAGCAAAACATTATATTCTTCTTAGCCAAGAGTTACATAATTTGCATAAGGTCGGAAATACTGAGAGTAATTATGTTAATTGACATCAAATTAACTTATTCTGCCGAGAGTGAAGATCCATAGACCTTCAAAACGAGTTTGTGCTTTTCTGCAGTGTTATACACTTATGTGACTCTATCACACAGTTCTACCTCTAGCCTTGACTTCTCTAATCCAATCAGTTGTTTGCATAAAAGTTTGGTTTATGTACTTCCTTTTCTCCTCGCCTGAACATATATATATATATATGTATCTCAAAACTATCCTAAAAACAATGTCTCAGACATCAGGCAGTGTATTCATAACCATTTCATGTACTAACTTTCTGTGAGGGAGCTTTTAGAGGTGGACGTCTGGTTCCTATCACCGCCACTGTGAAAAATTCTGACTCTGTAACTTTCTCTAGAGTGGAAAATTTCACACCAAACCACTCTGAATTACTTTGTTTACTTCTTAAGCATTTAATCATGCAGAAATTTTGAAAATTTAGTGGCGTTCCACTTTAAATGCCCCCCTAGGAGTTGGAAGTGAATATTGTGAGAACACATGAATGTTTGGTACAGAAGGTTTTTACAACAAAAGATCATGCAAAGTTGGTTAAAAATTATGTGTCAGTAAGAGAAGAAAGTGATGCACTGCTGTGTTCTTTGCTGCAACCCAACTTTGCCCATGTGTTGTTAGTTAGAGCAGTTAAGTGTGACTGCTTATTAAAGTGTGGTACAGTTTATGAGGGGAAACAGGAAAAATATCAGAATTAGGAAAAACTGTTTTAATCAGCTAGAGTTACTGTCTAATTACATTTGCAGTAATATAACAGTGCAAGCATTTCTACTGCAAAATGCATTTGAGTTCTAGATAAAGTACAGTGGGTTGATACTTTCTAATAGGGTTAGTCAGCATTTTCAGCTTCTTGATTAGTGCATTTTTACTAACCACAGTGTTTTAAGCTCTTGGCTGGTTGTGTTGTTACTAATTGCTATATGTTTATGGATAGAAACCGTTGATGTACAGAATAGTGAATGATTGCTCATTAGAATGCTTCCCCTCTTTAAAACCTACACGTGATGTATATTAATACAGGCTGTCCAAACTTTTTGACATGCAGCAGTTCAGAACAATTACAGCCTCTTTTGCAAATCTTCAGCTCAAACTGTAAGAGCAGAAAATTGAATAACTCATTTAATTCATTTAATAAATGTACTCTGTAAAAGATGCCATACCTCAGTAATGTGCGTAATCCTTCTTCAGCTCCAGAAAGCCTCTAGGGATGACATGAATACAAGTTGTCAGAACTGCAGATCCTAAATTATTGCACAAATTCTCAGGAGGAAAAATAGGAGTTGTTCTTCAAAGATTGAAATCCCTGAACAGACATGAGAAGATGCTGTCAGTATGAGGAGCTATGTGTGAAACAAAGACCTCACACTGATCACAGCTTCACTGAATTCTTGACTACTGCTGAACACGCTTTGTTAGCACTCATATGTTTCTCATCACTACTTGAAACCTGGCCAAAATTGTAAGCTTATATGTTCAATGGCTCGTCCTTATAAAGGTTCTTCGGGTAGGTCCTCACGTTCCTGCACACCGTGAGTGGGTGGCTGCTTGCCATTGTATTATTTCACATGTATTGGAATACTTTGGGGCTTGAGGAAACATAATATTGCCTAATTTGTGACTTTTTTTAAAGTACTCATCTAAATCCATGTTTTTTTATGTTTTGGTTTTTGGATTCTTTGCTCACAGTTAACTGAAAAATAGCCATTACATGAAGGCATTAGACAGAAAATAATACATAAAATATACATAACAACCTGATCCTTTCATAATGTCACTGTCAGAACAAAATCTCTAAAAATGATAACTTTAGAGGAGAAAGATGAAAACATTCTTAGCTTATAATGGAAGTTCATGTAAAATATTTTTTTTTTCCAGTTAATTTTGGACCATCTTTACTGGTCCATTCATCGTGAAATATTAATACAGTGTAAAAGGTGTTTAAATTATGTAAAAATATTAAAAAACAACAAATATGAACGCACAAGGTTTTGTTCCAACTGCAACCATATGCAAATAAATTAATTTATTAGGGCAAAATATGTTCGAAGAATTAATTCAAATCAAGTAATCAGTGAAAAAGTAGGTGTAACACTTAAATGTCAGCTGGAATGAGCGTCAGTATCTAATATACCTAAACTCTTGCGTGTTTCTGAATGTTGTATAACCGTTTTCCAGGGCATAACATGACAATGTGCTTGCAACAGCACAAAATCTTCCTAGGGTTGTATTTATGGCATGCTAAGTGGTGCCAAATATGTGTAGGTTTGGCAAGGAACTTGTAAATGATGGAAGTCCTCCTCTATTAAAGTTTTAGAGCATTTTCCCCCAGCCTCAAGAGCCATCACTTTTTCCGAAATGGTAACAGTTCTCAAACTGGTGGACCACTTAATGTATGTACAGCAGTTCCTGCTGGTAGTAATTACTATTCGTCTATGACTTCCAAAACTGACAAGCTGCTAATGCACAAACATCAGTTGTAGGAAATGTGTAATCTAATACCCAACAATGGTAGACAGCAATGGACAACTGTAATAGACACTTATTCCCTCCCTGCCTCCTCTCATTGGCAGTCTTTTTCTTTCTTCATGTAATATGTATGAATGTCAGAACATTTTCAGAGTATTTCTGAAGGCATATATTCAGTATATAAGTGCATTACTGAGAGACATTGCTAGTTTATTACATTATAATATAGAAAAATGCTACCCAACTTCATCATTACTCACAGTTCATACTTCTTTTCTGAGAACAGCCGTCAGCAGTGACTCATTTTTGGCTACCTTTAAACATTAAAGTGTGGCAGAGAATCTGGAGCTTAAGGGGTCATTCCTGTGATCCCATGGTTGTTCCAGGGTTATTTTATACGAGTAGCATTAGGCTAAAATGTCAGCTAAATGACAACATTCTGAGGTGTTTGGAAAAATCTGTGACCTAAGAACTGCAGTTGACCCGTACATGACTCTGTGCGAATACTTACAGTATATTATTTCTAGTCAAAATGACTTTAATTACAAGTTAGTAATGTCAAGAAATTTTTCTAAAGATTTCAAGGTAGTCCACTAGGAAAAGGAAAGAAAAAAAGGAGTTTCCAAAACTGGATTTTAAAAATGAATAAAAGCTGCAGAGAAAATGGGACTCCTAACAACCATGTGAGACCTGGTAGACACTAAAACTGCCCCATCAGATAAAACAGCACTTAAAGCTTTCATCTTTGAGAGAGAGGAGAAAATCAAGCTCCACCCGTGTTTCTGTCCATCCGCCATGGGGCAGTTTTGGTGGTCTAAGACACATCAAACAAAGAAGCTGCTGGTGTTCTTAGAACAATAGACTCACCACCTCAGAGTCCAGACCTCAACATCACTGAATGTGTTTGGGATGGTGAGAAGCACACCCAGCTTTTAAGACTGAACTTTGGAAGTGTAGAAAAATATCGCTGCAGATTTCTTTGAAAACCTGAAAGCAAGTCTCCAGAAAAGAATGGAAGTTTTAAGTAGGGCAAAACGTAGACGCACTAAATACTGGACAAAATTATATTCAGTTGTTGAGACTTTGTAATTTTCTGCTTTTTTCCTGACTCTGAAAAATGAATAACTTGTACTAAATGGCCAGTTTGACTGGAAATTAAATAAATGAAGGGTGATCTTTTTCCTACTGTACTGTAGATACTGTTAGGTCAGCTATAATAGAGGCTGATTATGTCTAAATATGTATTTTATTCTTTGTTTTTAGTCATCATTGCAAATAGACATTCAAAACTGGGGAAAAAGTCAAGAAAATGCTTGTCCAATTAATATTAAGTGCGGTCAAATAGGTTCCGACTCCTGGTGACCATATGAGTAGTGTTTTTCCAGAATATCCTCATGTCTGTTTTGGGCCCTAATGGCTTGTTCATAGTTACTCTGATTGTCTCCATCCATCTTCCCCTTTTACCTTCAGCTGTTCCAAGCATAATAGCTTTACCTAATGTATTGGTTCTTCTCTCTTGACCAAAATAAGAGCTTCAGTTTGGTTGTCTGGACTTTCAGTGAGAGGTGAAACTTGATTTGATCAATAATACGCTTTTTTCTTTGTCGTCAAAGGTGATCTCAAAAGACTGCAAGAAGTCATCAGTATCGTTCCTGTCTCTCTCTTTTATTGTGCAGCTTTCACATCCATAAAGAACCACAAAAAACATGGCCTGACAGTTCTGATAATCTTTGTTAGTAGAGACAAATCATTACATATGGATTCCCAAGAGCCTTTAGTTAGAAAGTGAATAAGATTTAGAGAATCTCCAATGCAGCTGTGTTACCTTGAGTTGCTTGGAAACAGGAGGACAGTACATACATGAACCATATGGACTCATTATTCTTGACAAATCTAGCCATAGAGTGCATTTGTACTTAAAAACATTCCATGTTTTTAAATATATTGACTAAATTGCAGCTGATGTTTATCACAGTACTTTTGCATCTACTGTTTCACATAATCCTGAAATCGGAACATGCAGACATCCAAAATGATGAATGTATGTCCAGTAGCAGTTATTTAAAGATGAATTTCAGTGATTTTTCATTGTTTTTGTGTAATTAAATGGTTAAGATGTACAACAAAGTTATTTTCAGTTTTGGTTTAGTGTGAAATTCCATTCTCTGTGTTCAGATTTGTTCACAGTGGTGATGATAGGAACCAGACATCTGAAGAGTTTAATGCTTCTGAAAGTTACATCACAGTAAACTATAACATAAGATACTCATGAATTCACTGCCTGATGTCTGAGACTGTGTTGATAGTTAGGAGATGGTTTTGGCTCATAACATATTTTGAAAATACATTTGTTCATTGTGAGGCAAAACAGAATACATTTTTTGTTTACGTTTATTTTTCCACTATTTTATATTTTGACACAAAACTCCCATAGGTTCACGGTTGGTTAGTAAATATAATGACCATGTTTGTGTTGTAGACATCATGACCCCTGGTTCCTATCACCACCACTGTTGTCTGCAGTGAACCATTTCACATCAAACCACTCTGAATGACTTTACATCTCAGCCACTGAATTATGCAGCAGTTTTGAAAAATTTGTGAAATTCCACTTTAATCAAGTGTAAAAATGAAAGATGCTTAGAGGGTTGTTTTATGCATTTTATTAAACACCATATTAAATATGAATATTCCACTTAATTCTGAGCCAGCCAAGTGTAGTGGTCAGTAGAAATCAGTGACTTTGTTAAAAATCAAACATTTGCTTTTGAAATAAGTGCCCCTGTAGTGTGGAGCTATTTTATGAATACTGTGAAAATAAATCAACATATAAAAATTTTAAGTCAGTAGTAACCATCTGTTGGCCTTTTTAGTGGAGTTATGTAAAACACATTCATGGTAGAACGATTGTATAAGCTATTACATAGTTAATTTTTGAGAAGCCACACTTTCTTTTATAGTAGCTGCAATATGACAAATTCAACCTGAAACAGAATACTGATGTGTACAGAATCATATCCCAACATGCACTAAAGGCCTGGGTTTTTCTGTTCTGTCATTTTTCCCTGACTGGCGCATTGGAAAGTTAAACGTGTCCCTTTAGGACGCACAGAAAGACAGTTTAAATAGGTGCCAACAACCGCAGACATCTGCTGACTGTTCCACCGACCAGTAAGCAACTGACTCATTTCTCAGAGCCAGTGAATAAAGTCTTCTGTCATAATGCGATTAGTACATTTGACAGTGATCTCAATGCAGAATATTATACATTATGAAACGTTTGGAAGAAGTTAAATGACTGAGAGTAAAATGAGCATACTTAATAGGCTGTTATTTAATCCTTTGAGGCTTCAAAACGACACTGGAATAAGACCTAACACAAGAGAACGCTGCTGGAGGGATTTTCCGTGGGTCGAGGAGGTTGTTCTCGAGGCGCAGGGCTACAATGTGCGAATCCTCCTCATTCAGTGGGTCGCAGATATCGTCCTCTCCGATGTGCCTGTTGGGTGAAACATTTGAAATGCTCATAATCTTTCAGCAGATCTTTTTGCAGAGCAGAAAGGTAGTTCATTCATTCAGTTTGCTTGATTAATGGAATAAGGAAAACAATATTTATTTGCTGCAGTTGTAATAGATCCCGGTTACACTGTAGGCAAGGTTGTCTTGGGTGGGCCAGACCTGCAGCATGTGAACCCATGTAGGGTTCATCTGATGTGATTCCATTCTAGATTTAACTTTTAGCTAGCATATTTAGGCACTAGCATGTCATCACTGTTCAAAGAAAACCGTGTATCTCCATTTTTGTCGATTTTTTTTCTACGTTATTTTTAACACACCAGCTGTCCATTATGGTGTGCGAAAATTTCATGATGATGGGACAAATTGAAATGCTCCAAAATCACTTGGAATAAAACCTCTTTACATTAACTTACATTAAAAGGTAAGAGCCTTTTTGGCCTCTCCTGTAAACTTTTTATTTTGGAGATGCTTGTTTGTCTTGTTTGTGAGAACTATTCTGTTTTAGACATTGAGTGTTTACATGCCTCATAAAGGGATTTCTGCAGTTATCTGATTATTCAAATGGTCATGTAAACAGCTTACTCCGATTTCTTAGATCAGAGTAAGGTCTAGAAATCCGATATAGAGAGCTGTATTTTAGCTCAGTAATCAGATTTCTCAGTGCATGTAAACTCTTACTCTGATTTCTTTCTGATTTTTCAGTCTGAGCATGTGCGAAAGCAGACCACGATACCGGAAATAAGCGAGCAGTTTTGACGTGAGATGGCAGCAAAACACTTTTGGAGCGATGCTAAAACCAACTGCATGATTGATGAAATGAAGGATTTAAATATTCTTCATCTTCTAGATGATGTATGTTCATATTTTCAGGTAAAGTGGCGCGATGCTTAAAAAAAAGCAGCGGCATGAAGTTTTGAGTTTTACATTGCGCTCATGTCACATGAGTTTATTGGCTGGTTGCAATGCAGAAATCTGATTACTGCCTGACTCATGTAGAGCCGGAGTTTCCCGTTATCTGATTATTCAAGTGCATGTAAACGCATTGATCGGATTACTGGAATCTGATTTTCTGTAGTTATCGGATTATTAAGTGCATGTAAACGCATTCATTGTTCAACTGCCTCACACTATCCTGAGTTCTTCACATGTCATGATGGGCGTCTAATGGTAGTCAATTGCTGAAGACGGAGACCAACTTATTAAACAATTGGAATCAGGTGAGCACCAGCTTGTTCGACATGAAAACCTGCAGTCACACTGGCCCTTTGCGGAAAAGATTGGACACCCCTAATCTAAAGCAATTAATTTCTTGATTTTTCAGGCATACTTTGTTTTTGTCTGATACCCCTAATACAAACCGTGAAATAGTTCCACACGGAACTGTTGCTCTGCTGCTGCTTGAACTTTTTAAACCCGACTGCACTGATTAGCGCAGGAAAGCAAAGAAAAAAAACAGCATTTATAATCACTATTTTTCATTTAATTTTTTACATTTTCGTTTTCTCTTTTGGTGGCGACAACTTTGGTACTTTTTTTTGTATTTTAAAAATAGTGTTCAAATTAATTTCTCCTCTCGCCACGGAATCCTGTGAAGCGTGGTGCCTTGGGCGGTCAGACCAGTTGCCCTCACCCGGCTGTAGGCATGTGGCTAGTATGATAGTATAGATGTGTTACGTTCAGAACAAGGTTCGGCAACCCAAATGTTAAGAAGAGCCGTTTTGTCCTTTCAACAAAAATCAAACCACTTTGGGAGACACAACATTTTATGTCTGTTTTACCATCTTGGCTATAAATATGTAACTGCTGCTCCATTTAAGGTGGAACTGGATAATTTGAACGAGAAGCTGACTTCAGCTTTGTGACTTTTTAGTGTTCGACAGTTTCTTGTTGCAGATTAAATGTATCAGGAAAACAGCTGGAGTGATTAGAAATGCAAGTCCATTCATCTTCAAATCATCGACGTTCATCTTAAATCTTTCTCTTTGCCATTTCATTAGCTGCTAGCTAGGTGAGACTGTTGTCTGCATTGCTATGTGATCAGCAGTCTTTGCACCAACCTTCAGGGTTAAAGGGTGAATTAGCAGTTCTACATTAACTCCAGCGTTTAAGACTATTGTTAAAACTGTGTTTGAACGCAGAGCTTTATTTTACCGCAAAGGAGGATTATTTTATTTTTTACCCAAAAAAATCTAATTCTGCTGTGGAGTCGTAACAGGGCAGTAAAGGGCCATGTGTTGCCGACCCCTGGTTTAAGATGATGTAAAATACTTTGCCGATTTATTTTGGCAATGCACGCTAATAATCATAGTACAGTTATAGTTGGCCCATGAACTATAACTTTAGTGTGCCTTGTTATGGAAGAAATGACAAAAATGAATCATACCTTATGTTGTTGTTGTTTAGTCTGAGGAAATGTATTGATGTCATCTCACTAACACCAGAAGGGACACTGGTCAGTTGGTTGTGGTCTAGACAAAGCTCTGTCATGGTTTTCAGCGTTCCAAAGAAAGACTCTGGTTCCACACCATCACCATCGAGCTTGTTGTACGATAGGTACAGGTACTCCAGACCAGGCTCCAAATGTGCAAATACGTATCCTGGGATGCGTTCAATCTGATTGCCAACCAATCCCAGGTGAACCAAAGACTTTGGCAGGAACGATGGGACCAAGTGGAGTTTGTTGTATGACAGATCAATCGATTCCAGGTTCCTTTTAGGACATTTGCAAAAAAGAAGGTGTTGTTTATTCATGTTGTATACAAGAAGTTAGAATATATTTTTTCCCAGAAAAAAACATAAGGAATTAGGATATTTCAAGAGCACATACCTGTGATCAATCCAGGCTAAAGGGGCAATGCGTGATTCATCTATTTTATTGTCTCTCAGCACAACGACATTTAGGTTTTTAGTTTCATTGAAAGCTCCTTCAGATATTTCCTCAATTAGATTGTGTTCAAGGTGTAACTCCTGAAAAACAAAGTGTAGAATAATCTGTAAAGTGTCTTTTGTGGAATAATAACACCGAACATCTTGAGGACTTGACAAGGCAGTTACATTAGTCTTGGTAGTTCCCAAGGCTAGTGATGTATCCAGTAATTGTGCTAAGGTTATGACTTAGGTTAACCATAAATTACTGTGTTGGTTTTAAACCATTTTTTCACAGGTGAACCAGTGCTGGTTTATAAAGGATATTTTAAGCATATGTTTAAGGTCAAAAATTCATTGTTTCTTATTTATCTTTATATATTCTATATATATGTAAGATATAACTTTGCTCAGTTGGCTCTGACTTTGTGGATAATCTGTCTTCATGACAAAAATACCTGCAAATATGGTGGTAGACCTTGAGGAATAGTGCGGAAGAAGTTTCTGCCCATCCGTAGATAGGTGAGCTCTTTCGTTGGCCTGAAGGCTTGAGGATTTACATTTTCTTCGTTCAGTGAATTTGCTTCCATTTCCAAGGTAACCAAACTGTTCAGACCTGCCAAGAATTGTGCCAGTATGTTTTAAAAAGTGTTTTTGTAACTCAGTACACTATGGACTATAGAACAGTACTGTGCAAAAGTCAGAGACCACCCTTAGTTTAGTTATTTCCAGTCAAAAATGACAAAATATAAATTATTCATTTTTCACGAGAATATTTCTAAGGATATTAGATGCAAGATAATCCACTTGTGTAAGGAAGAGGAAAGTCAAATGAAAATAAGTGTAAAAAGCAATAGTTTCCAAACCTGGAGTTAAAAAAACTGATTAAAAGCTACAGAGAAGATGGGACTCCTAACAACCACCTGGAAGACCTAGTAGACACTAAAACTGCCCCATCAGATAAACAGCACTTAAAGCTTTCATCTTTGAGAGAGGAGAGAAAATCAAGCTGCTTCAGATCTGAAAACATCCACAGGTGTTTCTGTCCATCCTTCCACTGTGAGAAGACAACTCAGCGCTGTGGGGCTGAAAGGATGTGTAGCTGTCAAGAAGACTCACTGAGAAAAGGAGACAGACACATCAAACAAAGAAGCTGAACAATGGACTGACCACCCCAGAGTCCAGACCTCAACATCACTGAACGGATTACTTGGATCGAGAGAAGCAGAAAATGCAAAACCAGCTTCTAAGACTGAACTTTGGAGGTGTGGAAAAATATTCCTGCAGATTTCCTTGATTTCCTTTTCATGTAAAAAGGGTGAAAGTTAAAAATGTTTATGCTAATATTGACATTGCAAGAAATGTAACTAAAAATCATTATTCATTATGCAAAGGACAGCCAATCATTGTGCTAAAACGTGAATTTTTGTTTTTCAGCTGGTCATATTTATCTGTTTCTTGCTTTCATCATGTAAAAACATGGAGCTACATTGGAAATCTAGGTTAAACAATGCCAGGAATGAACAGAATCATGATGACACAGCAGTGTTAACAAGTGGCAGTTCCCAACGCTGTGGGTCTGAGAGGATGTATAGCTGTCAAAAAGAAATTGACAAAAAAGTAAAAAAAAAAAAGTAATTATAATAACAATAAATCTGTATAAATAAATGAAGGATGGTGTCTGACTTTTGCTCAGTAATCTATCCAATAGTCTTGTGAAAAGCACTTTTTGTTTTAGCACTGGTAAACCCCTTTTGTTTGTGTTTTTCTCCACTGAGAAACCTGATCCAGCTCACGGAAAGTTTGGCAGATCATTTGATTCAGTCAGTATTAAACTGCAGTATCATATTTCCTCAGGACTGCATGTTTGGTACAGATAACTTACCTTCAAAGCTGTTTTCATCAATCCCTTGTAGGTTGTTTTCATTGATCTTCAGTTCTTGCAGAGTAGGTGGAAGCCCTCGAGGAATTTCTTCCAGCAAATTTCCGTCCAGGTATAGCCGGGTTAGGAATTTAAGGCTCTGTAAACAAAAATAGAAGTTCATACTTTAACATCTTTAAATCTTTTACTACAATTTAACCGTTTACACACCACCCTTGGTCATAATAAACGTATTATATCATAGTATTAAAACAGCTATTATAGTCAGGCCCAGTCTTTTATGATGATAAATTTTATTAGTTTTATCAGAACCACCCAGCGCTAATTTATTTTGCAGACTACAGAGCACAAGTGAAGGTAAAGAAGGAGCTGAACATCTTGGCGTCTCTAATATTTCTCTTGATGGTGTGCCATGGAATTCTGTTTTCATTTGAAATGGCTGTGAAAGGCCTCAGCCCTTATGTAAACTGTTGTCAGTACTGATCTGTCTCAAGTCATGCACAAGGAAATATGTTTTGATGGGTTTGGAAATGTGGTGGTGTCATTTGTGATTGTGGCCATATTCATGTTTTTATTAATAGGCCTAATGTGTGTATGTACTGTACTGCACTTTTAAAATGGTCCTTACTTTGAATGCTTGAGGGTCAATGCCTGATGACAAGATCTTATTTTTTCCCAAATCTATCCATTCCAAATTTGGTACGCCATTGAACGCACCACCTGGAATGGTAGTGATCGCATTACCTGTGGATTTACAAAATAAAAGCACTTGTTAAATACTGCAAATGCATTGATATAGATGTGGAATTACAATCTCTGGTGTACAGTCTTTGTGTGTCATGCTGAAGATTGCAGTGTCTTTAAAGCTCTGGTGCTGCTAATCTTTTCTCTAGTTAGTTAATAGAATAGTTCTGTAGGTTATTATGAAAGCACAATTATTATGTCGATCTTATTCCATTTTTTTTTTCATTTTAAATGATGCTGTCTACTTAAATTGTTGTTACGATGTTTTAGGGGTTGGTGATATGGCAAAAATATAGATTATTCCCTACAATATATTGTTATTCCCAACAATAACGTGAAGCATTAGGCAGTTACACCATTTGGTGATCTCTTTTAATCTTTTTTAATATATACATACAGTTTTAAAATGATTTTTTTTTATTTATTGTAGTAGTGCATTGATTTGGGAATTGTGAAACGATGCCAATATAATATTTTTCATGTATATATCTGTCAATGCATGAACATTTATAAAATGTAGAAATTAGGACTTCATCTACCTGGATTAGCATTACAGAGTAGTGCAACATATATATTTTTATGTGGATACACATACTGAAAAATGAATGACATGCATAGATTTTAGCACAATGACCCAGCATCGTCCAAACTTTCTGCTCTTTCGGAGTACAATAAATAAAGCATTAAATATCAGTTGGAAATATCAGCCAAATCAAAACTTTTTATTAATTTATTTTCAAGCAATATCTGTTGATATGATTTCGATACCACTGTGTGTCCCTTATTTGTTGTATATTATCTTGTTTATTTATTTTGCTTGCAATTTAAAAGCCTAACCAGGCACAATTTAGCTTTGAATAGAAACATATTTATGCAAAAGTTTGAACACCCATGGTCACATTACACGTTTTGTTGGAGTGAAAATAAATATAAAAAAGTGAAATTTTCAACTCCTTGGGACCACCTGTGGTTCCAAAACGCACTTCGTCATATTCTTGATAACTTTCATATTTCAAAAGCCACATTCAAAAGGTGGGTGTAACTGTCTTCTTTCCTGTCAAATAAAAGGGAAATGTAATTTTAAACCCTTATAATAAAAGAAGCTGAACTCAGTCGACCCATTTTTTCACAAATCTGGGCTATGAACTATAAACAGATGGTGTCTCTTCAGTGATCTGCTCTGTAAAAATTATTTTTATAAAAAAATACGAAGAGCGTCTAAGATTTTTGGCTTTCAACAGTAAATTGTAAGCATATAGCGATATGTGTATGATCATAACACATTTTCTGTCAATTTGAGGGGAGCTTTTACAAAAAATAAATAAAATAAAAATTTACAGTTATTTCGTGCAGTTATTTACTTACGATTTGGTCATGTAAATTCAGATGGAAAAACCAAAATATACCCTGGTCAATAAGAGGTTAACACACCCACAGGCATTATTCTGCAGTTCTTAGTGCACAATTTCTATTTATTTGCTGAGTTTAACTGGGAAAAATTAAAACACAAAATATAAAATATGCCATAGCTTTTGCACAGGCCACATTTTATGTTTTATTTTTTCTTATTCATATATATATATATATATCGATCAAGCATAACAGTCAGACCACCTCCTTGTTTCTACACTCATTGTCCATTTTATCAGCTCCACTTCTGTCTTGATTGGGTGCCACTGCTCGCCGTGCAAACCTCACCCTCACAACCTGATGCTGCTGCTGCTGCTGCCGCTGCTGCTGCATAAACTAAACTAATCAAATTAATCATTTGCTCCACCTGTTTTCCCTGTTTTTGTACTATAATACTTTATACTAACAATGTTTTACTATCCGGTGTCGACCAGAGGAGGATGGGTTCCCCTTCTGAGTCTTGGTTCCTCTCAAGTTTTCTTCCTGTTTCTCTTAGGGAGTTTTTCCTTGCCACTGTCGCCTCTGGCTTGCTCTTGGGGGCTTGGACCCGGATTTCTTTCTGTAATGCTGATTTCCTTGTAAAGCTGCTTTGTGACAACACCTGTTGTAAAAAGCGCTATATAAATAAACTTTGCTTGCTTGCTACTTACTATATAGGTGCACTTTGTAGTTACAATTTACAATTACAGACTGTAGTCCATCTGTTTCTCTGCATACTTTATTAGCCCCTTTTTACCCTGTTCTTCAGTGGTCAGGACCCCCATGGACCCTCACAGAGCAGGCAGGTACTATTTGGGTGGTGGATCATTCTCAGCACTGCAGTAACACTGATGTGGTGGTGGTGTGTTAGTGTGTGTTGTGCTGGTACGAGTGGATCAGACACAGCAGTGCTGCTGGAGTTTTTAAACACTGTGTCCACTTACTGTCCACTTTATTAGACACTCCTACCTTATCAGTCCACCTTGTAGATGTAAAGTCAGAGACGATAGCTCATCTGCTGCTGCACAGTTTGTGTTGGTCATCCTCTAGTCCTTCATCAGTGGCCACAGGATGCTGTTGGCTGGATATTTTTGTTTGGTGGACTATTCTCAGTCCAGCAGTGACACCAAGGTGTTTAAAACTCCAGCAGCACTGCTGTGTCTGATCCACTCAGACCAGCACAACACACACTAACACACCACCACCACATCAGTGTTACTGCAGTGCTGAGAATGATCCCCCACCCAAATAGTACCTGCTCTGTGAGGGTCCATGGGGGTCCTGACCACTGAAGAACAGGGTAAAAGGGGGCTAACAAAGTATGCAGAGAAACAGATGAACTACAGTCTGTAACTGTAGAACTACAAAGTGCACCTATATAGTAAGTGGAACTGATTAAATGGACAGTGAGTGTAGAAACAAGGAGGTGGTCATAATGTTATACCTGACCTGTGTGTGTGTGTGTGTGTGTGTATGTATGTATATATATATATATATATATATATATATATATATATATATATATATATATACACACACACACACACACACACACATATATATGTATATACATATATGTATCGCTGTTGTCGGAAGAAAACCTCCATTTTTGTTGTTTTTCAGTTTTTGCCTGTTGTCCTTTACATTGTATATAAATTTCATGATGAATGGACCAAAAGAAATGACCCAAAATGACTTGGAAAAATTCTGGTTCCATTGACTTACATTAAAAGTAAAGTAGGTTTTGTCCTTCTCCTGTAAAGTTACCATTTTGGAGATACAAGGTTTTGTTCCGACAACAGCAGAATATGAATATATATATATATATATATATATATATATATATATATATATATATATATATATATATATATATATATTACGATGTTACCCTCCTGAGCTCCAGAGAGATGACACGGTGATGTAATATATTATGATAATGATATTGTATCATCATTATGTGACAGTTATTTACTGTCAGGCATTTCAATGACTTGGTTTGTCCTGTGTTCGGTTATGTTGGCTTTCTTACCCTCCAGACTGAGAGACTTGAGCTCAGGGATGGAAAGAGCAGGAATGCTGGTAAGTTTGGCATTCTCACAGGAGACAATGACATCAGAGATTGTGCAGCCTTTAGGGAGTGAGTAGGTAATCCTCCGAGACTCTTCATCCTTCTCCTTCTCCCCCTTCTTTCCTTCCCCCTCTTCTTCCTCATCCTCCTCCTCCTCATCCTCCTGACTGGTCTCAGGAGGTGGGGCTGACAGTGGTGGAAGGCTTTCAGGGGTTGGCTCATGCGATGGCATTTGGAAAACATCACCTCTCAACCAGATCTCTTCTTCCTCTTCGTCACCGTCATTCTCCACTTTCATTCCATGCTGGACTCTCTCTGCCGCTTCCTCAAAAACCCTCAGCATCTCCTTCTGTTCCATCTCCAGCTTCCTTATCCTCTCCTCCTCAAACCGTCGGTGTTCCTCCATCCTCCTTTTCTTCTCCTCTGCTGCAGCCTTCTCCTCCTTTGCCTGCTCTTCTTCCTCCAGCTGTTTTCTCAGTCTTTCCTCTTCTTTCTTTTGCTTCTTTCTCCTTTTGCGTTCTGTGTCTTTCTTACGATGGCGCTCCTCTTCTTCCTTGTACTTATCCCCTCTTGGACCTTCGTCAGTGTGTGCGTGGACTTGTGGAACTGTACCGTAACTCGGATCGTTAGGAACGGGAGAATCACCAGAGTTTTCAGAAACGTCTTGAACTGCGATTGTGGCAGAAGCACATGTAGAGTGATCAGAGGAAGGTATAATAAAAGAGGAGAACATTAGAAGCAAATCTATAACTGAACAGTAGCTCTGTAGTAGATGTTAACATGAAAATCATGAATCGTGTAAAACAGTCAGTCACATTTTGTCCTGTCGATCGGTTTGATGCAATTGCTCTAAAAGTGTTTAGATGGAACTTCAGTGCAGACAATGCATTTTAAATACCTGGGTCAATGCATACTGGACAGCACTCCCCAATAGGTTTAAATTTGAGTTGGCAGTGTAGCAGAGGGCATTGCATTTCATCACACACCACTTCTCCACTGGAGCATAGGCAGGTGACGCAGGGCTTTGGTGACCACACAGTTTTATCGAACATAGTGATGCCCCGAAACACACACTGTCCTGTGTTCCCTGAAAAATACAGTTGTTGGTTTAGCAAGTTTCAAATAGCTCAGATAAGCACACAAAAACCAACCTGAATTTCTACCTGAAACCTGAAAGTTGTATGTGAAATGGAAATAATATCAAAAAGTCGTAATGTGAAAATCCACTTCGAACTGTAAATAAACCAATAGTACAATAACAAGATGAATGTTTTTAAAGTTTTCCAGTTCACCGTTTTTTTTGTAAATATATGCTTATTCTTAAATTAATGCCTGCAACAAGTTCCAAAAAAAGTTATTTGGGACAGGGACAAGTGAAGACCAGGAACATTGGAAAATGTCCAAAAACATCTGAAAAACATGATGATGCTTGGGTGGAGAATTCAGGACCTACACCTTTATGAGCGAGGTGGGTCAAGGCTTCCACCAGTGAATCATTTAATGGTTAAGAACATTGGGCCTCATTGAATTTGTTCTTGAGAAAGGTCCTAAGAAATCTGACCACATCAGATTCATGACGTGTTCTTAAACCACAGAATTGTTCACACCTTGGTGCTCTTGAGTGTACATAGATTTTGTTCTTACCTACAAACAAATGGGTTATTGTAAGTTTTCTGTGTTTCACCGTCTTTAGAACACAATATCATTAAAAGACTCAGGGAATCCAGAGAAATCTTTGTGTTGAAAGGGCAAGACTGAAAAACACAACTGGATGCCTGACCTTTATTCCCTCAGACAGCTCTGTATTAAAACTAACATGTTTCTGTGATGAATATCACCACATAGGCTCAAATACTTTGTCGATAAATACATGCTTGTTGCTGCAACCATAAAAAGTAAGACCACCGATGCGCAGTATAAACATGTATTGTGGTCTGATGAGTCTCTGTTCTGTTTGTAAACGTGCACCTCTCCTAATTTTCTTGGAACGTGTTACTGGTATCAAATTTGGAATGAGTGTATGAAGAATAAAGGTTTGCAAAATAAAAGACCAAATTTCAGTTTAATAAGTAATTAACCGTTGACTGATTTCTGTTTGTATTAGCATTTCACATACTGTCCTGACTTTTTCTAAATTGAGATTTGTATTAACTTACATATTAACTTGCATACTTCATACTTACAAAGAATATTGTGAGACCACCCATTTCATATTGTGGTGTGATGTTGGTATGACCAGAATTGCAGTGTCACACTCTGGCTGCCCAACTTAGACATGTAGCCAATAATCATGTGGCCAGTGAGACTTACCACCATGGGCAGTATGGTCATGTAAACCAATAGATGGTTTCAGAAAGTTTGCTTTAAGGAAACACCACAAGTCCTTAAGAGTGGGAAGTATAACCAGAGTCTAACCCTGAGAAAGTTGGAAGCAAATTAGGTTTTTGTGCAGGTCTTAAAACATTGTGAAATTCATCTTTGTAAACTAGACCTGTTGTTCCATTCACATACAGTACTGTGCAAAAGTCTTAGGTGCCTAGGCGCATTGTTTAAAACTGTATCCAGCACACCTGATTTAATTTAATGAAGTATTGATTAGCAAAGACAGATATTGGATGATGATTATAAATAATGGCAGCCTGCCACAAGAAAAGGTTTTGAAGTGGTTAAATGAACACATTATGTGACATACATAAAATTGCTCCCTTGTGTATCAAAATTATTTGTTACTTATTCTAATATTAGTGTTTTCTGAGCAAACACAATGCTTACTTCCCAATAAAAAGGCTTTTTTCAGAGGGTCAGCACCACTTTGTTCACTTCTGTATGAGAAGACTTCCATTATCTATTATTCTATATTCCTTATGCCACAGCCATATGATCATGTCTCTTGTAATATAATTATAAATATAATATCAAGCACAATTGTTTTATTAAATCAGTTATACCTTGGTGAATTTCTTCACCTGTAATGCTATATATAATAAGTTATAATCATTGTTGACTGATCTCAGCAGAACATTTCAGTGACTTCCTCACTGCACTGATTTGCTTTTAAGTTTCAGTTAAAAAGAAAATTGTTCATTTAAAAAACGTACATTTTTTTCTGTTTGTATGAAACATCTTGTACGCTTTTCCCATCACAAGTTCTCTGTAAATATAAATATTGTCACACAGTTTTGAGACCTGTGATGGTACTCTTAAATATGCACTCACCTGGAATAACATTGTAGTTAGGCTTTGGCTCCTGCACACTTTTATAAGACTCAATGAAAAGCGATGCTCCATTATATCCACTGTGTATTGGCGCCTTGCCTTGGCGCACCACTTTCTTCCCCCTCCTTCTTCTTCCTCGAGCCAGGGGACGGTTCTGGTCTTTGGCAACACTGAAGCTTAGGCAGCAGAAAAACGACACAACGAGTAGAAGCCATAGTCTCATGGCGGAAGTCTGTAGAATAAAACAAAGAGGTATCTTAGCCTTCATTGTGCCTAATATACCCCTTTTAATACATAGTTTCCATGCGCGTTTCCATAATAACAAGTCTAACAGCAAATGGCAAGTTTCAGCTTTGCTGTGGTCTTTCTTTACCAATTCAGACTCCAGCTTCTGGACAGTCACTGGAGTCAGACTGAATGACTATAGTACCCCTCATCAGCTCATAGTAAAATGGTAAAGTTAGAGTAAAGCTATTATTTAGATGAGTTGTAGGTACCAATTACTACTTTTTTAAGTATTGTGTTCAGTGTTAACAGTCACAACACAAAGTTTTTTACCCTGATAATCCCTAAAAAGCTCATAATTGAAAGTTTTGACAGTATTAATTTTCCAGTTTGGCTGTGCATGTATTATTTTGTGTCTGTTTCAGTGCAAAGTTAAAGTCGGTCTCGTCGTTCCAGAGATGTGTTGAGTGAGGAGCAAAATACACTTCCTTCATGACACAGTGCTACATTTAACACAGGACAGCTGCAGACAACAGTAAATATAGACAGTAAACTGAAAGAGCAGATTAGAATAGATGTGTGTATATTGATCACCGAACAATGCAAAATGCCATGTTGAGGTATTTACTCAAATGTAATCTATAACAAATTGCTAAGAACTTTCCTCAAACTGTAATGGGATTACTTATTACTAACTAGAAAAATTAGTTTCAGTACTCATTACTTCTGTGTCACTATAAAACTCAAACAAATAGAAAGTACAAGAAAAAAATCCAATAGTCCCTTCAGTACTTTATTTAGAAAGAAATAGCCAATCACAGTAAACCTCATTTAAAAGGTCTGTCCCTGCCTTTACTCTGAACACGACCTCTTATGCTGATAAAAAGGAATGGCTGATGCTGTTTGAAAAAGGAGAAACTAGTCAGTAGAAGCAGTTCAAAAACAGCTGCCTTGAATCTTTAGAAAGAAAAAGAAAGAAAGAAAAGAACAAAAATCTTTAAGAATATAATGTTCCTGAATGTAGATCGAGCCTAGTCTGTTTATGTGAGGTTGGGGAATGCTCTTCTTCGGTGCGGCGACCTTCATCCATCAGCTTTATTAGCTTGATTAGCTATCATGCTAATGATAGTTATGTTGTGCTGCTCATATTCACAATTGATTACAAGAATTAAGAATTTAACTGCAATGCATGGCTACCTCATTACAGGAAGGAGAATTACTTACATTCCTGTAATGTATGACTTTGTACTGCATTACCCCCAAACATGTTAGATATTTTTAATAATTCTCCAAAGAAGTTGTGAGTCTTCATCACGTGCAACACAGAAATGAGGAAATATCAACTTTTGTAGTTTGCCTGCCTTTATTGTTTCTTTTTGCGTGAAAACACTTTTTGTACCAAAACAAATAAGATCTTGAAGCCAAGCACGAAAAGAATGTTGAATTACGAAGGTCTTGCAGAAAGCAGGACATCAGCACATCAAACTTTTCTCCAAATATTAAAACCGCAAGTGCTAACTGCAAAAATGACCCCTAAATTAATAACAAAACCTATTTTGGTTGTGAGAACGATGAAAAGCAGCAAGGAGGCACGGTTGACTTGCGCTGGGGGCAGGAAGTGCAAACATGCATGGGGATGTGTCAGCACAGTGGACTCAAGCCTCAGGCAGAGCGTCATGTGGTGAGCATTAAATCAGAGTTTGGGTCTGTGGCTAAGGAAAAGAAGAAAACAGAAAAATGGGGAGGCAAAAAATGGGGGAAACCAAGGAAAGCATTTTAATTAACAAGCTCGGTAGGATGACAGGGCTCAGATGGAAAGAATCCCCGAATGAGCTAAGAGGGAGCAGAGTAAAAATATCCAGCCATGAGTGAAGACATCCTGATGTGGACGTTCAATTCTACTCAGTAATGCAGTAATGAAACCCGTCTACAATACAACAAGGTTTTGCATTTCTACGACTCTGCGGAAAATAAATCTGTGTTATCAGATGCCTCAGTGAGCGCCCAGAAAAAAAAACATTGCGGCTTCCTAAAGAGCTGAAACTAAACTTGGTCTCAGTCCAAAAGCTAAGCGTTAACTGCTGTTTGTTACCACGTAGACAGTTGAAGCACACAGCCTTTTTATTTACATTTTAGAAGACCAAGTGTGCCTCGAAACACCCATGCTGTTGAAAGAACATGCACATTGTGAAGTAAGAAAAAAGTGCAGTTTCTTTAGAAAGTGAAGTCTTTTACAGCACAGTGAAGGGCGAGAGCTTAGAGAGAGCAGAAATGAGTAAGAGTCATTTACATTACCAGTGGTTTGCAGTCAGTTTTGTGAGGCCAAATATTTCCGCACTTTTCCCAGGCCACGAGGGGTTTGCCAGAAGCGCTAGGACAGTGCTGCGCCTACTCAGCTCTGAACTGATAAATGTTTAAAACAGACAGGGCTGCGCTCGCAGGAGAAGCCAGGGCTTGCTTAGGCAACAGCTTCTTCAGTTCAGTATCTCAGCATTACAGTCAGAGGATCAGGACCAAAATATCTCCCCTTTTTTTTGTTTTTTGTTTTTTTTTCTTTTGGAGAGAGGTTGGTGATTTTCTCTGCTGTAATTACTAGGCAATGGAGGTGTGCTTGACAAAAGAGGTGCTGTAAGGCTTGTCATTAACCTGTATGTTAAAACATCCTTTTAGTGCATGTAAAATGTACAGGTTCAGCATTTGTTCAGGCCCAGAGGCAGTGTATAAGCTGAATGGATAAATCTGTTTGTGAATTTTTGGTCTGCAACTAAAGAACCTTCTTGCCCAATGATGCTTTTGGCCGGCCCCATCTCTCGTTTCATTGGTGGGAGCAAGCAAAAGCAGGCAGTCCCCAGTTTCGAAAGGGCAGTGGGGTCATGTCTGGTCCATAAATGCTACTTCGTGTCATTGCCGTAGATAACTTGTGCAACTTGTACAGAATTTAAAAGTTTTTCACCTTTATATTACATTCCCATAAAGACCTACTCACTGTAATGTGTTCCTCCAAAACTACATAAGTTGTATCATTCCTTTTCATTCTTTTATATAATGGCCTGTTTAAATGCTTGAAAAGTCTTTATTTGAGGGCGACCTACATAGGGACTTCATAACAAATGTAAAAGTATTGAATAACATTTATAAAGCAGTACTCGAGTATTAATGAACAGCTTACACCAGTAATAGCAAGATCGGAAGAAGTGGACTGCTATAAAGCATTATCTTCAGATCTTCCAATAGTTGGAATAGGCCAAGTTAAGAGCTCCACATGTCAGTTCTCCTTAAAAGAAATTGTACTTTTGTGCTTTAACTCTAGTAAAAATACATAGAACTGACACATGGTGTTATTTACTAGGCCTGTAGTTAATAGCTAAGCACTATTACTTGGGAATGAAGCTTCATAACAGTGTTCAAAGTGTCCTTCGCTTTAGTTTAAGGCTCCTTGTTTCAACACTATCATTTACTTTATGAAGCGTCTTACGATTATTGGCATAAGCTGTTAATAAATATTAAAGTGTCTCTTTCTTTTTTATTCAGTGTTTATGCAGGTCCGATGAAGTCCCCATATCAGTAGCCTACAAATAAGGTTTTACAAAATGCTTTCAAAACCGTGAGTAAAAAATGTCCCAGTGCATTAAGGTTCCTACATATTTGTAAAGTCGTGAAACACCCTATCTAAGTCGTGAAACACCCTGATCTAAGAATAAAATCTGAACGCCTGACCCTCACTAACCACAAAGGGTGTAAAGATCAAGGGGTTGGTGCTCTTGAGACGTGTAATTTCAGTGATGACAGAGATTCTGTTTGTCTCTTTCACAAACAAAAAGATGGTGCCTTTGATATGGGCAGATGTGCCGCCTTCATGTTGAGGTTTATGGTTGTCTTTCGCAGACCGCCTCTATACTAATTTACACAGTAAAACTGTGTCCGTAAACTGTTTTCATGGTCAACACTGTAATGAAGCACATTCAGCATTACATTTCTTAAAGATACTGGAACAGAACTGAAAGTCTACGGGAGCTACTTGGGCTTTACATTTGTTTGTTCATGTATTGTTGGCAGGAAATTTCGTCCAGACAACAGCATGTAGCAGAGAACAGTTTTCAGGGATTAGATGATACATTTGTCATGACTTTTTCATGATTTGTTGTGAAAAAAAGAGAATCACAAACTGAAAAATAAATTCAGACCTTTTATTTTCATTTTTTACATGTCATTCTTTGAAGAGTTTGAAGGTGATCAGTTAGGCTTAGAGGCAATCTTGGACAGATGACAGCAAACTGGATGTTCCATTTTCGGAATTTCACAAGTTTAATTTTCTCATCTTTTGCTGTCAACCGCAGTGGAACAAACTGAATGTACATTTTTTTTTCCACAAACATGGGCACTGAATACTCCTACTTGTCCAGGCTCGCCCGTTCATATACTTTATTTCTATAGAATGAACCAACTGCTTAGAAACTCTGAGCTACTTTGTGCAGCAACGCAATGTCCTCGAGCGTTTGTGCTATTAATTCCATTTTGGTGTCAAACAGATGTAAAATCAGTTGGGATTGTTTTACTGCTCCACACCTGTTGAATAATGGCTAGTCGTGCATTTCGTTGCTTTCCAATGAAGTTGAGTTAATATGTAAAAGGAGAATTATGCTAACGTTTTTGATGAAAGTTGATTATAGTGATTTAATAATTTGCACAGTATTTCCATACATGCCAACTCTCACCTGTGGTCATGAGCTTTGGGTACTGACCGAAAGAATGAGATTGCGGATACAAGTGATGGGAATGAGCTTTATTTGCAGGGTAGTGGGCTACACTCTACTTGACAGGGAGCTCAGTCATCCAGGAGGAGCTCTGGAGTGTTCCTCTCTTAACTATTCTCTGTTTTTCAAAAAAAGCTTGTCAGTAAAATCAGGTGTTATGTGGGCTTCATATAAGTGTAGATTTGTGTGATACGAGCAGTATGGGCGCAGTTTTATCTTGGCCTTGAATATTACCCATGAAAATAATAGATGAGCAATGATTTGATAATTCAGTGAATATTATAAAGTAGTACTTTGTAATTCACATAATAATCTAACAGTAGTTCAGGGTGATTCAAAAAGATTAATCCGATTTCAAAGCACCATATTTTTACAACCGTGAGGCACCTAGGAACCAATCACATACCAATTGAAAGAGGGGGTCATAGAGTTTCTGACTGTCACCGGAAGATGGCTCCCTTCAGTCTGCGAGGAGATGGTGACTCCTGAGCAGAAAGCGTTCTGCGCTCTCCACTTCAATAAGAGTGAATCCGTCATAACTGTGCAACGTGATTTACGTCGGCAGTGAACCTCCAACAGCTCAGAGCGTTCGTCGTTGGTTCCACAACATTGGATGATCTCCAAGTCGCATTGAAAGAGCCGTGAGTACAGTGACACCCGACATGCTCAATCAAGTATGGGATAAATTCGACTATCGCGTTGACGTTGTCCATACAGCTGGAGGAGGTTTATACTGAGCACTTGTAAAATTACACAATAAACTTCATGCTCGCTTAAACCATTTACAACTTACTGCATTGTTGTGCAATGATTTACAAGTGAAATAAATCATTTTAAAATCGGATGAATCTATTTGAATCACCCTTTGTATGATATTGTATAGTTATTGTGCATGTGGTTGTTTGGACCTTTGTAAACTTGAAACTAGACGCAGTTCAGTTTTAAACATTTCTCTAGGTGAAGGTGTTAAGTAGGGATTGAAAAAGAATCTGAGATTCTTCTAAGGCAAAAGAAAGACCAGAGAACATTTAAAAACCCATCAGGTTTTAAAATGTTAGGACAGTGAGATCAAAACTCAAGCTCCAAGTTTGACTGCTGATACGTATCTTTAGATATGGAGAGACAGTGTTCTATTTTCAGGTAAAGGGTGAAAACCTGTGACTCACCTAACTGGAATGCGCAGCTGCTGCAGTCCTGAGTACTGTACAGTGGATGTGTCATCATCAGAGGAACTCATGTTTTTGCTGTCTCGTCTGTTTGTCTTTTCATTATGTGGGTAGGGGTCGTACAGATTTTTTTAAAGACCTCACTGACCATGTGAACTCTCTCTCTCTCTATGTAAGTATATAAAATATACTTTTTATTATTTTTTTTTTTCTCCACCGGAGTTCTTAGTCTGTTGTGAAAAACATTGTCTCTTTCCACACAGAAATTCCTTTGTTTACCATGGTCTGGATAACGCCGCAAACCACATAAAGCCGAAACCCTGAGATCCTTCTGAAAGCAGTCATAACACTGAAAGTCAGATTTAAGTCTTTTTCCACTGTGGTAGTGTTGGGGTGGTATCAGCACTGGTTTCCTCTATTCCCTTATGGATTTTTTTCCTTAACGTTATGGAAGATTTAACATTATGCCAGAAAGCTGAAGTACTCTGCTGTGGCATGTCTGGAGTCAGCGGATTTAAAGAAAGGAGCTGTATTTCTTTCCTTAAATTCATCGGGGTACCTCAGGGCATGTGTCATTTAAAGCGTTCACTAAGGATTTAAAGGAACATGCTTTAGTTTTACAGGTCCAGTCTAGCACGCGATACTGTTAATCTTGTTGTGCAGGACTGTGGACATATGCAGTGATTAGGACCAATCACAGTCAGGGGGAGGTCTCAGAACAATCTTACCCTGTTTCACAGCAAAAAACATGGTTGCAGTTTGGTCAAAGTTAACACATTAATAACACAATGAATTATTAACGTCACTAATATTTTTAACATTGTTGCCTAATTTGACCCCTCAAACCATCCATAGTAGTGCAGGCTGAAGCCCAGCTGCCACATGCTGTTTGTTGCTCTGACAGAATCTGTGATTGTAGCTCTCTCTTTTATATACAGCCTTTAAAAGGCTTTTAAAGCGATACATTCAGCACCTTCAGCAGACTACACTGGCCAGAGCTCGCGGGAGAACTGTGGATAAATCAGTCCGCAGCCAACTGACAAAATCAACAGCAAAATGGAGCTCCAGTTCCCCTCGAGAGCCTCCACTCTAACCAGAATGCAGTAGCTGTATGAACGAGAGTGAGTGGCTACAATCACAGAGGAGCTGAACCGCTGACTGTGTATACGATGTTATAATATATACACTCATTGGTTGGAACGTGCAGACACTGTTGCTCTCACTGGATGTCGGTGTTGAAAATTGGAAACTGTGTGGACATCACATGATTTTCTAGCGAAGGTTCTACATTCACACAATGAAAATAATGTTACTGAATTATTGAGAGTAAAAATACATTCTGATGAGGGTTTTTATGTCCAATCATATAACTATAACAAAATGTACTGCTTTGTAAATCCCTCTTTATGGTCAAATTAGACTCTAAAATTAGATTAGCTACACAACTTTATTGTTTGAGCTGTTTGCCGGTCTTACTAAACTGTAAAGGATGTTTTTTCTGTGAAATAAGACTACACAACAATAACTCTCTACCAAATGCAAATCATAATAAAATATCTCCTCTTCCATTTATAAACACTAAGGTGTGGACTGAAAGTTTAGAATCTGTGCTTTTGAACAGAATTTCTCAGCTGAAGTTGAAGCAGCTATGAGTGAGTAATAACAAATATAAAATCACAGCCTTTTTTCCAGTGATAAAGGAGACGTTTAAGGATTACTTTAGGTTTTATGTAATAAAGTACGTGTGAGAAAGACAGTGTTGTATTTCAGGCAGGCCTGATTGTGGTCCCTGTTTCTGACACCTTGATAACTGATGACAGGAATCCTCTGAGGGCATAACATGTCTTTCCAGGATTAGTGAGTAATGGTCAGGTAGTGCTGAGGATTCTAAATGAATGGCTAAGTTGGGAAGTGTTTGAAAACAGGAGCTCAGACCGGTATTAGTAGTATTGTCAGTTCAGAATGAAAGGCTACAATTGGTACACCATTTTTTAATGTTTGAAGAGCAATTGTAGTTAAGATAATTGAAGATAAAAGGTCATTCTTGCGCAATATAATAATAATAACAATGATAAGCTTTATTTATGTCGCTTTTTCTTCAAAGTTTCACAAAGCGCTTTACAAAAGACAGAAATAAATTAAAATTGCAAATATAAACAAATAAAAAACAGAAAAAAAATTTAAAAGTGTCAATGGAAACAAAAGTAAAACAGAATAAAATGGAAACATTTTAAAAGTGCAAGTGCAAGCAGTAAAATGAATAAAATCTTAATTAAAAGCTAATCTAAACAAGTGGGTCTTAACCTTCCTCTTAAATATGCCAAAATCTTCCAGAGCCCTCAGGCCATCAGGAAGGGAGTTCCAAAGACTAGGACCAACTTTAGACTTTAGAAGACTGTTCTTTTAAACATTACACTGTAAAAAAAAAAATAGCTGTCAGTTGTCAACCTGCAAAAATATCATGAGGCAACAAGCATTTGCACTGGTTTTATTCAACTTAATTCAGATAAATACTGATTACTCACTAGCTAATAATTAGTAATGTCTTTTTTTATCATTTCAAACCTTAAAAACAGTTTAAAGGAAAATTCCAATGTAAAGTTTCTGATTTTTCAGAATTAAATGGTTAAGATGTGAACAAAGTCATTAAAAGTGGTTTAAGGTGAAATGCTGGGAAACTTACTGAGGTGTTCACAGTGGTGATGATAGGAAGCAGATGTCTGAGTAGCTTAATCCTCTGAAAGCTCCCTCTGTCTAGTACCTGGGACATTGTTTTCTGTTTTAAGATAAGCTTTGGGGCTAAAATGCATTTTTTCAAATTTATTTATGAAGGAGTACATGCAGGGTTTGATGAGGCAAAATAGTCCCCAAAGAAAAAGTTGCAGATTTGCCACCTTTTCACCATCATCAACATTCCATATAAAACTCAGACACGTGTAGGTTCACTGCTGGTTTTGGATGGTAAATGAAATGGCTATATTTGTGTTGTAGTCATGGTGACCGCTGGTTCCTATCACCACCACTGTAAAGAAATCTGAGACTGTAAGTTCCTCTACAAAACCACTTTGATTAACTGTTTCCATCTTCCATTTCCATATTAAACTGCTCTGAAAGTTTGAAAAATCAGTTTTACAGTGCAGTAAAATAACTTGGTCTGCATGTGCCATTGACAGACAATAGTCATACCTGGAAACTAAAGCCTCCCAGACACTGGAGTGACTCAAACCAGTCTGGTTATACAAGGCTACGGTGCAGACAAGCCTCTACTGTGTAAGAGAAACAAAGGCTGGTTTTCCACCCCAAGAGGAAATGGAGACCCCACGTTTTTATAAGGCAGGCAGGTCTGACGAACAGTGAGACATTTCTGCTCTTGGAAAATCTTTTTAAGATTAGAGGTCTGCTGAAGAAGTCTGGGGAATAGATCATCTGTGGTGGGTTTGCATTGTCACGTAATAAATGGAAAGACAGATTGTTTTTATGTATTTACTTAGTACGTTTTAAACGGGTTGCCAGGTTTTTTGTTTTTGGTCCCGAAGTAAATGGTGTTAATGTCTTTAAGAACACGCTGAAGCACTCAACTGTTTTACTACTCACTTTTTTTTTTTGAGTAAGAGTGTGATGTATGGAAACATAAACACTGTTCACTTCCCAGACCAGAGTCCATATATGAAAAAACAGCTGCCAAAACAGCTCGTTTTGAATTGTTTTTGTGATGTTATGAAAATGTATACATATATCTGCCCATTCAGCCTGCACAGGGCAACCTCACCCATTCCTATTGAAGTTATAAGGAGTGTTTCAGCCCAGACTGCTTTTTGAATGAGGCCAGCTGATCAGAGCAGATTAACACAGAGGTTAACCCTTGTGTGGTGTTGGGGTCTGTGGGACCCATTTTCAGTGTTTACCAATAGAAAAATGATGTGATTTATTATTATTTCAACCTCGGATTCCTTGGCCGTTGCTCATTTTCTGTGAAGAACATATAAAATAACACATTTTCAGTGACTTCGCTCTGTTCACCCCCCACACATTTATATTACACATGTGGTGTTGTGGTGAACCCTCAGGGAGTAAAAGTCTGGAGGTGCTGTGTCCCTTCACTCTGTTCTCCTCCTACATGACCTGCTGTTAGTGTGTGTGTGTGTTTGTATATGTGTGTGTGAGGGTGGAAAACATGGACAGGCTGCTGACTGGCTACAGCTGCTAAAGGAGAACCCTACACTGGCCACTTGTGGTATTTTAAACATCTGGTTTAAATGTTTTTGCATATATTGTTATGGCTATATTGGTTTAAAAAACAATGTGGTGGGTCCACCAGACCACTGAGTAACAATAACATCAGCACCACACAAGGGTTAAGTATTGATCATGTAAAAATGAAGTATGATTCATTGGGGGGAAACAAGCAAGACAAATTTAAGATTTTAAAGCTGTAGTTTGGTGAAAAATCAAATATATAACCTACAGTTTAATTCATGCTAGAACGTCAAAGCTGACCTCAGAATTAACACATTTATCTTCAGGTTGATAACAATCTGGCCTCAGTTATTGCTTTATTTGAAGCTAAATTCAGCTCTGACACTTTTACTGTATGACAGATTATTATTCTCTGTAAAACCAATTCGGTCTCATTCAATAAGCTGCTGACCTAAGAATAAGGACACATTACATTCACTGCACTTTAAAGTTGTTGCAGCAGATTAAGCATAAAAGTAGGGCTAAACAATTTGGGTGAAATATCTAATTGCGATTGTTCTGTGATTATTTTTTTAATAAATTAAGGCACAGGCCTGTGTCCTTTTCAAAGAAGACAAGAATATCTGCTTTTTCTGGCATGAGGCTTGAACGCTTAATGTAGTGTGCCAGACTAACAGATGTGGTCGTGATTTCACAGCACATGGGCGTTTGGTTGCTTCTGAATGGTCTGATTTAGCTGCAGGCAGTTCACAAGCTCAGTGTTATTAGCTTCAGTTCTCCCACTTAAAACTAAAGACAATGTTGGTAACAATATGCAGCTCTTGCCATCTAAAAAATTGCACTCAAAACTGCAATTTTTATGTAAAACTCTTTCAGCCCTACATCAGAGATCTTTAAATGTTGTTAAGTTGTATTCAGTCATAAAGGCTCAGTGTGCTGTGATCTGACATTGTTCTGAGTCCAGGATTTTTTCCTCTCCCCCTCTTTTCATCTTGAAAGTCAGTATGAAACGCTGCTGTTTCTCCCATTCTCTTTTCTGCGCTGCTGAAAACCCCAGTAATTATGTCTCCATTTCCAACCCCGACTATTAAATGCAATTTAGAATAAAAAAATGACCAAAACGTATAATACAAGGTTATAAACCATGACTGCGACGTGGAAAACCGCACTCCGAGACTCTCTGTAGTAACGTAATAGATATTTTGTTACAGACATGTTGAATCCTTTATTGGAAAGATGACTGACTGGGTGTTTAAACAGTGAGTGGACAGTAATGGGTATGGAGCACTATGACCGTGGCCAGATTTATTTAGTTATTTATTTATTTTTATGCAGCAAATAATGTCAAGTAAAAATATGTTAATACATTCTCTACAGACAACTCACTACTGCACATTTTAATATACAATTACTGTTTATTAACATTTGGGAAAAAAACACTATAAATAATGGTATTTTCTAAGTTCTAGCACATTCTAGCACAAAAGTTATAGCACATTTTGTATTTTAGTAATATTTATTTTTTTTGTAACATGTTAAACTCAGCAAATACAACAAATGTGCACTCAGATTTGCAGAGGAAGTATTAACTTTTCACTTAGAAAAACAAACTTTTGCATATGACTGTGTATTCATCCATATATCTAGAACTTTGTCTTCCTTTTTAATTTTTCCACATGTCCCAGTTCCTCAGTGTACATCTCTCTTACTTTATTTGCCATGAAAGTGAACTGTTTATGGCTGGACCCCTAAACACATCAAGGTTTTAAACTCACTCTCTCCTTTTTTGCAGGAGAAATATCCAGACATGGTTCGTCTTCCAGAGGGCTGCAGGTCAGAGGTCCTGATGATCCAGAGTCCTAAACTTCCTGGGTAAACTCTAAACTTCGGTGGAATTGAAATGAACATAGAATTATACTATTTTGTTGCTGTCAGGACGAAACCTTGAATATCAGTTTTGTTACTTTTCCTTTTTTTAACATAGAGTTTAAAATGGCAGGTGCCCTTTACATTGTGTTAAAACTTCCATGATGAATGGACCAATAGAAATGCTCCAAAATTACTAAAACTCTCGTTCCAACTTAAATTTAAGGAGGGTTCTTCCTCATCCTTCCTTTGAAGTTTCTGGAGATACAAGGTTTTGTTGTGACAGCATTAAAATATACCCTCACTGCTCACTTTATTAGGTATACCTATGTTGTATTTACGCGTATTGTCCATTTTATCAGCTCCACTGACCATATAGGAGCACTTTGTAGTTCTACAGTTACAGACTGTAGTCCATCTGTTTCTCTGCATACTATGTTACCCTGTTCTTCAGTGGTCAGGACCCCCACAGGACCACCACAGAGCAGGTATTATTCAGGTAGTGGATCATTCTCAGCACTGCAGTGACACTGAAGTGGTGGTGGTGTGTTAGTATGTGTTGCGCTGGTGGATCAGACACAGCAGTGCGGCTGGAGTTTTAAACACTGTGTCCACTCACTGTCCACTCTATTAGACCTTGTTGGTCCACTTTGAAAATGTAAAAACAGAGACAATAGCTCATCTGTTGTGTTGGTCATCCTCTAGTCCTTCATCAATGGTCACAGAACGCTGTTAGATATTTTTGGTTGGTGGACTATTCTCAGTCCAGCAGCGACACTGAGGTGTTTGAAAACTCTTGTAGAATTGTAGAACTACAGAGTGCACCTGTGTGGTACATGAGCAGTACTCGGTGCAGAGAAAACCAAAACCTGTGTTTTTCTAAGTGTATTCTTTTAACCAATATATCAGTAACATTTGATAAATCAGTTCTTTTTATTTATGTTTATTTGTATTGATTCAGATGTTACATTGTGTTTTACTGGCATACTTATTGCCCAAACAGATTTCAGTTTTCATGTTTGAGTAAAACTTTTGCACAGTACTGTATGAATATCTGCATTTTTTTCCAACATCAGGCATCCTTTACACTCATGATGAATGGATGAAAAATCATTTGAAATAAATTTTGTTACATTAACTTGCATCATGGTTAAGATTATTTTTGTCATCTTGGCTATGAAGTAACCACTGTGGTAATTTTGGAGGTTTTATGACGACCACTGAAATCTACAGATATTTATTTTGCATTTATGAAACAGACTCTAAATTGGTATTAACATTGTTTTTCATGTGTCTTCAGGTGCACAATGAGTGTTTTCTGGAACATTAGTGTGAGCAAAGAAGGAGTCGTCCAACCAAAGCTTGAGCTGCTGATGAAGATGCCTGAGCAAGGTAAGAACACTTTCAGTGTGGCGTAACACAGGTGACAGATTAAGACAGAGTGAATGCAGCTCCTGTGGTTACTGCTGAACCATGTACAACCATTTATATTCATCTTAATGCACTGATCACCTCGGTAGAATAAATTACCCAGGTTTCCATCCAGCTGTCAAATTAAAATGCCAGTAATGCTGAGTTCTGTCAGTTCTGCACAGCAGAATAAAATTAATATATTAAAAAATGCCACTAAGTAAGTACTTAGTACGACAATAATAATCAGTTCTGTACGACAATAATAATCAGTCCTGTACAACAGAAGTTTAAGGACAGGTTTTGTTGAGCAGCCTTTTCTTACCATTGTATTACATTTTTTAGCTGTATTTTACATCTTAAGACAAACGTGTGTGGTAAATTTAATGGCTCTACAGCAGGCACCATAGGCCTGTTTACCGTCTAATCATAGATGTATACAGATTTATATATACATTATAATATATGCATATGTACTATCCAGAGTTAAACCCCACAGGGCTTTCTAGGAATTGTTTGTATCTGGGTAGAAAAGCAAAGCGAGCTCTCCTATTGATTAAGACTTCAGGAGCTGAAAAAAAGTCCTAACACTTCAGATTAACCATTAGCATAATTATGAATTGATCGAGGAATCAATCACAGTTTGATTTCCAGTAGACGGGGCCAGTTTTGTGCAGAAAAAAATGTCACTCTAACCCTGGAAGTTCTAGATACATCTGTGAACATAAGCAGCAGCCTAAATCAATGAGTTGTTAGAAACGGAAAACAGCAGCAGCAGCTCAATACCAGAACTCAGTACTGAAACAGTTACTGTGAGACTTCCACAAGGTAAAATATATGTTTATATTTCTGTCACAAGCTTCAAGTAAAATGTTTGGAATGTCTCTTAGAAGCTTCAAATGACTGTTTAATCGAGAACATCTAAAAAATGCTATTAGATTAGTGCTAACAAAATACTAGAATCCCATAGGGACACTAGCTGAAATCAGCATAATCATAGACATGGGTTTTTTCTTCATGTTTTGACAGTCTCTGCTGATCTCACAGTTATGTTACTTGATAAGATAAAAATGTATTCTTTATATACGTTTTTACATTAGTAAACTGGTATCTTGCTGCTTTCTGTCATGTTTTATACCTACGACACCTGATCTGACATATGACTAATTACCATTTATTTATTCAGCGAATGTGTTTCCATCTTAATTTTTTACTTGCAAAAAAAAGTCTACCCAACCAAGCATACAAACTTGGGTGGGGTTTGATGATTTTTTAGTATTTGCTGTTTCCATCATTTCATTATTTGATATGACGCAATTCACATAAAAATATGTGGATGGAATTCTTGATATTGGCATTATCTAGTTTATTGATATACAATATTACCTAGTGATAGATATTATCTAGTTCTTTTTTTTCCCCTAACAGCCCAAAAGATGGATGCCAATAACGTGATGGAGACGGCACCCGAAGGCTTTCGAAGTCTTCTGAAGATCTTTGGAGTGGAAGCCTCAATTGAAAGTTTAATCAAATCTGTATGTTTCTGAACATTCACACAAACCAGGGTGATGAACAAAAACACTGAGCAGAGCGTTTGTATCTGATCATTTCATTAATTTTATTCAGTATAAACACCACTGTATAGTCACCCTTTAAGAAATTTATTAATGCCATCTGTACACATTCCATCATCACATGTATATGTATGCACATACTGTATGTAAATATACATCATTAGACAATAGCTAGAAAAATAAATAATTTAAATACAAAATGCGACAGTAAAATCCACTTTGTATTTCTGAAATAGTTTAACATTTTAGTCCTTACTTCATCTGCATCACAGTGATTGTGATTTCTTTAGAGGATTAAAATGATTTAGAGGGTTTCTACGTAAAGTTCGTGAGTTAAGCAATTACACATCCTTCAGTTCCTTGTTGTGAAAGCACCATCCTGTCTTGCGCCCTACAAGCAGAGCATGAGTCAATGAAAGTGGATTAATGGAACAGTTCAACTAAATATGCGTAAACTGCTAATGATAAAGGGAGCCCACCAGTTGGCACAACGTTATCAGCCCAAATGCTAACTAGTGGCTACTGGGGCTGGCCCGAAGAAATGTTTAAGTGTGTCCGCTACATAGATCCTCTGTTCTCTATTTAGTTTCTGATGTTTTGTCCTAAATTATTTTAGCATACAGTACATTTAATCCACAAAGGCCTTCAGTTGGTCTTCATTATGCAGCATGTTAAAATAACAGCTGTCGACTGCAACAAACTGCCCCACTTTGCATGTGACCACTGAAGCTAAAAGAGCAAAAAATGTATTGGAAAGAAATCACGTGAGGAAGCAATTAAAATAATTGGACGATATGCCAGAGACGTTAAAAAGCAGGAGACTGGTCACTGGTTCAAAGAACCAGGGGCAGTCATGGGCTTGAGGTAAGGGAACCAGCCTTGTGACTGGAACATCACTGGTTCGATCATGACGTGACTGAAGTGCCCTTGAGCAAGGCAACGAACACCCAACTGCTCCCCGGGCGCCGTGGATAGGGCTGCCCACCACTCCAGGCAAGTGTGCTCACTGCCCCCTAGTGTGTATGTGGTGTTTCACTGCACGGCTGGGTTAGATTTCAGAGGTGAAATTTCCCTGTTGTGGGACGAATAAGGGTCACACAATTTGACCTTCAGTCTCGTCTTGTATGGCTGGAAGTAACTGCCCAGCGGCGTAGCAAAGACTGAACAGACTTTCCTTTAAGGTCTTTGAAAGTGTTCACTGCAGAATTTGCGATAAGATGCTAGAAAACCAATGGAGGCTTGATCTATCCTCCCAAATATATAAGCATAGTAATACTTATGAGTAGCACTTGGTAGACTTGCAACATGGCTGATTTCAGTTCATTCTTCCATCACTGATGCACACTATGAACACATTGTTGCCACCTACTGGATATTTTTTTGAACTGCAGTAATACTTAATATACTTATTTATAAAATAATCATTATTGTTTCTAAGACTGATTTCTGAGAACAAGTATTTGTCTACTCATAACTACCAACGAATGCTTTCCAGGCCAGCCCTGGAGCCTCTACCTCTGCACTGTTGGCAACATGAGCATCTTGGATTGAACTGCTCCTTTATTAAACCACCTTCATTACACTTAAGCTCAAAAAGGTCAACTTAATCATCAGTAGTCACAGTTTAAAATGACTGCTTAATGGAATTGTTTAGTCTGGCACAAGTTATTTCTCTTTCAAAGAGAGTGACACCTGTATTCTATACTGATTATTTTAATTTAAATTAATGAACTCTTACGCATGTAAGGACTACATTCTCTCCCTAAATATCAGTCTGCATCACAAACATAAAAGACACAGAGGTACATGGAAGAGGAACAAAACCTTCTGGCAGATACTGAAGACTCTTAAATCTGCCAACATCTTAACTGCTGAGTGAAGAAACCGTAAGGCCTCAAGAACAGACACACGTAAACACACAAAAAAAGTCATGGAACCGTACAGTTGTGGGAAAGGAAACTAAAAAAGGGGGTAAACAGAACTCAAACTTCAGTGGTTTAACGGCAGACACAGCGATCAGTCAAGCGCAGAATCATCTGCAGAGAATTACTTAAATCACACTGGTGAAGGTAATGAAGCAGTACAAGTTCTAAATGAGCAAGACGGTTGTGGCTAAACAGAGTGGCTTTTTTTGCCACTAGTCAAACCTGAGGCAACCTGCGAGAAAGACACTGACTTTGATCAGCAGATATAGACACTGATTATCAGCACTTTTCAGTCTGTATCCCTAACAATGTCAGCTGAATATGAAACACAGTCCTTGAATGTACTTTATAGTGTTAAACCGTTCAGTAGGGCTGTTAGATTCCAGAAAGTCTGAGTTCACTTCAATTCTGATTACAAGCGATGGGAATCTGAGTCCATTCCATGCAGTAAATTTCTCAAAAATCCAAACTTAACCTTCTTTTCACAGATGCACTTTTAGATGTTCAGGTTTCACAAGTGAAAATCACCACCAGTGTGTACTGCAAGCAGGCCTGTCACAGGTATTGTATAACTGCCTGAATTATTTATAAAATTTTGCGTTTATGGATGTGAACTGGGTGAGCTTTTATCAGTTGAGTAGAGGCAAATGTTTATGAATAAAAAAAGCAGAAAATGTTTACTGCACCAAGTCATGGGTCTTACGAAAACAAAAGTTCTAATTTCTTGGTGCTATAACACCTTTAGAGGGCGGCGGTGAGTAATGTTTGTTTATTTGACGTTTGTTAATGACTCCTTTAGAGGCCGACAGTGGGTAATGTTTGTGAGCTCAAGCAGTTTGTCATCAGTTCTGAGTATCAACAGAAGGAAGATGGCTAAATCAGCAAATTTGGCCACTTAAGGCTAATACGTTAATAGCTGCATACAAAGCCAAAATGTAGTTAAAATTATTTAAGTAACTGCTAAAATGTCATGATGTGACAGGCCTGCGCAGACACTGTGCATCACTGTGCGGAATCAAGCCCAAAGCTCTGGAGTTGACTCAATTCCCAGGATCGATTCCCAACCCTACTGTTCACATATGAGACGTTTGGAAGGTTTTAGTTGGCCACTGTGAGAAGTGTGCTTTGTGTTTTAATGAATGGCCTGTATCCAGGTACCAGCACAGGGCTGCAGGCAACTTGTTAAACCAACTGTAATAAAACCAACAAGACTAACAACTTTTTCAGGTTTTACAACTCAAAAAATAAAAAAAAAGCTCAGCTTATTATACTGTACATGTAATCTGTGTTGGTGAAAATGGAGTTTGTTGAACGACTTTGGTCCTCATGTAAAATCACTGCATAACTGTGGTTTAACTGGTTTCAATTAACCAACCACTTAAGAAATTAAAAGTGTAGGTTCTTGGCCAAACGTGCCTCTCATTTCGGGTCATTTCGGTTTCAGCGTCTTCAGCTGAGCCGGATTTTATCAGCACTTAACAGCAGACTTCGGCAAGTTCAGCCTTTTTCAACCTAATCTCTATCTGCTGCAGCATCATCAGTTTCTGCCATTGATGAACTTTTTTCTCTACTTAGAACAGAAAATCCATTGACTCAAAACTCAGTACAAGCCAATGTGCAGCTGCTTCCATGGTTAAAAAAGCTGAAGTTTGTATATCCTACACCTTGACGTAGCTGCTGCATGGGGGTTTTTGTTTTCTTTTTTTGTTTGTGTGGGGGGAAAAAGCTGGAAATGTAAAGATAGATCAAGACTTCTCAAACAAAGGAGTTTTGAGGAAGTATACTTTCAACAAAATACTAATTTTAGTCACAATAATACAGTACTTTGATAGAGACATTAGTTCCAATCCCAATAGTTAAATAGAAGTGTTCAGAAAAATATTTCAGCATCATTAAGTCGTGAACATTAATTCAGAGCAGTTTGAAGTGTAATATTCCATTCTGGAGAAACTTCAGAATTCTTCACAGTGGTGGTGATAGGAACCAGACGTCTGAAGATGCTAAAACTCCCTCACAGAAGGTTGTTACATGAAATGGCTATGATTACACTGCCTGAGATACAGTTTTGAGAGGGTTTTGGCCTAAAATGTATTTTTAAAAGTATGCTAAGGCAGAGTAGCAAACAAAGAAGACATCTGTTCAGATTCCTCACTATTACAATTATTAATATTAAATATTACATTTGGACAGAAACAAAATGGCTATATTTGAGTTGTACACATGGCGATCCCTGGTTTCCATCACCACAACTGGAAAGAAATGCAAATTAGCAAGTTACTCTACAGTGAACCATTTCACATCAAACCAGTCCGAATGACTAATACAAGATGTACAAGTCGCACGCAGCTTCCATCAGTACAGTATCGCTGATAGAAACTCGTAAATGGTAAGTGGTCATAGGCCTAAAGATGTCAAACAGAGCAGTAGTCTCACTTTACCTCAAGTAACCATCTTCATTTTAACTTAACTGTTATTCTAGTCTCCTAACAGAGACACTGACTCTCTCCACTCGCAGACATACTCTCTGCTCACTTCCTGCAAACAGTAACTGCAACTTCATTCTACCATAAAACTAAAGTAATTTGTCAAGGAAACAACCACAAAGCCACTTTTGGCACTTCTTTACCACCAGAGCGTGGCTGTGTGCTGCACGACCATCTGTTCACACCACTCTGCCCTTTGGCTCCCTCTACTTGACCCAGGCACTGTGCTTGAGGAGGCCAGCCCCAGTTAGAATGTGCCCCACAGGACGAGACCAGCTGGCCAACACCAAAAGGACTGATACCAACTTAGAGCCACTGCTGACAGCCCCACCCACCTTCACATTTAAATTAAAAAGAAGAAGAGATGGCACACATGGTAAAATGGGGAGGACTGAAAGAAATATATATAGCGATGCGCTTCAATCTTCAGTTTTTGCATGTTTTCCCATTGTTCACATCAAAAGCAGCACTCTGGAGTAGTGAAGAGAGGAGAGAGGTTTTCATACGGCATGAAAGAGCAGCGTGCAGTCCTGCCGGTCCTTGTACAGGTTTGAGGTAGGCAGGTCCTGCGCGCTGTTTGTGCTCCGCAGGTAGTAGTTGACTATTTTGGAGTCCAGCTTGTACTGGTGCGGGATACTGTCGTAAGGTTTGGGGTCCAAATCCAGGATGGAGACGGAGTACGTGAAGCGGGGCTTCGGAGGCTGAATCTCCAAATTAGGTTGTAGTCTGTAAGCAATCATCAGTACGGTTACTTAAATCTTCAACAGCTACAGGGCTCAAAAGGGGGACACTCCTGGTCACTCTGAAAACAGCTGTTTACTTCTTACTTTTTAAGCCAAAGTTTTCTTTTATGCTTTAGAAAAGTTAACTTGTGTTTTCTCTTAATTCTTAAGAAAAAAAAGTTATGAAAGATGTTATTTGAGTAACTTTTCAAAAATTCTTAACTGTTTTCCTAAGAAAGTTCTAAGAACAAGTGGTATTCTTGAAAATGTTTTCTTAACCTTACGACAGCTTCACACTGGTCTAAATCTGTCTACTATCTAAATTTATCTACTCCTGCCTATACTCATCTTGCTTTTTGCCATCACCCCACAACTACTGTATTTTCCAAGGAGGATTTTTTTTTGGCTGTTTCTTCCACCATCACCTCTAGTTCTTGTTTGCTAAAATTCTTTTGAACGTTTGGTTTGATGTTTTTCCTCCACTGTGCTCCTCCATGTGGATGAAACTAAACAAAACAGTTAACACAAATTCAAGATGTATCTTGCGTTTTTCATGATACGTGGTAAAATGCAACACAGCATGTAGAAAACTGAGGATTTTCTGTAGAAAATCTTAAGGAACTAAGATCTTACGTATACTCGAGTAATCTTGCATTTTTTTTTGAGAATTTCACTTCAGAACATTTTAATAAACTTCTTAGTGTTTGTATTTGTATTAAGAACCTTCGCAAGTTTTTTCTTAAAGTTGTCAGGAATCTGGGCCCAGGTTTACTAAGAATCTCTAAATGATGTTGGTAATTAACTGAACACTTCAGGCATGAACTGCATGAGCCTGTACAACTGTTGATCAGTCAGGCTTGTTTGATGCTCACTTTTAAAAGAAACTTCATCTCTCTTGATTTCAGCACATTATCACACTTTATTTAGGAATGTTACTTGTATCTGTAGTGATGGTTGCATTTGCTCAGATGTTCCAGATGGTGGCTTTCTTCCCAGGGGGGAGCATTTGGGATCTCTGGTTTGACATGCTTTTTTTTTGGGGGTAAAATTGGGGTGACAGACCCCAAGTGGGACCGTCGCAATATGGCCAAAACACTATTGCAATATTGCAGCTGTACAGTAGGCCTTGCAATACACTACAAAGGCACTGATGATCCAACCTTGTGATATGGATACAGATTTGCCTGATTATTTTGACCAGAATTTACTTTAGTTGGATTACATGAACACCTTGACCAAGGACACCCACAGAAACTCATCTAGGACTGTGAATAGTCAGGATGCTCACAGAACACAGTAAAACAGTTTCAAAATACAACCGTCACATCAGGACTGTCAAGTCCAATATCGAGAAAATTAACTGAGGATATACTGCACTGCCTTAATTTAAAAGTTAAGACAATACTTACTTTTCGTCTTCGCCACACGGCGCAAACGTGATCATGATTGAGCAGTCCTTGGCAGTCATTGCCACTCTGTACTGGAGAACCTGGAGTTCCAGAGGATAAAGTCAGTAAAAGGCTGCATTTTTCTGCCTATCAATCCTTGTTCCTGTGTTTCACAGTCTTACCTTTCCAACTGCATATTCTATAGATCCATCATCTTCAGAGGGACAAGTCTTCACCTTTTCCAGGAAACTTTCATCATAAGGGCCGTCTATTTGTAGTCTGTTCCTGAAGCACAGATTGTTTAATACGTTAAGATCAGAGTCCTAATTATAATTAATAAGCCTCATTATTAAAATTTGGTCTGACTGAGGAAAGATGAAGTTACCATGTACACCTCACCACCCACAGGACATCGTGACTCATAACATCACAAAACTTGCATACTTCATCTTGTGCATTTGCACCACCTAGTGTTTATAAAACTCCATTACAGTCTAAGAGCAGGAGAGTGGGGAAGTTTTCAGAAGTGGCTTTATCAGAAGATTAGACAAGCAATTAAAAAGCTCAGAATAGAAATGCTATGAAACTTGGGGCCAAGTTTGTAGAAAAAAATTTCCTGTAGATCTAAATAAGTAAAAGATTATTTTAGGATGACAACAAAGGTGTGTTTGGATGCGCATTAATGTCAACACACTACAGTGTGAGACTCACATTTTTTCCGTATTTTATCTTAAGTTACTATATTGTAATTTTATCTTGTAATTTCATTTTTTTAAATGGTTTATTGATTTTTTTTTATTTACCACTATGATTATTATTACTTTTTAGCATTTGTTGTTTAACTTCTCAATCCCTGATTTCTGTACTGGCTTGGCTACACTGTAAATGAGGGTCTCCCTCAATGTAGTTTAAATAAAAGGTTGGTTGGTTGATTGAAATAATGAAATAATCATCACCTCTCTTTAGGGAACTCCTCCAGATACTGCTCCACTCTCTTGTACAACGGGTAGACACCTTCAATGTCCAGATTGTCCAACGTCTGAACCTGAAGGATTTTTGCAAGGACACAGTCTTTGGGGAGACCATGACTGCCTGCAAATACAGAGTAAAGAGCACATCATGATTACAGGAAAACAGGGATAAACTATAGGCTACACTGTAATCTCCAAATTCAGTTGTTGTCTGCAGCACAAAACAGATGATACAGTTACTGAGCTTCAGTCTCAAAAGATACATTCAAAAAACATTTCCAAGCAGGACTATAGAGACAAAATACCAAATGTACTGCTACACAGCGCGATTATGACACTGAATGTCCTCTAACAAACTGCTGAAACCTTGATCTGATATGGTTACAGACTGATGGTCCACAGTATTTTTTTTATTTTACCAAAATGAGTTACATTTGATCTTGAGATCAAAGCTTAATTATTACAAACACCTGCAGTAACTCATCTGGATCACCTTAGGCTAATTAGGATGTTCATAGTTTTTAAAAGTTTTTTTGCATATTGCTGCCTCCATTTAAGTTAATGATTATCAAACAATATATAATTCAGATGTACTGAAAAAAAAATGTATATGCAAAGACAACAAGCTTGCCTTACTTTGCCACCAGTATTAAGTTTAATTTTTTAAACTTAATACTGGTTGTATTATAGTTATAATATGTAGTTATAATTTTTTTTTTTTTTACATTTTTTAACTCCCCAAAACTTCCCTGATGTAGTGGAAACAGAAACTGTCAGCCATATTTATTTTTTTTATAGAGGTCAACCAAACATTTTTCCTTGTTTTCTGCTCAACTTTTGCAGATGAATTGTTTGTTGATAACCTGAAGTGATGCAAAAACCTACATTGTTTTTGGGAAAAACAACATTCATGCTTAAATTTAGTGTCATGTGACTGGTTTCCCCTCATGTGACTTTTGCAACAAATCCAAACCACATGGACTGAAGAGGAAACCAGAGCACTTTTAGAAGGAATGCTTCCACTTTTCAGCTCTTACAGAAAGACTGAGCACACAAACACCATATTTTAGCACGTTTGTTCTGACTTTTAATTCAGCTTCAAGAACAAAACAGGATACGGCTGAATATTTACCAACACACCAGTTCACCCAGGACTGATAACCTGGGCTTATTTCTACAGTTCATTTTATAGTAGGTAAAAGCGGCGGAGATCTTTACAGACGGAGAAGTGTGAAGTCTTTGGTACCAGATTCTTGGGCAAATACCATCAAAATGGTACAACTAATTCCATCCAAATGTGACATTAATGATTAACACCCACTGGACCTGCTCTCTCACCGTTACGTAGTAGTTCTCTGTGGAGTGGACTGGCTTCACACAGCGGTCTGCTCTCGGCAAGCTGCACCTTCCTAGGTTCCCCCGAGCGATTGGAGTCTCCGCTGCTGAGCAGGGCGCTGCAGATCACCTGGATGAACTCATTGAAGACCGCTTTACTGGACTGGTGGCCGTTGTAGAGGCCGTTGCTATGGTGAAAGTAGGGCCACAGGTGCTGTACTAGGTCATTCAGGTCTGGCTGTTGCTTAGCATCATCTTTACAGCAGTATATCAATTCTCCACCCTGTAAAAGAGACGAGAGAGGCGTAGAACCCAAATCACAGAGGCAGGTTAAGTTCCGGTTTTACTGATTTCTACTTCTCTATATCCACCCCATACATACACTTATTTCCCGTTTTCCATCATTCTGACTTCAATAAAATATGTACAGCAAAATACAACAATACAAGCACTCAAACATATCCAGACAGTAATGACTTCTAATTAGTGAAGTCAGCTACTTTAAAGTGCACCTCGTTACTTCTGTGGTATGAGGAACAAGCTTTAATATTGCAGGGAACCAAACGGGCAGATTCTCACATGATGACAGCAGTGTGGATTGTGACTCCTCTGCAGAAATGTGACTCAGAGTTCCAGCCTTAATTCAACTCAGCTGATCGAAGTGCCCAGAGACATGTGAACGTTTGTGGTAGGAATCTTATGTCACTGCCAGAACTAAACTTTGAAGGAGGGTCTATCTGGAGGAGCAGGACTGAGTCCGGCTCTAATGCATCAGGCTTTACTGCTTAGCCTTAATTTGTAAGTAGAGCCAGTTCAGAGGGAGCCGGGCCACTTCCTTTTCATCCCTTTATAGCAGAACACTAGAGGGCACATGTGAGTAAGACCTCAATGAATGGGAGTGAACGGAGCTGAATTGTTAAAAAAAATTAATAAATAATGTTGTCTTTCAAGTGGGAACTTAATTTGGGAACATCTTTCCTTTTGACTTTTTTACCTGTATTTTTTCTACAGCAAATAAGATCGGGGTAGTAGAAGGTCAGCATTACTCCTACTGAGTGCTGACTGGTTGCTGATAAACTCCTATATTTGAAATTGAAAGTTTAAATATAAGCATTGAAACACTGGATGTGTGTTAAGAAAATGAGTGCATGTGTCTGATTAACCATTTACAAATTAAAATTCCCATTTTGGCATTTGGTGCGCCCTCTAGTGTCCAAACAACCCAGAACAACTTACTGAGCAGCAGTTATTCTTACTCTAAAGGTTCTGAGAGGCACTTAAACAAGTTAAGCAACAGCAATGCATTTAAATGGGAAATTTCACAGATAGTAAAAATGTGATCATTAAAATAAGGCATTCAGAGTGGTTTGGTGTGAAATGCTCTGTTCTACAGAAACTTACAGGGTCAGAATTGTTCACAGTGGAGGTGACAGGAATCAGACATCCACCTCAAAAAGCTCCCTCACAGAAAAGTTATAACATTAAAATAGTTGTTAATACGCTGCCTGAGACACTCATGACAGTTCACATTTTAAAAATTACAATTTAAATAAAATGTCAAATTTAAATGAATTTATGGTGGAGGGGTACATGCAGGGTGGTTATAAGACAAAACAGTCACCACAAAAAAAGCTTTTTTCCCCCCCCAGATTTTCCAATATTTTACTATCAACGAGCATTTCACTCATCAAACTACTCAGAGTTTGTGTACTGAGAAAGACTGAATTATGCAGATCAGTGGAATTCCCCTTAGATTTCTTTAATCAGCAGAATTCCCTTCATGCTTCAAACGTATGTGAGGATAGCTGGAACGTGTCGAGCTCATTCACTATCAAAACATTCAGTAGTCACATTTATATGGCTGGTCTGAGAGACTTTATACTCACCTTAAAAATTTTCAAGTTGTTTTGTGGTTCTTCTAGTAAGTGCTTGATTGCGACATACATTCGTTGTTTGCTCCTAACAAAGAAAGAATTAATCCCATGAATAAATGATCTGTTAATCATTTAAGTGTATTGTTCCAGCTTCATGTACAAAAAGCTGTTTCTCTGCTTTACACCAGCACATAAAATGATACTGAATAAATAATATTAGGCTTTAAAGAAACAGAGCCAATGATTCATCTCTATTGTAATTTCATTTTGGGGTCATGGGTTTATTATTAAGCCAAAACACGCCTGCTGCCGCTGTCTGCTGAGCGATGCGATTATTATGGCTGAATAAAAGCAGCCAGTCCAAAGTCCATTCATTGACTATGAGAGCTGGAGTAATTCATCATAAAACGGTGTGAAGAAATGAGTCAGATGATTTCAGAACTAAGCAGCTTTGCCAGTGCTGGGAACAAAGTGTGATTAAAGCAGGTGGAAGCTGGGATGTAATAAATTACAACTCAATCAGTTCCTAATCTATATTTACATTTCCACAACACACTGTTTTAATGCTGATGTCTGTCAAAAATGGTTGGACATCTCAGCCTCAACGTGGGAAAAAAAAAAATCTGTGTAATTCTGTTCACAAAAAGAAGATCTGTTGTGCATTTTTACATGCATAGGAAAATAAAATACTGTACAAATAATATATAAAAATCAAATTTATAAGCTTTGAATTTATAATCTCACACAGATACAGACAACGCAGGTGGAGGTAATAAATGAAAATACAACAGAAGCAAGTTCAACAGTCTAGTAGTATCCAGCTACATGTTGTATGCACTCGCATGTGTACACATTACATCAGAAAAAGATTACAGGACAGATGGCAACTATACATGACCAGTCAGAAGTCTGGACACATCTACACGTAGAAAGGTTCACCTCATCTTTTACTATTTTGCACATTTTTGAATAATAATGAAATCAATAAACCATGAAATTACACATGTACAATTAGACAAAGACCAAACAAAATGGATAAATAAACCAAACTCCTATTTTAGACTCTTTCAGAAATACGCCCTCCTTTGCCTTGATGCGGTTTTGCTCGTTCTTGCCGTCCTTCAAGCAGCTTCGTGAGGAACCACTGGAGATGTTTTTCTAATTCTTAAGTTTAAATTGAAAATAATTTACCTACAAATCATTTAAATCATGACAGGCCTTTAGATCAGAAGGTCTTTAAGGCTGTTTTCACACCCAGTTCGTTTGCTGAAGTCCAAACCAGAGTTTAGGTTTGTGTCTATATAGTAACAAGTAACAAACTGTAAACCTTGTTAAATAATTATGTAATTAACACGGTTTATTACTAGTTTGTTAATTCTCTTGTTACTTCTTCAATGCCTTGCTATCCCTTTAAACTGAATTTCTCCATTGTGGGACTAATAAAGGATTATCTTCTCATCATCATTTGATTTGGTTGGCCTCTCACTGCCTGTGCTTACAGGCAAAGACTTTTGCCAGTCCGACTGAATACACTCCGATTATAGATTAAGACTGAGGTGTTTTTATGCTCACTCTACAACAATCTGATAATTCTCAGTTTACATGCACACAACAAGTAATCTGATCCAAAATTATGTGCATGCGTAGAGAACCACTTTGTGTAGATGTCACCATGAAAACGAGCATCGCGTGAGTCCAGTCGGAGTGAGATGAGCAGCAGTGAGCAGTGCTTGTGTTTTTAGTTACTTTAAAATGATGTCAGACTCAGGAAAACGTCCCACCGCCGTCTTTTAAAGCTCAAAGCATAAACTTTGTCTCCTGTGCAAACCAGTTTCCGCTCCGCCATGTTGAACGTTATAAACCTTCACTATGATGCGACGCACATGCGCAGACCGTACTTAAACTTTCCGATTGGGAATGTAATCAGATACAGGCGTTTATATGACTATTATTCTTCTATTTAACAGATTATTTACAGGATTACCCACCTCATTTGGTCGGATAGAAACTGTATTCCGAATGGCCTCAGACTAGTCTATTCCGACTGAGGTGTTTACATGGACGCATTTTATTCTGATTGAGCTATTAATCGGATTATTCACGGATTATTAGGCTGCATGTAAACGTGGCTACTGATAATGTGGGGAAAATAATAGTAATTCATAATTTGTTTCACCTCCCTCTTTCATCATGGAGAGAAAACACAGAGACCCTCCCCAGCACTGCGTTTCGCTCACAAACTTACAGCCTGAACTGTCTGCTGAATATCTGAGAGCACTTACCCTGAGAAGAGATCCAAGGGGCAATACCTGCTCAGTCTGTTCCACTTCCCATTGGCTAACTACACAGGAAAAAGAAGTGAAAACATGATAACTTGTTTATCCACAACTGATTTGCAGTCCACCTTGTTTTCATTTAAATTCTGGTGCCTGTAGCACCACTTCAACAGAACTGGCCCACCCATGTGAATCACAGGTCAGTTATTTTTAATAAATTAAATTATCATAAAGTTGTGACTTCTCCCTTTGAGCAAGCTGCATGTGACTAATTCTTCTTCTCAAAAACTACTGTGGAACTCATTAAAGTAGGAATCGTCCAGACTTATTTGCACTCATTCAGCTGTTCACAAGTACAGAACTGATGTAAACTGAAGCAGAGGTGGAACTTCACGTTAACAGTTGCTACATGAACAAACAGTTCTCTGTGACAGTCACACAGACTGGGACTCACCTTAAATTGCTGATGCATACAAAATCTGCACACTTTTCGCTTGCACTCCTTGGTAACATGTCTTGAAAAGGGTAGAAAACCACATTTTGGCTGCCAGAAAGAGAAAGAGTGTGTAAAATTTAAGTTTAGACTGATGACCACAAACAAAATGTCCATAAGCAGGCTGCACAGGGCTGTACATACGCTTTTGTGCATGTAGCACTGGTGCTAGAAAAGCTTCAAGTGTTGTAGCACAAATTAAAAGTATTGAAATGAAAAAAAAAATCTTCTAGAAATGCAAAGAATTAATTTTCTCCTCAACAATTCAGATTTCCCACAAGGGGGATCTGCTCTTTGAGTACCCACACAGCATTTTTGTGCATTATAAAAAAACAAAACCCAGAAATGAACCCACACCAGCAGCATTTTACATATTGTTGCTGTCACAGATTTTAAACTGGGAAGCACAGTAGTTTACCCCAAAGCAAGGCTTAATGTTGTTTTATATGCAAGTTTTAACTTAATCAATTAATTCTAAAAAAGGGATACAGGCTTAAGATAGTAAAGTTGGCAAGTGTAGCAAGGAGAAGTTGTTTGGTAGACTTTTCAGCAGGCAAACTGTAAAAATCACAAACTGTCTTTACATTTGACATTACAAAACAACTTCTGGGTATTATGTAATTAACAAGACTATTTGTTTACAAACATCTGGATTCCAGTGTTTGAACTAATGGACTTCAACTAGTATAATGCTAAACTAACCTGTGTGGTCATAACTATGCTAAGATGACTTGGGCATTGGGGAACTGTTTGATATCGCACACACCATGCAGGAGGCATAGGTCAGAAATTACACAAGTGACTACAATTCGACAAGCACTAGGACTGAATATTTTAATGGATACACAGTATATATTCCTTATATGTAATTTTTTTGTATATCCTGTAAAGTTTGTGCGCCCCTGGTCAAATTACATTTTACTACAGAGAACAAATTTTGGCACATTTTAACACACAATTACTGGGTTTTTTTTACTGAATTTCACATATTGATAAAATATGTGAAAAAATATATAAAATATCTGCACTAAAATATGCAGAAAATGCCAAGTTTTTCAAATGGGGGGGGGGATAAGTAAATAAAATAAAATTTCAACAAAACATAACTGGATTGGGTATTTAAACTTTTGCACGTGCAGCAATATTATTGCATTGTACATCCCTGCTCCTGGGTGCAGTGCAGTTACTACAGGTTTTAGCAGACATCACATCTGAGATTATGCAACATTGTGCTCTGCTTGGCAGCCCAAGTTCACCATCAACTGAAAAATGCTACAACCTTTCTAGTCATTCAACAAAATGCTTGAAAGGCGTGAGCCATTGTGCCAGCGAGTGTAGTTCGGTTGTGCAATCTGCTGCTGTGACATGGTTGAAAAGGTTCAACGCGTTCTATGAAGCTGGTGTCGTTTTACCTTAATTTCCACACACAGAGGAGGTCGGTGGTCTCCAAAGTGGCAGGGCGAGAGGTGGGTGAGGTTGGGAAGGCACAGGCCACATCCGCTGAAAGTGTCCATCACTTTGTCACACCGCAGTTCTGTATAAGAAAGTTGACTTTTAAAACAAAAGTGCTCTAAAAACAGTTTTACCAAAGTTATTCACATTGGTAACTGAGTTACCAAGTACCAGTCACACGGCATCACTGAACAGATGCTGACAACACCTGACCTGACTGTAGTGCTGGACTGACAGACAGTAGTAAAGTTAATGAGCCCATGCTTCCTGTGTGCGGCTAATCTGTGCTAATTGAATGTCCTACAAACCTCTTTAGATAGGCTCACTTTCTTCTTTTACAATGATGCCCAGGGTAACAATGTATTACTACCAGTGTTTGAATATGGACATAGATAAAATTACCATGGATATAATGTTCATTATAAAACAACACTACAACTAAAAATCAATAATGGAACAAATGTGAAGTTGCTTTTCAGTTTTGATTGTATTATCAGTGGCATATTTCCTGGATAAGGACCATTATTGTCCAACCATGACCATTTTGTTCTGATGTGCTTGCATTAACATTACACGATGGGGAACTTTACCAATAAAATAGCTGCGTCTCTGCCGACAAGTAATTTGTTTTTCTAGTTTTTATAATTCCAATACTGTGCATTTCACTCATGGTATCCAGGACCTGACAGTTAACTACAATACATGTAATATGCTGGTTGTTTCAGATTGTTTTAAAAAGAACAATTTAAAATTATTAAATCTAATATAGCACTTTTTCTTTAGGAAATCTGGTTTCTGTTGAAATTTGTGGAACATAAGCATAGAGTAGCAGCACTCAGGAAGCATTAACTTCATTCTAGCTTAAGTATCACCTGACATGAAGACACTGCAACAGATGATATCATAGAGAGCCTGGTACACTGCTTGGTTTAACACTTTCACTTTTTGGTGGTTAACTGGATTCAGTGGATCGGATGTGTAACGGTACGTGCCCACATGCGCCTTTTCTTGCTGCATTCTGCATGTCAATCGTATCTGGGGCAGTTTCTTATTTGTATTAATGTAACACAGAAGCCTGCAATGAAAATCAGCAAGTAACTTAGGAGCAAACACTGAAAACTATCCAGTCAAACACCCTCCTTTCAAATCTTTCTTCTCTACAGTTCTATAAATAACTAGATTTTTCATTATTAAATAAAAAAGAAGAGAAAAAGGAGTGGTTTCCCCTCCCTACTTTCAAAGTAAGCTTTGTTTTGTTTGCCGTTTGTGACAAGACCAGTTTACTTTTCATTTAAGCTCTAAGACTTTCACTTTATTCTTACTGCACTTTGTTTTTAGCAGTGCACCTCTACAATTTGCTCATTCATGTCTATAATTTCCTTATATTGTTGTATTCTGCATTCATGTACTTTCTTTAATTATTAGTTTTATCATTTTAAAGGTCTAAAAAGTGCAGTAGTTTATTTTTCCTTTTAAATGTTCTTGCTTTTGTTTATGTAAAACACACTGACCTTTGTGTATGAAATGTGCCATTTAAATAAAGTGCCTTGTCTTACTCTTGCCGTGCAGTGCAACAGCATTCATTGCATCAAGTTGAAATATGCCGAAGTTTTTTTCTCATGCAGCTGGGCAGATTTCACCACACCACAAACCACTGCACTGCAGAATGCGGCACAGTTCTGCTTTAAAATGAACAGGTATGTGGAAAGGTACCATGACAACTGAGAGAATGCCAGAATATGCAGAGCAATTACACTCTAGGAACAGAGTAGGGAACCACTGGCTCACATCAATGAGAGAGGAACACGGACACACTTCCCACAAAAGAGCACATCCTCTTTACTCAACGTCTGATGTAAAAACGTTAACAGCCTGCATTACTCTTGACCAAAGCTGTTTATGTTTGTTGGACTGGTCAGGATGTTCACAGCACAAAAAACATTCAGTGACTGGTTAGAGGCTTTTTAACATACTGCAAATAACCGACTTCTTCAATATCAGTAGATATTGTAGTAAAAATCGTAGATGTTTTTGGATTTTTTCCCCCCAATTTTCTCCCTAGTTTGGTCGTTTCCAATTTCACCCACTAGTTAGGACTGATACCTCACATAATCACGACACCACAAGCGCTATGAGGGCGAAGACTAGCACAGGCTTCCTCCAAGACCTGTGAAGCGCCACCACATCTTTTCCAACTGGCGCTCACGCAACATCATTGGACAGCTAAACGAGCTCGGAGGAAAGCACTAACCGCCAGATCAGACGACATCACACTGAGTGACGGGGGGAGAAGGGGGTCATAGATGTTTTTAATTGCCCAATATTTCAAACCAGTATTTGAGGTATGCAAAAGTTAACACCCCCAGCCAAATGACACTTTTTTGATGTTAAAATAAGTTAACAGTCTACAGAGAACTACATTCTGCAAATTTTTGTACAATTTTTCTCCCTATATTTTGGGGGACTTTCCACATTTTAAGTTTTATTTTTTTATTCCCTCCACCAAAGTGTTAAAATTCAGCAAATGAACAGTAATTGTGTATTAAACTGTGCAGAACAGTGTGCTCTGTAGAGGACTGCTGATTTTGTAAAAAGTAAACACCACATGTAATTTGACTGAGGGCACACAAACATTTGCATACATGCTGTATTTGCAATTTTGTATTTACTGAACTCCAGAGGAGCTGAATGCTTAGGCAACACTGGGTTACTATGCTAAAACGTCCATATTTTTGTTTTGCTGCATTTTTGATTAAAAAAACATAAGCTGTAGTACCACATTTAAAAAATGTGCTATTGTAAGAATAACAATAATAAACTACGATACTTTTTATTCAACGTTGTACAAACTGTGCTTCACTACATCTAAACAGCCCTTAATACGCTCACTTTGTAATGAAACGTAGTGAGACTCCTAAGTACTGGCGATATTTATAATACGCTCAGAAAAAGTGTGCTGTGACACAGTTTATCAAGATTACAATAAAACGTCATATCGTCCAGTTGAGCTCTCAGTTTAAACAAATTACTTAATTAATAAATAAGGCGTGGCGGAATCGCAGTCAGTTTGCATTTGCAACATCAGTTACTTGAACTGAATTAAACCGCGGTACGGGAGCATAGCTAGTGATTGACAGTAGCATTTGGTGCAGCCCTCATCATGGACAAATCACGACTTTAGCTTCACTGTTATCAATAAAACAATTTACATTTGCGACAAATCATACTAGATTTTTATGGCTTCCAAATGACACTTTCACCAAAGTATAAAAATGCCACAAACTCTACAGACAGCCTGATCACGAGGTCATCAGGGCTATCGAGCTGGCTAAAACCTGCACATGCAAAACATTAAACTTGTATAATAAACACCCTAAAAGGAAATGACCCTTTACTGCAGGAGGAAGTGGCATCACTTCATTTCTGCACTCGTGTTGTGCGTCATGTCTGATTTTGCTTACCAAACTGACAAGATCAAACAGACGTACATGTTAAGGAAATGCAGTTCAGAGTTTAAAAGAATTCCCCAGCTGTTTTCAACCTAACCTCTATTCATAGCTTACTGCTGATTACCACAAACAATAACCTCCCTGAACTTAGAAAAGAACAGAAAACCTGTTGAATAAGTACACTTATAATAGAAACCAGTGTAGGGGCATTTCTATTTTAAGTGTGTTTAGGCAACAAGTTGTCTGTTCTTCTACTAAATACAGGGAAACAAAAATCCTTTACGTGGCAGAGATAAGGTTGAAACACTGGAGGATTTCTTTACTACTGAGCCCCATAAGAGACAGGGTGAAGTAAACGACTGGAATCTCAAATCTTACCTGGCCGTTCTTGCTGGACTTTTAAGGACAGCTGCCTCACAAAGTCCAGTGGGAGTTTGACAACTTCCTGTGGACATTCAAAGCAACAATATTCAGCCCACTCACCAGGTCACTCCCTATGAACAAACCCTGCAGCAATGATGATCAAAAGTTTGGATGGAAAAAAAGAGTCACTTTTCAACAATATAAAACTCAGTTTGTTGACTCAAACAGTTATATGCCAAGTTTGAACAGCTCTGTTTAAATTACATGTGACTGTAAAGTTAACACATCCTCAGAGAACAGAGAACATGCTTCTCCACATTTTAATGCACATTTAAAGAACTGTTTATTTGCTTTTACCAATATTTTAAATTCAGCAAATTGAAACGTCATTGTGCAGAAGTGTAGTTTTCTGTAGAGGATGTGTAAACTTACTTTCACCCAGACAATCAACAAAACATGTGGCATCCAAACATTTCAATCAACCGAACTCATTGAGGGTTCCCTTCATTTGTAATGTAGCCAAGCATTACACAAAATTACTCACCATCACCTTCGAAGTGTTAATAACAAACATTAAATAAAAACACTGTTCACCACTGCCTTTAAAAGTCATTCATAACAACTTGTTTGTCTTTGTATTTGCATGTATTTGCCTCAAACCTACTGATGAAAACGAACCCAGTTCACATTCTGTTTGTTGACAACTGTGAAAAATACTAAACAATTAGCTAAAATAATTGTGTTCAAGTGATTATGTAATAATTGTAACAGGTCTAATTAGTAATCTCCAAACTTCTGAACGGTAGCATCTTTAAAAAAGAAAGCCAGAGAAAATAAGTGTCCACTCACTCCACTGTGTACGTATTTCTCCCCCAGCAAGGGCTTCATGACGTTTCTGTTATAATCCACTATGTTCAGTATGTGCTGGAAAGCTTGTTCTGTTGTCTGTTAATTAAAAAAATAAATAAATAAATAAATAAATAAAAAAAGAGAGAACAAATGTAGGACATTCTGTTAAGGTTTATGACTCAAATTCCCTTAAAAAGCATGAGCTGGTTCACATGATCAACAGCAACGCTCACAACACCACATTTAAAGGAAATGCAGATTACACAAGCCTAAATATTTTGTTTACCACTAAGCAGAGATTAGATGTGGGCCTCAAACTTTACCTGATGCGCATTTTCTGCGTCTTCAGACGGATACTTCAAGAGACGAAGGACTCTGGAGTGCTTTAAAAGCAAACAAAAAGCAAATGTTAGTGAAGAAGCTCTTTTCACAAACTTGAATTAAAGGCCACAGTACTGGGCCCACATGCTGCTTGTTTTGACCATCATTCAATGTAGTACATGGGACCAACCTCTTCGCTTCATGTGCATTTTAGTCATATTAAAGCGATGGTTCAGTGTAGGGGTGGGAATCTCTAGGCACCTCACGATTCGATTACGATTCAGAGGGCTGCGATGCGATTATAAAACGATTATCGATGCATCTCGACGCATCTTTTTTCTCTATACAGAATTTCTATTTTCCTACTGTCTGAGGACTTGGTAGTTTTAAAGCAAAGTATTTGTAATGATCCAGAATGTAAATGCAGTATTTTCGAGACTGGACACTGAATCTCGGCTCCAAAGTGTGCAGCATAGCGCGAAAGCCCTGGTTCTCAACGACTGAGAACAGACAGCAGACAGCAGGTCACAAAGCACCGAGGTCTGGCCTCGCCAGTAGCGAACGAAAAAACAGATTAAGACGAACATTTGGAGGACTATTCGCATTTATAAGCAGCGTGGTTGGTTAAATCTGCAATGAGAGACTGTCTTTCTCTAAAAAGTTGCAAAAATGAACTCTTTCGAATTTTCCCGTTCCACCTTAAATGGTGCAGCAGTTACATTCGGCGCCTAAGGCAGAATTTAAGGTGGAACGGGAAATTAGAACGACAAGCTGGCGAATGAGAAGCGACTACAGCCTCGTAAAACAGCCGGATGCTGAGACATTTTACAAGAAACTTCTAGTTTTGAAGAAAGGTTTTCTGGTGGAGATGGGAGGAAAGCAGCTGTAGCTAAAGCTTAAAGCAGAGCGAAGTAAATCTGCGCTCTCGTTTATATTTTTAGCCCATACTACGACGACAATAACACATACTGGACATTAAATGTTGTGGCTCCCAAGGTGGTTTGACTTTGTTGAAAGGACAAAATGGCTCTTCTGAACATTTGGGTTGTGACTCCTGACCTGACCTGCAGAGGGAGCCGGTCGGATTTCTCGCTCATCCACTTGTGTTTTTGTTATGTGCCGCCACAGACTGTCCGGGCGCTGCACTTAGCCTCTGCCAAGTTCCGCCTTTTGCGTTCCGACAACATTATGTTATAAATTAAATATTTAGAAAATCGATTTTTGACATTTGTGAATCGATTCAGAATCGTTCATGTCCGCATCGCGATGCATCTAAGAATCGAGTTTTTCCCGCACCCTTAGTTCAGTGATGAACTGCTCTGTGAATAAAGCATTAAAGTTACATGTAATCCAAAAATTCATACATGTACTGTTCTGTGTTCTTTTATGGTAAAACTACACAACTATTCATCCCGTTAGACCAAGCAGAATAAGTTCTATGACATTTTTCTTTATCATGACAGTGGCCCTGTATTGGGGTCAGTCTGAATATGGTGGTACACTGTGTCCCAGGTGATGCTGAGGTGTAAAAAAAGGATTTTAATACAAAATATGCCCTCAATGTGCTTAAATGCACAAAAAAATCCATTAGAGAGAGCTGGATTTCAGCTCAGTAATCAGGTTTTTCAGCGCAGGCATAACCTCATTCTGATTTCTTTAGCCTTTCTCAGTCTCTGCATGTGTGCAAACAGAGTAGAGCTGTCCCCGAATCAGCATTAAACACCACACCCACGAAATGACAATAAGACACTTTAGGAGTGAAGCTGGAAGCAACTACACACTTGACAAAAGATGAAATTGAATTTGCCTCCTGTTCTGGATGATGTCAATTCATATTCGACAGTAAAAATAACATTAAGCTTAAAAGTCTGTGATCTTATCAGCCGTTTTCACAGCAGAACTCCAGTTACTGCCCAACTCATGTAGACCTCATTATCTGATTATTCAAGTGCATGTAAACACGAAGGAATTACTAAATACAAAATGTGATTTTCTGCAGTTATTAGTTTAATAAGTACTTTGAAACGCAGTCTTTGTTTTCATCTATATTGAAATAAAGGTGCATACATAAATGCATTACTCAAGTGAAACATGTGCTTTTCAAAATGTGTTTTCATATCTAGTCCAAGTATGCATTATAGGCTGTCCCACAACCAATTAAGTTATAGAAGTATTTTTAAAGAAGAACAAAAACAATCACTGTTAAACATTTTAAAACGCTGGATCTGTTATATTGCCTTTTAAATATAGGGTGATGCAAAAAGGTTCATCCAATTTCAAAGCGGCGCATTTTTACAACCGTGAGGCGCCTAGGAACCAATCACATACCAATTGAAAGAGGGGGTCACAGAATTTCTGACTGTCACCGGAAGATGACTCTCTTCAGTCTGAGGGGAGATGGAGACCCCTGAGCAGAAAGCGTTTCACATTCCCCACTTCAATAAGAGTGAATCCATCATAACTGTGCAGTGTGATTTTTGTCGGCAGTGAACCTCCAACAGCTCAGAGCATTCGTCGTTGGTTCCACAACACTGGATGATCTCTGAAATCGCACTGAAAGAGCCGCGAGTACAGAGACCCCCGACATGCTCAATCAAGTATGGGATGAATTTGACTATGGTGTTGATGTTGGCCGCACAGCTGGAGGAGGTTCATATTAAGCACTTGTAAATTTACATAACAAAAAGTAAGTAAAGTAAAGTAAAATAAGTCATTTTGAAATCGGATTAATCTTTTTGAATCACCCTGTAGTTCAAATCAAGATTTTTAAACTAACTATTTTTAAAACTAAATACACCCTCCCCCACCACATTTACATATTGCTGTTGTCAGAACAAAACCAAATTCAGAACAAAACTGTACAGGAGAAGGAAAAAACCTACTTTATTTTCAATGGAAGTCAATGGAACCAGACTTTTTCCCCCCACCCAAGTCATTTTGGGCCATTTTTTTTGGTCCATCCATCATGAAGTTTACACACAATGTAAAGTGCAATAGACATTTTCAAATTCTCAGAAACTGAAAAGCAACAAAAATGGAATTGAAAGGTTTTGTTCCGACAGCAGCGATTTATAAAACATAGATAAAGTCCATCCATCTACATCACACAGCCAAAAAGAGCAAAAGTTTGAACTCTGTCTATGTTCATAGGTAACAGCATGGCATACAGCATCAGAAACCACAGTAATCTCAGATAAACTTGCTTAATAATTTCACACAGTTTGAGGGAAGTGTGATTGTGATATGGAGGTACAAACTTCCATTACGTGTTAGACACATTAGCCTCACAGCACCAGTGTAAAACTAAAGAGCAAAACCCAACAACCACACTGAGGTAAGGAGAAAGATTTTTTTTGCAAAACAATTGCTTTAATCTAAATCTATAAGTTAGTAGGAGCAGCAAACAATGCAGCAGTCTTATAGAAAAACTCCAGATCTAAGCTCCATCAGTAAACTCTGCACTTCATTCAACAATAAACAAGCTTCAGTACTGAAAAAGAAAATTTTACAACCCCAGTATTTTCAGCTGTGCCTGGAACGCTAAGATAAACAGACAATACTGATCACAATCATTCAGACAGAGGGGCTCCTTACTGACTTTTCTTTTGCATTTAGGTTTATAAAAACCAACAAGCTCACAATTAGACTAAATCTAAACTCTGTTGTGACTGATATCCATCTGCAAACTGGTTCAAGAACATTACGTTTCGTACTCTTCCAATTGTATAATCCCCCACCAGAGAGGGGGTCCTTTCAAGCACAGTCATTTTGTTTGTTTGTTTGTTCTCCAACATCACAGCGACTTGTGAAAGAATCTATTTGTCTCAGCATGACTCAATAGAAATGACTCGTCAGTAGATGTCTGGAAGGGAATGTCCAAATAGCTGTTTCCTTAAACGAAAGGCTGTAAAGTGGGGCAAAATGTGAAAAACTAAACGAGAGCAGAGCTGGGCAGTACTGAAAATTCAATATCACAATATTTTCCACATATCTGATGATACTAGATGATATTTAATAAAACCCAGGCTTAATACATTCTACGGCTGATTATTCAGTAACGGACCATGACACAATCTGGCTGAGTTATTCTTAAGTAAGAGTTGTGATAAAAGTTAAATGAACCTATTCTTCCCAAGTGCGACGACTCGATCCTAAAGAATCTTACAAAACTGCCATAGCGTGTTTTGAGCGGGATGTTTTGAGCGGGATGTTTTGTTCCGCTTCAGTTAAGAAAAAGCAGCATTTTAAATGTTAACTAAACAAAGCACATTTCAAAAGGCAGAACACTTATTTGTATACATTGTGAACGGCTTAAAACAGTCTGAAGCATCCAGCAAACGTCACCGGTCAGGTCCTGGATACTATAAGCTCAGCACAAGACAGAATAAAAAAAAAGAACTAAAAACAAAGCGCTTGGCAACAGAGACGTCACTACTTTATTGAACAGAAAAGTTATTTATGATGGTCATCTGTCAATATTGGTAGTGCGACACTAGTACAAATACAGATGACGTACCATCCCACACTAAATTAGAGCCAGCTTATCTAAACATGATTATCTTTGTCTATGGGTGTAATTTGGGCTGGTTAAATATACCTAATGCTGCACTATGTAAGTTTGTTGGCGACCTCTCTGGTGGAAATGTGTAATTGCATGCAGTGTGCAGAAGAACATTTAACTCTGGTTGTGCTTCGGAGCCCTTCCTTGAGCGGATGAACCTGACCATTGAAAGAGAATTCAAAGAGAACTCAGCCACAACTTAAAGGATGTGTCTTCGAGGATGTGAGTGAATTATCTATTATTGTCATGATTTCTTTATCAGTATGATGTTGATTTAGCAATTGAGACCTAAACATCGAGCTGGACCTACTTTTTTGAACATGGACATGTGACGTTAATTCATAAAGACACATGACGTGGCCCGAAAAACTCCCAACCCCAAAACTCCAACTTTTAAACAAGTATTTCAGGCTTAAAAAAAGGCAACTCCCAGCTGCACATGCACACAATATTTTAGCCTGCTTCTTCCTCCTGACTCAACTAAAACATTTTAGTGCAGCTTTGAATTACAAACTAGAAGTTCTATAGAGTTCTAATTATTATTATTACTACAATCTAAAACTGACACTGTTTCAAATATTAACTGCAATTTTTCAATACTGTACAGAAGTTGTTACACATTATTTCAGTCTTAAAAAGGAACTACACAGATTTTTCAACATTTCTGTATAATTCAATGGCTGAGACTTTGGTGACTCAGAGTTTTGATGTGAAATTGTTCACTGTAGAGAAACTTAGAGTCAGAATTCTTTACAGTGGTGGTGATAGAAACCAGAGCTTTTGATGACCACAACACAAATATAGGCATTTTATTTACTACTCAAAACCATCAGTGGACCTTCACATGTCAGTTTTTATATGTAATCATAATAAATATTGAAAAAAAGCTTTAAATCTGACTAAAAGGTTTTGTTTGGGGACTATTCTGCCTCCTAAAGCCCTGCATGTATTAAAAACATCATAACCAGTTCATGTATTAACCTTCTGTGAGGGACCTTCGAGGCATTGAATGCTTCGGACATCTGGTTCCTATCACCATCACTGAACAATTGTGACTCGGCAAGTTTCTCCAGAACAGAGCACTTCACACTGAACCACTCTGAGTGACATGGACATTTTGCAATTCTCCATTAAATAACATTGAATAACTAACCAGAGCGAGGAAGAAAGCAGGCTGGACCCAGAAAGGCCCAAAGAATGTCAAAGTCAGTGAACATGTGACTAATGTAGGTTTGAGCACAATGGTGTGGGAGAGGGAGAGAATGTGTGTCAACAGCAAACAGAGGGACAAGCCCTTACAGGATTCAGACAGAACAAGGTGAAAGGCTGCGGGAAGGTGTACCGCAGTCCATATGTTCCACAGGGAAAAGCATACAGTAAGGAGGTTTTAAAAGTCCTTGTCGCAAACTTAGCCCACCAGTGACCCTTCATTCTTTATTCAGTAAACCAGATCAGGTCAATTCAGCTGAATGAGAGGGGTTATCTTTCCCCACACAGAAGTCAAACAGCTGAATAACTAGTTCACGTTACCAAAAACGCAGTTAGAGAAGAACTTCCAGATTAAATCATGACCTTTGCTTGAGTAGCTACTTACCTTTAACTTTCTTATCACTTCAGAATGGACTGCCAAGAAGTTTGTGCAACAGAAACAACCACAGGGATGTTTAAACGTCGTATACAGCTATACACTCTTATAAGGGACTGTTCTTCAAGGGTTCTTCAGTGGCTCTATACATAGCTCATTTTGGTGCTATACAGAGCCATCTCCTATACAAAATCTATATAAAACCATATACAACACATCCTCCATCAATCTGAAGAACCATTTAAGCATGAAATGGTTCTATATAGAACTCAAGGTTCTATACAGAACCACTCCCTTTACTAAAGGTCCCTTTGAGAAGCATCTTTAAGAGTATAGCAGAAGTTAAACTATTTGGTTAGCTAACCTAACTAACTGTTTTGCTAGCTAAGCACCCACGACGATATGTTGCTTTAAATGACACTGGCAGGTTCGAGCTTCATGTCAGGGTCCTTTAATGCTGTTAAGATTGAGCTGAATCTTAGAAAAGTCTTTCTAAAGCGATGATTGACTCCTCAAAACGCTAAGAGGCGCGGTCGACATGTAGAGATAAAACAGCTACGCAAGGCTAATGAGTGGAGATTGTAACGTTAGTTAGCCAGCTAACGCTAAGTTAGCTCGCCAACTGCAAACTACAAAAGCGTCGTTTTTAAAATGAAACGCTCGCTGAAGTTTGATGGCCACTTGCTGTTTTTGATGTCCGAGTTCTGTCCAGCCCAAATGGCCGGTTTTGGCCAACTAACGTTACTTGGCTTCTTCAAACCAACGTACGTACTCGCAAAGAGCCCCGGTGAATTAGCTCGCTAAGCTAAGCTAGCACGTCGCTGCCTGTCAGCCTTACCTGGACGTGAGAAACAACGATGCTCTTGTTTCCTTCTCCGTGGTATTTCCAGTCGTTTTCGTCCATTTTGTCCAGTTCCATAACACGACAAGAACTGCACGGTGATTTTTTCCTTCTGACCGGAGCCCGACTTTTCCAGAGTGCGCCGATTAGGCCGAGCTCAAACTTCCAGAGCAGCCAAAAGCGGAGCTCCGACAACACTGAGGAAACGCCGCGGCCGCCGCCGCTTTAGTAACCGCGACGCTCTTCTCTTTTCCTATTGGCTGCAGCGTTCTCGGCGCGGATTCTCATTGGCTCTTCGCTTAGTAAAGACTCAATGAGTTAACACCGAAGTGGGCGGGTCTTGTTTAGACGCTGTGACGTGAATATGATATAGGGTGCGTCTCAAATCGACCACGTGTTCCGTGAGTACCACACTATCTAGAGATGGAGCAATTTTCTAGGGCGTGCTAGTCAGAAGTTCTTATGGCAAGAATGCATGCTTGGCCCGTTTCCTTCAGTCATACAGCCTCCTGTCAACTACGCCTGAAACACAGCTTTAAAACATATTTGAAATTAGGGATGGGCGATATGCCAAAAATATTAAATCACAATACTTCATGGCATTTTCACGATACATGACATGCATCACGATATTTAGTTTTTCTGAAATTTAATAAGTTGGAACAGACAAAATAAAACCTGTAGTGCCACATACAGAGAATACTGTAATAATAGTAATAATAAACCTACAACTACATTGATTTTTATTCAATGTTTTACAAACTGCACTGCAAGAAATCCAAATTCCTGTCCAAAACCACCAGCGATCCTACACGTCTTCAGAGTTTTTATATGAAATGTTAATGATGGTAAAATGGTGGTAAATCTGAAAAAAGTTTTCTTTGGAGAGTTTTTGGCCTCACAACACCCTGCTTGTAACCCTCTGCCTTGAAAACATTTTAAATTAGGCCAAAATCTTCTCGAAATTATCATAAAACAATGCCTCAGACATCAATCAGTCTATTCATAACCATTTCATGTAACAAGTGATGGACGTCTGGTTCCTATCACCACCACTGTGAACAATTCTGAGTTTCTCTACAACAGAGCATTTCACACCAAACCACTCTGAATGACTCTGTTTACATCTTAAGGATTTAATAATGTACATAAAATTTGTGAGTAACAGCTTGAGGAACCATGCTGTAGTGCCCTCTTTCTTTTTGTTGTTGTTAGCTGTGTAGCCTTTAGCATGCTAACCAGCCAGTTAGCAGTGATGTGATGAAGTTGTATCAGCAGTGATGCTGTTTGATGATTTCCTGCTATAGTTTATAAACAGCTTTGTCTGTCATTATTTTCAGGCTTGAGAAGTGACATGCATCAGGTTGCAGTGCTTTCTGGGTAAGTTCTACAGCTGAAGTCTTATGCCCACTCGATCCCCCACCCCTCTGAGGCCTCACCTAATAAACTTCACCTGAGCTAATAAGAAGTAATGGAACGAGGCCAAGTGAAAAGGGGCTTGTTAAAATCAATCCAGTCTCAATCAGTCTAGAGAATCCCAGAATGCACTGCAAACTAACCAACAACAAAAACTAAATTTTAGTTCACGGCTGAATTTAACAGTCGTATTCATAACAGTCCTATCCTAACTGTTTCTTTACCTGTTGAAATCAGTCATGTTTTTAGTTGTCAGTTAGGATTTAGCTTAATGCAACATGATGAAAGTATCACACTAAATTCTCTCTCTACCGTTTGAGGCAGATGTGACAGACTCCTGTCCTCGCAGGCCAAAACACTGCAGACTTCAACACTCTGTGTCATTAAACATACCTGATTCAGCTCATCAGGTAATTAGCAAGGCCTTAATGAATTCAGAGCGTTAGATGAGGGCTAAACGCTTATCTCTGAAGTGCTTTGTCCTGGAAGGTCCCCTAAATGATATGCCTGGGTTACGGTGATAATAACACTAAGATGCTTTCGGTAAACTGGACCCAGGTCAGTACTTTTATTTTCTAGGTAGTAACAGTATTTGATTTGAGACATGTCCCATGTCATGTTTCCATTAAACAGTGATTTGAGAATCAACAATACCAGTGCAGTTGAAAGGGCTGGGCCATGTTTGAGAGCTACACAGATTTTACTAATATTATTCAACAACGCCCAACAGAGCTACTTCAAACCATCTGTAGTCTCATATATTTGTTTCCAATTCTGTTTCTGTGGACATTTTATTCCAAACTGACATGAAAATGTTTGTGGGTCAGTTTCCCAAACCCAGATTAAGCCTAAACCTAATCTAAGATGATTTATTTTTACTTATTTTATAATTAACATCTTATTTGCACACACAATCAGGTTTGCAGATACAGTTACCTTCGGACATACATACTTATGGTTAACAGTGGACATGATAAAGAAGGGAGGAAAGAAAAAAAAGGGAAGAATTGACTATTTAGGACCGTGCCTCAAGGTAAGACATTAACAACTGCCAAATTTGCCAGAACTTATACATTTTCTGATTTAAGTTGTAGATCAATTGCTCTAATGGAAGCACTGTTGTAACTTGGGACAACCAGAGATCAACAGATGGAACCTAAGGAGTTGACCACAAAAGTAAAATACATTTCTTGGCCAAAGATACTAATATAAAAAACAGGTGCTTTGTTTTATAGTCAAGTACAGGTACAAGCAGTAAGACTAGGCAAGGCTTCAATATTTTTTTCAAGCTCATGGTGAATCCCCTTCCAGTAAAATTGTATCTTGTCACATGACCAGAAACAGTGCATATATGTACCTCTTTCCTGTTTACATTTGAAGCAAAGATTTGAGCAACCTGAGGAGATCTTATGGAGGCAAACTGGCGTAAGATGTCTTATTGATAAACTTAAAATTAATTTCATGAAGAGATGTCAGGCATACTCTACGCTGGAAGCCTTCCCAAATCAATTTCCAATCATCATCACCACTTATGTTCATGCCCAGATCTCGCTCCCACATACCCCTCAGATAAGGTAGAAAGGATGCACATACACCAGACAGTAAGTTATATATTTTTGATACAAGTCCTTTCAGGCCACGGTGCCCATCCAGAAGCTCGTCTATCTCAGTCAGCTCTATTCTCAGTTTACCTGCATTTTATCTAAGAATTTTAAAGGTGATTGCCCACTGGCACTGCAACTTAGTCCAATAATAAGGCTTAAAAGAAGAACCACACAGATTTTTCCAAGGTTCTGCAAAACTCAGTTGCTGAGATCTAAACAATCACTCAGACTGGCTTGATGTGAAATGGTTCATTGTAGAGAAACTTACTTGCTCCAATTTATTTACAGTGGTGGTGATAGGAACCGGGGGTCAAAATGGGCCTCATTCACCAGTATCTTCTTAGTTTTTTTCTTAAATTTGTTCTTGGGAATTGTTTGCATATTTGTGCTCTTGAGTGTTTGTAGATTCTGTCCCAAATAAGAAAACATTGATATCAAATTCTTTGTGATTTGAAGTAGAATGCCCTGCATGTACCTCTTCACCATAAATGGTTTTTAAAAATAAGTTTTAGGCCAAAATCTTAGAAGCATTTTTTGTCACCATTTGATATAATAACTTTGTGATCTGAGATATTGTAGTCAATAAACTGGTTCCTATCACCACCACTGTGAACAGTAGTGAGTCAGAAAGTTCCTCTAGAACAGAGTATTTCACATCAAACCACTCTGAATGAAGTGGTTTACATTTTGCTCTAAAGCCCGTTTTCCCAGACCCAGATTAAGCCCAGGCTCAGTCTTTATGGGATTTTAAAATGGTGAAACACAATTAACATCGTAATTTAGTCCACAACTAAGGCCAACTCCTTGAAACCAGCCCTACATTTTTTAAAGAATGTAAGCATGCGAGTATGACTTGAAATAAGCACACATGTAAAAATATCATTCCTCTTTCATTTGTTTGCTTGGTCTACTCCCACAGGCCCAAGAGATGGGAACACATTCCACAAAGGAAGTAATTAAAGCTGATTGGACTGCCTAGAATTTCCCCCTAAAACGCACCAACATGCCAAGCAACAACACAACAAACAGGCTACAAAAAGGATTTTAGCAAATTCAAGAAATCTTTAATCAGAATTTATAAAACATTTACACAAATTTACAGGTGTTAAAAATGAAACAAAATATATCAATTTTCCTGAATCATTAAAACAAATCATCACTAATTAAAAAAAGACTTAATGCCCAAACGTGAAAAGTGAAAAAAGTAAAACAAAGACGACCCAGACAGCTCAGTGTGACATTAGCTCGAAACGGTCATCATGTTAAATGGCTTGGAGGGGCTCGACCGGCCAATTCTCAGTTCTTCTTTACAGCTGTCCGCAGAGCTCGGGTCCATCTTTGGCGGAGGTGTGGACTCATAGAGCACGCAAATGGAACCGTCTTCTCCTATCCGATAGGACACTTCATACGGGTCAACCCACATGGTCAGCTCGCTCGGTAACAGCGAGAACAGCTGTTCTCTGGTCAGTCCGATGGTGAGGGCGGCTTTACCTATCAAAGGGTCCATCTTGTGGTTGATCCTAATACACCTGTAACCTGAACCTCGGCACGGAGCATCTGGGAACCAGTGGTGTTGATAATGCTCTAAAATGAAAGACAACATTATTGTTAAATGGGAATTTTGTCAAATTTTTCCAGAAGGCAATTGTTCAGTTGTAAACAGAGTCATTCAGAGTGGTTTGGTGTGAAATGCTCCATTTTAGAGAAACTTACAGAGTCAGAATTGTTCACGGTGGTGGTGATAGGAACATCTAAAGCAAAGCTCCCTCAGAAAATTAGTACATGAAATGGTTATGAAGACACTGTCTGATGCCTGAGACATTATTACGATAGTTTTGAAAGAAGCTTTCGGGCTACAATCCATTTTTTAAAACCCACTTATGGCTGAGTGGTACACGCAGGACACTATGAGGCAAAATAGTCCCCAGAGAAAATTCATTATTCATCATTATTTTATCATCATTTTATATACAACTCAAGTTTTGGATAGTAAATAAAATGGCTATATTAAGTCAGCAAGTTTCTCTACAATGAAGTATCTCACATTAAACCACTCTGAATGACTCTGTTTACAACCCAGCGATGGTATTACGCATAAATTTTGAGCAATTGGTGGAATTCCCCACCAAGTTCTGTTCACCTTTCTCATCTCACACATTGACTTAAAGAGGCTGTTTTGTTTAATATAGTTAATTTGAGGTTCATTCTAAAAAATTATCACTGAAAATCAAATTTTCATTGATTTTACTAAATAAAACAGTTTATTGTAGCATGTAAACTGCACTATATACTTTAAAAAGTATAATGCAGGGCTAATTTTTTTTTCCTGCACAAAACTAAACCATCTCCACAAATGTGAAAAATAATCTACTTAAGACTGTAAAACAGACTGCAGCCTGTGTTGTTGGCTAAAAAAATTCATATGTTCTCTCGAGTTCACTCTAGTGGACCCATTCATTCAAGCACTAAATTTAGTACAAGGAAAACAGCCACAGAACCCATTCCAATTGGTCTGAAACTGCATAGTTAACCTTCACAAGAACGTCTAAGAGTAATCGCTTTTTACATTACATTTAATTGTATTGCTTTTTATCATAACAAAATTTGGGTTTTCTAGTGTTTTGTTGACAATCTCATCTCATTTGACCAAAAAATGGAATTAAAGGGGAATTCCACCAATTTTTCAAAGTTTCTTTCAATTAAACGGTTATGATGTAAACAAAGCCATTTAGAGCGTTTGGGCGTAAAATGAAACTTACCAAGACAAAATTGTTGACAGTGGTGATAGAAACCAGATAGTCACCTCTGAAAGCTTCCTCACAGAAAGTTACAACATTAAATCAATACTCAGCCTGACGTCCAAGACACCGTTTACAGTTTACAGTAGTTTTTTGGCCTAAAACATTTTATAATATAATAAATAATATTTTATTTTAATTAATTCATGGTGGAGGCGTGGCTCTGAGGCAAAATACCACTATTTTACCACCATCAACATTACATATAAAACTCAGAAGACTCGTGTAGGTTCACTGATGGTTTTGGATAGTAAATAAAATGGCTATATTTGTGTTATAGACATCACAACCCCTGGTTCTCATCACGACCACTGTACAGAAATCTGCGTCAGCTTCTCTACAAATGAACTATTTCACATCAAACCACTCTGAATGACTTTGAAAACATCTCAACCACTGAATTATGCAGACATTTTAAAAAATTGGTGGAATTCCCCTTTAATGAGATAAATTAAGTGAAAGTCACTTCATTTCTTGCCAGATTTGTGCTCAGGCAAGCTGGGAGAACACAGGCCAACATAACAGATGTGAACATTAAAGGATTAAGGAAAAAGCTAATGAAGATTGTTCACAGAAGCGTGAACAGTGAATGGTATCTAGTCTTCTCCTAACCTACTCACCTCCCAGAGCTTCTTCGAGTGAAAGGCTGAAGTGGTGCAGCTGCTCTTCTGAAAGGAGCCCAGTTCCTCTCAGTAATTTGGTAATGAAGTTCACAGCAGTGGACACCTCAGTTTTCATCGCGAAATATTTTCATGAGCTGTAAAAAAAAAGGAACAAAATGCCCATTTAAGCTGAATGAGAGATGAATTTAATCTAACAGTCAGTCAGTCTAACGACTTAGCTAGGTTCGGTTAGCAGAGTTGGCCTGTGCTGCTGCTGCCGTGTTGTAGGTTGGCAGATTTTTCCTTTGTTCAAAACAGAAAGACAAAACGACCCTGAAATACAACTGACCGATTCCAGTTCATCAAAACAGGTTGGCGGGGAGTTTCTGCGTCTTTATCGTCAACTATCCGTCCGTCACACCCACGAAAAGTGAAATTTTATCGACTTTTCTTCGACCACAAACTTCTCTTTTCCCTCCACAGGACCAACAGCGAAACTGGAGCTGCAGCTGAACGGTCAGCTGGTAAACACTCGCGAGCGCTACAGCACCAGCTCGACCAATCAGCTTCCACCCGGGCCATTACGTCACGCCCACTCTGTATGTACACACGGCGTGCTTTCATTCAATGAATTCTGATTTGACCTATATGTTTTTTCTCCAGCACATATTGATGATCATTTATTTTCTTTATTTGTATCACTAAATACTTCAATACAGAGGAACTACGTTAACCGAACTGCTTCTAAATTGAACATTTTTCTGGTAGAAATTAATTTTATATCTATAAGCTAGTACTTCTCAACCCTGGTCCTGCTCCTGGAGGCCCACTGTCCTGCACTTTTTAGTGTTTTCTCTGCTCCCAACAAATCTGATCCAACTAATCAGCTCATTAACAGCCCATTATTGAGTTAAAGTGTGGGGGTTACAGCAGGAAAAGCACTGCGCAGGACCATGGGCCTCCAGGACCAAGGTTGAGAAACACTGCCAAAACACTAAACACTATCAAAAGCACAAACATTGTGTCTGGATTAAAGTGTCTGTGCAGATAAAGTGAGTGGTTTATATTGAATACACTGTCCTAAATGTGATCAGTGAAGTATTACAGTACCATACATAAAAAATAACATTCAGAATACATTTGGAACACATATTGATAAAGCACATGAGAATTTTCATTTATGTAATTAAGTAATTTATTTAATTTTATTTCTGTAATTTTTATGTAATTTGCACTGCTCCTTGCTGTTATGGGTTTGCAGTTTTCTTCATATAATTCTTCTGTTATATGTTTCAAGGAAAATTAACTTATTTAAATGAAGTTATGAAATTCCCAATGTTTTTTTGTCTCCCATAATACCACTGCCATCTCATGAACTAAGCAAACAGTTAACCATATCCCAAATATATAGGCAAACTTGACCGTAAAATGGTTAGCTATGTGATTTTCAGATAATGGCAGGTGTGTAACTTGCCACAAAATGATGCATGAGCCCAGTACAACACCAATGCTAAGCTTATCACTACTGAAGATGTTAACTAATGAGGACACTGTGTAGTTCCATCATCCCTTGAAAGAGTTCAGTAACACTAAGATTGATAACTGATCTTAACATTGATTTATCAGTCTGCTCAGGCTTCAGCAGAGCTCAGCAACACTGAGATTAATAACTGATCATCCCATTGATTTATCAGTCCACTCAGGCTTTAGCAGAGCTCAGTAACACTGAGATTAATAACAGATCATCCCATTGATTTATCAGTCCACTCAGACTTTAGTGTTTCAGTGTTTGTAAAGGAGCATTTCTTTTTTTAGTTCTTCTATTAGAGTATACCTTTAAACACTATGCACTGATATGAAATCAGTTCATAAATAAGCATTCATGGTGTTTCTTTTAAAGACAGTATATCAAGTGTGTATATTTAGTGGAAAATTATTTTACATTTTTTTCTCCTAAAAATGTAAAAAGTAACTGTATTCTCAATACTGCCTTTACAACATGTAGCCTTGATTGAATACAGATACTTAATGTGTGTATTCTGAGTACGTATTCCCAATATTTGTGTTCCATTATATCCCAAATCTGGTGAAGTATAATATTTCACATGCAAAGTGACTCTGTGCAGCAGATTTAGTACAACAGATAGGGCTGAGGTAGCAGTTCTGTCCTGATGCCTAAAGCCTTGTATACCATTCGATGGAAATTTTCTTGATAGTTGTAAAACTTGACCCAGTGACTGATGACCAGTCTTCACCTCCCACTGCAGTGCTTTCCTGTCTGAGATCACTGTCTGGGCCTCTGACTGACGTGGGCCTTGTGGGGGCCTCCAGACCACAAGGCTCGAGGTGGGACAGTCCACTGCAAAAACATTAGATGAACAAACAGCCTGTGAATGTGTACAAATGAACAAATAAGTGAAAGAAATGAAGAACTGTTATCTGTTCTCAGGTCCATTATCTGTTTTCGGTTCTAATTGACTTATTTGTGAGATATTGTTGTTGCCATTGAAATGGGATGTTAGGCTCAATCCTATTTCTTATTTTTACCTCTGCCCCTTGTTTTCCCTTTGGAACTGAATTTTCCCCTATGAAATGGGACCCTCAAATAAAAAGAGCATTACTTCATTAACAGGCTACTAGGGGTGCTCTGTAGGCGACCCTGCCAGTCTGCAGTGATAGCAGAGGAGGGTAAAGTTCAACAACCTCGCTGCTGGGCTTTAGTTACATTTAGGGAATTATATGCAGTCAAAGAGGGGGGAGGTGACAATTATTCAGTGCCCACCCCTAATTCTTCAGTGATATGAAGCTGAAGTCAGCTATTCAATAGCTTCTTGCTTAAATTTTGTTGTTCCACCTTAAATGGAGCAGCATTTACATTCTGGCGCTTCAGGTGTCAGAACTGCTGGAGTATTTAAGGTGGAATGAGAAATTTAGCTAGCTAGATACCAAGACATTAGCATACTATTAGTGATTTTTTAAGCTTGTTATGAAGAAAAGGACCATAATACAGTAAAAAGACATTAAACTTTTATAATATACAATGATTACTGTAATTTTTGAACAGAGAAAATTCTCACATTTCTGTTTTTTTTTAATCATTTGCATATCAATCTTGTCGGTTTTTCTTTTTTTCTCATGACACTGCGTTTGGAGTGTGCCTCTAAAAAACCTCAGTTTAGAGGTCCATGTAGTCCTAACACTTCACCCCACCCCTCTATCTCAACATAAACCAGCACACCAGGCTAAGTGGTAGGGGCAAGGCGTGAAATGGGATTGGGCTACTTCTGCTTTTGCATTATGATTCAATTTGGCTTTTCACTTTAATGAGGCTGATTTTGTATTTTTTTTTTTTGTATGGTTGAAAATTGTAAAATAAACATATTAGCTTTCACAGCCTCAGCCTTGCTCAAAATGGACATAAACATGTTGTTTAATTTCACTTTCAGGTTTTGTCATTTTATTTTATTTTAAACGTTATTGCACAGCTGGAGAGTAGGGGACTTCCAAGTGCCTGGGAGCCCTGCAAGAATGTCCACCAGTTTCAGTACCGGTTTTAACAAGCCCTCGTCCACTTGGCCTCGCAACTTCCCCTCGGGGGAATCTCTGATGCTAACTTAAGGCTTCTTCTATCACTCCACCAGTCCAAATTAAGTCTGTTAGAAGAGCCCTTGGAAAAGCAAGGGGCCAAGTTATTGCGACTTTTGGCTTCAGCACCAGAGTTTAGCCTGTAATCATTGTGACTCAAAACTCGAAAATTACTCGACAAGTCCATAAGCCATAGAAGCAAACTGCTTTAACATGCTTTATTATTCAAAAAACACAACATTCTACTTGCTGGGCTTTAGTTACAAACTACTCCATCTACTGACACAACTTCATCATTTTAATATGCGATCTGGCCGACAGCAACAAAAAAACAGTTCTTCACTGCAATTCTACACCTTTATAACCAGATAAAGCATTTAATCATAAATAGTCTCCTTGGGAAATAAAGGCAGTGCCTTCTTCACTAAGGAAGAGGCGTTTAGGAAGCAGATGAGGTTATCATGATTTATAATCTCAGAAACTTCAAGCTGTGCACTGCTTCCTCTGTCATACTGCAGAGGTGCAGAGGGGTGTGAGGCACTGCAACCTTATGAAGACCACAATCACCTCTTTTGTTTTGCTAACATTCAGAGAGAGGGCGTTGTTCTCACAGCAGACTTCCAGCTCCCTCCCCTCCCCTCATGTTGTTTAGCCCTACAACTTTAGTGTCACCAGCAAACTTGGCGACTGTTCATTGTGTGATGTCTGCAGTTGTGGCTGATCAGGGTGCGCAGAAGAGGCCTCGGTTTACAGCTGTGGGGGCTGCAGTGTTTAGGGTCATGAAAGGTATGAAGTGTAAAATGTCATGATACATTATATCATATTCATATTGGATCCAAAATCTACATCAGCCAGTCCAAAGTCAAAAGCCAAAACACAGGTCAAACCAGAAAGTACAACAATACTTCACCATTAAGCTAAGCTGAAATTCAGACTTATACTCTAACGCAACAAGCACATGGAACAAGGAACAGTTGTGGATAAACAGTAGTCAGGCGAGGCAGACCGTTGTAGGGTCATGTGAGGGAGATTAGAGGTCATGTGATCCGGAGTGGGGTTCTGGATAATGGAGTCTGGGGGTTGGGAGGTAGAGATGGCAGGAACAGAGGGAAGCATGATAAGTAGTTATGAATCAGAAAATGAGTTTCTTTTATTTTGCTGGGGACAAGAATCTTATGAGAAGCAATCCACATAAGGCTAATATTTAAATGTGGGTGTGACAAACTCCACTTGCAGCACCCTCTGGGGTCCAGTGCTGTCTGGCTGCTAACTCACTTGCCATAGTGGTGCTGATGCTTCAGTGGCAGCTAAATGTTTGGTTTATCAATTTATTTTATGGAAATGCTCTTCCTAGTTTGGTAATGTGGTCTTTCCCATGTTAATAGTTGTCTTATACATCTTCCCTTTTGTTTTCGGTTTGAGAAATGAGTAACAGTTCCACAGTTTCAACAATTTCCACCAGTCTCTTGGGAAATTGGGCAAAGTTTCAGATTTACAAATAGGCTATGTCATTAAGATTTTCAGAGATATCCTGGTCATAGCAACAGCTGCTGGGCTATGAACGACCAACTAGCTGAACTAATTTGCTATGGCGCCACCCTGAGGCAGACCACCCTGCTGAAAAAACCCATAGATACCATCAAGTGTTTCTGTTGGTTCCTGATGATTTTGTAATGTGTTTTGACTTTTTTAATGGGTTGATATCACAGTGCAAAGGATCCTAATGGTTTAACAGGTGACCAAAGGCTGATTAAACGCATTTGATGGTTTACTACAGGAAACTCATGGTGTCTATTGGAAAGCATTAAGCCAACTCCCTTTAGAAAGCAAAACCATTAGGTTTTAATCCAGATGGTTTCAAATGGTCCTTTTTTAGCAGGGCAGTGCTGCATCTCTAGTCAGTAAAGAAAACTAAAGACAGAATCTCACTGATTGTGATTGAAGCAGATTAAACAATGGCTTTTCCCTGAATTTGTATTTGAGTGTCTATTTTTGTTGAACAGACAGCACTGTGTCATAATAAATCATAATAAGTATATTTTCAGGGACCCACCAGAATTTTGTTTTTTAGACATTTGAGGGGTCTGAATGTCTAAAAAATTGTCTAAAGATATTATTTAGGGGACCCTGAACCCCTAAGGACCTGTGTTTTGCACGGCACTGTACATGTCTGTTGTGTTCTTTGCTTTCCTTTACACTCTGCTTCTTGTTTTATTTTCTTTGTGCCACTGTGTTTCATTATTGGCTGTTTTTCTGGCCTGTTTTGGAGGTAAAGTGACCTTGAGTTTTGGAAAGGCGCTATATAAATAAAACACTATTATTATTCATTTTAATAATGTTATTACCTGACAGTAAAGAGCTCTGAAAGGGAAGAGGTTGGTCAGCGTTCTATATTCTTGGGAAAATCATGTTAAATTTTTTTTTAATATTTAAAATTGTCTTAGAGCTGTCTTGCTCTCACAGAGGGTAGTTTTATAAGGAGGGAGGTGTGTATTTTTTGTAAAGGGGCTTCAGAATCCATTAAGCACTTATTTTTCTGTTGTGTATGTTCTTACTCGTTCTGGGTTGATCTCGTTTTAGACTTGAAAAGCAAAAATGGTAAAGAAATTCCTCTCAAAAGCCACATTACTTTTCGATGACCCTCTATGTAAACCTGATGAGAGCTTTATAATAAACGTGATCATAAAACATAAAAATAGCTAAATTTTACATATATAAGACGTAATTTGCCAGAAAAATACCTTCACACGTGACCTTTGTATGCACAAATCTATGTAATTAGTGAATTTGTGCCAGCAGCAAAATAAGAAATGTTGTAAATCCATTGCTGTGTTAAAGCTTTTCAGTTGTACCTGAATCCCAATGGTATTCATTTTTGTTTTTTGTTTTTCTTTTCTTTTTTTTCTTTATTCTGGTATGTGAATATTGAGATGATATATATCCAGCTGTTTTCTCTATTCATTTTTGTGTGGTTATTTGCAATAAAACGAAAAAATAAAACTGTAAGGAGTTCTGAAAGTGCCTCTCCAGAAAAAAAATTGCAAAGACATTGCGTTTCCACTGCATTTGCAAAATCCACTGCATTTGCAGGTAATGCAAAATTATTGCGAGGGAGCACAATGTCATTTTTTAAATTTGTTTTTTTATCCACATCCCCTTACGGGCTTCGTGATTTTCCGGTTTTGGTGTGGTTTTGTGTGGAGGACATACCAGAGCCGGTTTATGAGGAGCCTGGCCACTTCCTATCCCCCCGTTATATATTAAACAGGACTGCTAAACAGCAGAGGGCGCCCGCGAGTGAGTCCTCAATGAATGGGAGTAAATGGCGCTCAACGGCTAAAAACGACAAGTTAAAATAGTTTCTAATCACTTTCCCAGAACGTTTTTTTAATTTTAGAAAGTAGAAGGATGTATTTCACTAACAAAGCAAAAAAATATTACCTATATATTTTCTTTTTTCTACAGCAAACGGGTTTTTTTGCAGCAGAAGGCGGGCTTTACTGCTAGAGCGTGATGATTGATTGGCGAGCGGAGCAGCTCATTGGCTGTTCGCGCTCACTGACGTCATGGACATTCATGAGGCGCCGTTTTAAACTCCTATAGCTCGAGTTTAAAAGCTCTTAAAAATATAACAGCGGTGTTAAAATGTTTTATGCTATTCGGTGTTCAGGAAATGATTGTATTCTTTTACATTAAAAATGTTTAAGCATGTATAAACTATGATTTTGCTCAAATGCTCCTTCTTAACCCATTCATTTTGGACACGCTCGGGAGCGCCCTCTAGCGTTTGAGAAACGCAGAGTGGTAATTCTCCTCTCTACACGTTCTCTGGATGTACTGTATATCTACCTTTTTGCACGTCGATTTCACGGTTTTTGTCCAGTCGCGTTACCCGTAGTGCCCCATTACAACTCACAGACCAATTACATTGCTCTGTTTCCTGACGTCAGAGCTGGAGTCTGTGGATGTGACCAATCAGCGGCCTCCATGCAGACTTCGCTCCCAACAAGCGGCAGATTCCCTCAAAGACGAGTTCAACTCTTCAGTCGACTCAGTTCAATTTAGCCCGTAAACAGTCTGTAAAATGGTTCGGTAGTCATGTATTTCCCAACATGTTAAGCTGTCATTCTGGAACAAACTGCACCGACAGAGGCGCGATGCCCATGTCTAAGGGGACGCTCGCGTTAGCCGCTTCTGTGAAGTTGCTGTTAGCTAAAGGCTAACGTTAACACGCTCCCCGCAGACTCCAGTTAACTAACCTAGCTGCTGTTTCAGGTCAGTAAGTGATCCTAATAATGTCACACAGTCAGTTACACTAAGAAAAAGGTGGTTTCCGAGTCTGTGTTTAGCTTTCTGTCGTATCTGCGGTTAAACCTGGACAGTCTTTATGCTGCTACCCTGTGGGACTCTGAGTTGCGTTAGCTCGTTGGCGTCCTGGAGCTTTTCTAACTTATTTTTCTGAGAAAATGCGCGGTGTAAACTGCGCTCCTACTTCACTGATGAAGCGCTGCTACTTCACTGTCTTTCAGTAACACAGCCACGCAGGTACTGAACTGTAGGAGTCTGAAATTTGGCTTTTTATTCGCAGGTGTCGAATTTTCCGTTCCACCTTAAATCTTAAGCGGTGCAGCAGTTAGGTCCTGGCGCGTGCAGCTTTACCAGGAATGCCAGTGCCGCAGCATTTAAGGTGGAACTAAGAGTTCCAATAAGAAGCTAACTTTAGCATCGTCTACATTGTAAAGTAGAATTTCTGGGTGAATAGTTTTAGCCAGCAACACCGAGTAACGTCGTTTTTTCTATTATTATTTTTTCATTCTGTTATAAAGCTGAGATATGTAGCTAAGTTAGTGAGGGAAACGTAGAATTTGTAAGTTAAAGTGAAATTCCACCAGTTTCTCAAAAATTCTGAATAATTCAGTTCTAAAAAAAAGTCTTGAATTGTAGAGATTCAGATTTCTGCACAGTGGTGGTGATAGAAACTAGGGGTCACCATGTCTACAGCACAAATATATCGCTGTTGTGGGAAGAAAACCTTGTATCTCCAAAATGGTAACTTTACAGGACAGGAAAAAACATACTTTACTTTTAATGTAAGTCAATGGTACCAGACGTCTTTTCAAGTCATTTTGGGTCATTTCTTTTAGTCCAGTCATCATGGAATTTACATACAATGTAAAGGGTAACCAGTATTTTTAAATCATGTCAAAAACTGAAACATGTCAAAAATGGAGATACGAGGTTTTCTTCCGGCAGCAGTGATATGCATTTTATTTACTCTCCAAAACCACCAGTGAACCTACACGTGTCTTCTGAATCTAATTATTATTGTTGTTGTTGTTGTTAACACTATGGTTAATTTCTTCAAGCATGATATTGTATTACAGTTTCCGTATGTTGAACCTGTTCACACCCTGACTAAAATTCTTTTTATTCCCTAAAAGCTTCCAGTGACATGGAGTATCCTCCAAGCAAACGCCTTAAGGCTTTACAGAATGATGCCCCAGTGGAAAAAGACCCCTTTGGGGATGACGAGGACTTTACACAGGACGACCTGGAGGAGATAGACATTATAGCGTCACAGGCTATTACAGGGGATGGTCAGCTTGCTAGTGCTAAAAGAACATTTGGATCCATTTCATCATATCCAGGAGAGCAGAGCAAAGCTCCTGTCAGGGAGGGCAGGAAGACCTTTTCCTTTGGAAGCAACAGTCCGAGCAGCAGCACCGTGTTTAACAACATGGAACGACAAAGAAATGATGTATTTGGTTAGTGTAAAGCAAATAATTACTGTCTGTCTAATCTTACAAAACACAAGAAAGTCTTTGATCTAAGTCCTGCCCTACAGTTCCTTTTCAATGGGTAATTTCCATTCAGAATGCTGCGTAGTCCAAGACTAGGCTTAATCACAGTATGGGAAACCGAACCTGTCCAGATCTTTGCTCATCCAGTGTTTCTTTTGAAATGAAGGGTATTTTTAGGGTGTTTGTCCTCCTTTGCTGCAGTAACAGCCTCTACTCTTCTGGGAAAGCTTTACACTAGATGTTGGAACATTGCTGTGAGGATTTGATTGAGCATTACTGAGGTCAGGTACTGATGTTGGATGATCAGTTCTGGTCACTCCAACTCATCCCAAAGATATTGCATGGAGCTCCATCGTTCCAGAGAACACTGTTTCACTGCTCCACAGCCCAATGTTGGGGGGGGGGGCTTTATACTAGACGTGCACCGATGTGGGAATTGTGGACCGTTGCAGATATTGTCTGATATTTTTATGGACATATCTACCAATACTGATTCATAAACTTTTATAAAATGTAGAAATTAGGACTAAATAGTGGAGCTAGTGTTAGAGAAATGGATTTGTGTTAGAGAAATATTTACATTTTTTGCAGAAAGTTACGAATAAATGAATAAAGTAAAATGAATAAAGAGCAGATGGTTTAGTTTTGCTGAGCCCTATTTGATTTTATTTGGAGATTATACAAGCTGTGTGCACAGTTGAACGCCTATGTCAGCAATGCATCTGAATTCAACTGCAGCTGTATTTACTAATTAGAATGGGTGTCTAAATATTTTTGGATGTTAAGTAGTGTTTCCTGACTTCAGTCCCCGGTTACCGCCCTTGACAGCTCATCCAGCTCAGTCCAAGGACCACTAGCTATTCTTGAGGCAGTACATTTTATTTGATTTTATTTATTATTTTGTAGTTAAATCAAGGACTGTGTTTGGGATCTGCTATTTTCAGTACATGATCCTGAAGTTTGTACACCCCCTGTCATATTACATGCTATTTTGATTTTATAGGTAAAATAAGCTAACATCTTCTACAGAGAACAGTTTAACATATTAGAAAAAATAAAACATGAAAAAATGTGCCGTAGCTTTTGCCAAGCCACATTTTTTACTATAAGTCCATAAAGTGAATGGTAATTATGCATTAAAATGTGCAGAAGTGTGTCTCTGTAGAGGATGTTCACTTATTTTCACTTAGAAAATCAGCAAAACAGCCCAAACTACTGTGTAAGTGTAAGTATATCGATGTTGTACCCCAGAATACTCAGTTTTTGTTTCTGAATTTCAAGGAAATGGACAAATTGACAAAGGCAGAGATGAATTGTACTACAGCAGACTGGAGGCACAGCAAGCAGAGTTAAAGAGAAAGGTATTTGAACAGTTATGAGCAGTAAGTTGATGCTATATTCAGTAATAACAGAAAATGGCTGGTGTGGTTTGTACACTTTGCCTTAATGAATATCCTGTTGAAAATAATAAATAATATTTTGTTTAATAATTCCTTGTCTTGCAGCTGAAAGAAGTAGAAGACCAGATCTTGATGAAGAATGGTGAGATTAGGGTCCTGCGAGACTCCCTCAGACTGGCCAATCAGGAGAAGGAGCAGCAGAGACAGACTAATCTTGCCTTGGAAAGAGAGAAAGTCAGTGTCCAGAGTGAAAAAGAGAAGGAGCTTTCCAAGAAGGTAGATTATTTTAACATCGTTTTCTTACTGAGGTCCTGATTGTAGGAGGAAGATGATCTAGGCTTGCTCATCCAGCTTGGGGAAAGATGTGATTTAAAAGGGCTTAAAATGAAAAGTGAGGCAGAACTCAAATTTACAGTTTTGCCTTCACCTGGGATAAAAAGCAGTACACTAAAGATTGAACACCCTCAGTCAAATGACATGTTTTGTCGATTTTCCCAGTAAAACGTCTGCCCATTCTCTTTGTAGAGGTGGTGTTTATTCTGCAAATAAATGGTGGTTTGAAAAATGAGGGTCATCTTCTCCCACATCTTATCCAGGTGGAGTCCTTGCAGTCAGAGTTGCACTTTAAAGAAGCAGAGATGAATGAAATGAGGAGCAAACTTCAAAGCTCTGAGCGAGGGGGAAGACTGGTTGGAACTCCCGTAAGAAACAAGTAAATGCAACAGTTTGTGATCTTTTTTAGTTGTCATACATGCAAACACTTTGTCTTTCTGCAAAATTTGCTGTTTTGAATGATGCCAATCATGTGAATGGTGTAGATTTGAATGGGGGGGTCTATTTCCAGTAGTTAGATCTCAGAGAGAATCTCTCCTCTGCCCCGAACACAGCACAGTAGCAAAACCTCAGTCATTATTCAGCCAACCACAGATACAGTATTTATTATGAACAAGATAATATTAATGTAAACAATTGTCTACAAAGGACATGGCAAATATCTCACATCAGGGGCGAAGCATGATGTGCCATTAAGGAGCCAGTAGAACACGAATGATGTTCAAAGTGTTTAGAAAGCCATCTTTTTAGGAAAGATGTTGATTCTCAAAAAGTTATATGCCAAATTTCATATACACTATATGGACAAAAGTACTGGGACATATACACTTTACAGCTACAGGAGCTTTTATGACCTCACCTTCTAAATCCATAGGCAATAATATGGAGTTGTTCCCCTGCTTTGCAGCTATAACGGCTTCCACTCTTCTGTAAAGGCTTTCTATGAGATTTTGGAGAGTGTCTGTGGGAATTTTTGTCCATTCATCCAGAAGAGCATTTGTGAGGTCAGACACTGCGAGCCAGGCCCCCTCATCCAACATCAATCTCTGTTCTAGTTCATCCCCACAGTGTTTGATGGGGTTGAGGTCAGGGCTCTGTGAAGGCCAGTCAAGTTCTTCCAGTCATGCCTTTATGGACCTTGCTTTGTGCACTGGGGCTCAGTCACACTGGAACAGAAAAGGTTCTTCCCCAAACTGTTCCCACAAAGTTGGAAGCGTAGAATTGTCCAAAATATCTTAGTATGCTGAAGCATTAAGATCTCCCTTCACTGGAACTAAGGGGTCTAGGCCGACCCCTGAAAAACAACCCCATATCATTATCCCTCCTCCACCAAACTTTACAGTTGGCACAATGCAGTCAGACAGTTCTCCTGGCATTTGCCAAACCCAGACTCGTCCATCAGACTGTCAGATGAAGAAGCGTTTCTGCTGCTCCAGAGTCCAGTGACAGTGTGCTTTACACCGCTTCATCCTATGCTTGGCATTGTGCTTGTTGACGTAAAACTTGCATGCAGCTGCTCAGCCATGAAAACCCTGCCGTGAAGCTCCTGGCGCACAGTGTTTGTGCTGATGTTAAAGCAAGAGGAGGTTTGGAGCTCTGCAGTTATTGAGTCAGCAGAGCGTTGGAGACTTTCATGCACTATGTGCCTCAGCACTCTGTGACCTGCTCTGTAACTTCGTGGTCTGACACTTCATGGTTGAGTTGCTGTGGTTCCTAAGTGCTTCCACTTTTCAATAATACCACTTACAGTTGATGAGGGAATATCTAAGAGGGGAGAGATTTCATGAGCTGACTTGTTTCAGTGGTGACATTCTATTACAGTACCACGCTTGAATTGTGTGAGGTCTTTAGAATGACCTGTTCTTTTACAAATGTTTGTACAGGTAGACTGCGTGACTAGGTGCTTGATTTTATACACCTGTTGCAATGGAACTGAATGAAACACCTGAATTCAGTGATTAAGGGGGGTGTCTCAATACTTGTGTCCATATAGTGCTTGTTAACATTTTAACATTTAAAATTTTCATGTTAAAATCACTCAAATTTTCTACTAGGAGCTGCTGGACCCCAGTATAGGGGATTGGTTTCTGAACATGTTACCATTTTTAATGCTCATGATTTTTCATGTTTTAAATGTGTTCTATAACCTACATAGAACTCCAATGCTCTCTCTTTTTGCATGCAGTACAAACTCGCCTGGAAGTCATGCATTTGTAACGAAGGAGACCTTCTCAGCCGAGCTGTCTGTAAAACCATCAACATCCAAATGTCATCATGCAGAAGGTACGATCTATTTCTGACACAGATCAGAGAAATCTTATATATGTATGCAGTTGATGTAAATTATTTGCTACATGTGTGCCATACCAGTATTTCATTAATAATTGTAAAAAAAAAAACCCCAAAAAACCAAAAAAAAGGGTATTTCTGGCTCTAGAATCTTATTGGTTGAGCTACTTCATAAAATATGCACACAAGATTGGACACATCAATTTCTGTATTAATGTGCCTGTTATTATAAAAGTTATTAAAAAAACATTGTTATTCATAGAATAATCTTTAGTAATGTTGCTTCTAAAATGTATTATTATATGGTTTTTTTTTTTTTTTTTTTACAATTTATGTAGTTTTATATACCAAAACAGTCTATTTTTCCACCTCTTTTTAGCCCACTGAATTAAACAGACTGTCCTGGTTAGTTGCCCTCTGTTGTACCTTTTTCAAAAAGCAGTCTGAAACACTCCTTATAAATGCAGTATGACTTGGCAGAGCTAAAGTGCTATAAGCTGAATACAACCCTATTTTCCAAAAAATGTCCAAAATATTGGGATGCTGTGCAAAATGTAAATAAAAACAGAATGCAATGATTTGGTTGAAAATAGTTCAAAAACAACATATCAGATGTTGAGAATTTCTTTTAAAAATATAATAATACACACTGTAAACACTTGAGATTTGAAGAGACCAATTGCCGTAGTTCAGGGTCTCCTTTGCTGACTTCCAGTCTTTTGTTGCCACTGTCCCAACTTTTTTGAGAGCATGTTGCTGGCATCAAATTCAAAATGGGCATATATTTTTCAAAAAACTATAAAATTTTCAGTTCCAACATTTGATTTTTGTCTTTACACTATGTACACTACATTTGGCACAGTGTGCCAACTTTTTTTGATAACTGGGTTGTAGATGGATGTATGTAAATGTGTTGGGTTTTTGTGATCTGACATCAAAATATTTCAAAACAAGTAGTGATAAACTGTTTTTAATTCATTTATTGAATATTGGTTTATTTTATCATATTGCATTTTGTCACGAGTCACTTAAGGCTGTGCATTACAGTGATTTTACTCTGCTTCACATTGTTGAACCGTAGTAAAATCACTGTGACACACGGCGTCTGTATGAAATACCAATAGTTTATTGCACTGTGTATTCATTCCTTGCAGGAGGGAAACAAAACCAGGGCAAAAGTAACAAAGAGGCAGTTGACTCAGACGCTGCCCTAAATCCTGATGTCCAGCATAAAGGTGACTGTGGCCTGTGTTTTATGATGTGCTTTGATCAAAAAAAATATTTTTTTTGTTCTTAACCAAAGGTATCACAGCTGCTGTGAAACTAATGTTAAGTTTTTTATTGCAGGGCCTTTTCTGTTGAATCTGCTGCTCCAACATCCTCTAGAGCCCAGCTCTTTGGGCCTCTGTCACTTGCTGTGCCTCAGCCCAGAAGCTCTGCCTTGTCTGTTCTCCCAGTCAAGCTTCACAAGCCCGTAAGTAGCAATCCCACACCATCACAAACCTACCAAGTGTAAACATGCCCTAAAAATGCTTAACAAATCAAATGAGCGTTGGTTTACATTATGTTCTTTGTTCTTCTCCAGAGCTTCCTCAGCTGGTTCCAGCACCTCCTCCACAGATTCCAGGTTTCTGCATCGACCTCGAGCTCACTTCTTCCAGCTTCAAAGTCTCGCCATGTCAGGTTTGACTGTATTGGCCCACGGTCTCCCTATATGTTCTGGCACTCGGCCGCCTCACAGAACCTGTCCTGCTGCTGTCCATCTCCTCCCCTTACTCAACTACCACATCAGCCTTTACTGCCAGACCCTCGAGTCCATCGACAGGTCAGGAAAAAGTCCTCTGCGAGGAAGTTCGCTGTCAGGTTCCTCAGAATCTAGTGTGGCCTCCACCATTGAGGAGTCTTTAAGCTCTCAAGAAGAGTTTGCTTTGGCAGCCATGAAAGCTCTTTACCACATAGTGACTGAAAGCAGTGAAGCTACGCACACGGTTTTATGTGGTCAGGAGGGAGAATATCCAGACAAATCAAGTGACAACAGACTCAGCAACCAGCCACAGTCGTCTACAGGTGATGGAAACTTCGCAGAGAAGGTGAATGGTGAGCTGCAGGCCCAGCACCCTCTGCTGAAGAGGCTCTTTCAGTTGGTAGATGTGAAGTTCATCAGTAGTGCCAGTCAGAAGGAAGCTGTGATGAACTCCAGTTTTAGGGCAGTCTGTGCTCTGGCTGAGAGAGCGGAGGGGAGCCAGCTGTGGAGGTACGTTCAGTCTGGAACACTTTTCACTTTGTCACTTCTAAGGCTGGCTTTACACAGTGAGACTTTTATGCAAGTATCTGCATGTTGTGAGTTGCTTTCAGTTTAATTTCTGAACAAATTAAGTAATTAAAAAAAGTTGCACGCGAACGATTATTTGACTAGTTCACTAAATCAGCAGATGGTTTGTGATTATTTTATGAGTTGAGTAAATGTTAAGCCATTGAAAATTAATGTTTAACTAGCCGTCATAATTACAGTCTACTTGATACTTGATGACTTACTCGTTCCGTCCTAGAAGTACAAGAAGTTCATTAAGATCTGCATCACTGTCTCCGCTTCTGTAATCATTTTCATCCTTTGGATCCCAGATGAATCTGAGCTCTATATACAAATAGTGGACACCTTTTCAACCATCCTATTACCATCTTCTGTTTTATTTTCTTGTCTGTTGAGCCTGGAAAATTAGTGGTTTGAAAGTATGTCAGTCGACGTCATCACATAATGTGTTATCTCTGTTGTAATTGGCTGTTTCATGAAACTATTTCACGAAGTTGAGTCGCTTGCAGCTGTTAGAGCGAAGTTTCAAAGGAGCTGCAGGATGCTTTACATAGTGCAACTCGAGTGCAATTTAGTTTCATGTAGGTTTCAGGCAATTAAAGTTGCTTGAACTTTCACTGTGAAAAGCCAGTCTGAGTGATCTCAATGCTTATATGTATCAGTATTTCACATCAAAACACTTTTTGAAGCATCAGTGGAACTCTCCTTTAATCAGGTCTCAGTCTTTGGACTTTATTGTTTGTTTGTTTATATTTTATGTAGTTATTGCTACATTTTAAAAACTAACAAAAATGGCATGATTTTTTTTTTTTTTTAATTCAGTTTTACTGTGCATCACTATGTCCAATTAAACAGCGACAGTCATGCTTCCAGTACCGTCAGGTTTTAAACATCTGAACAGCTGAACTTCATGTTGAACCGACAGTGAGGCTAAGCCTTACCCAGAGTTCACATTAGAAGACGACAGAGCGGCAGGCGAGCAGTCATTACCTACGGAAGAGAACTGACAAATCAAAGAGAGATTTTCTTCATTTTTTGCAAATATGTTCTGTGGTGGTGAAGCGAGTCTAAATGATTGGAACTAACAAAGTCCTCTGACGACCTGTGTGTACAAATTTGCTGGACCCAGCCATTCAGACTGCCTCCTAACGGTATCATAATTTATTACATTTACTCGCTGAATGTTTTCGCATTACCTTCATTCCCAGCAATGCCTGATATGTGCATCTTAATCAAGCCATATAATAGTGGAGGTGAAACAAAGTTACATTTTGATGGAAGATTACAGGAAAACAAGATTTTTGTCTGTTAAATGGTGTGACAAATCGTGCTTAATAAGACCAGAAACATGAACTAACAAAGTTTAAAAAAAAAAAAAAAATTGGCTGATTTACCAAATAATCCATAACTGGTTAAAGAGATACATAAAATTTGATGGGCAACAGTTTGAAAATGCTTTCGAGCTTTAGAGCTAAATTAGTAATTGTATAGAACGCGTGGAACAACATTTCATAACGTGGGTTGTTCCTTCCCTGAGTGGGTGAATCTGATGATTGTGAGTGTGTTAAAAGCGGATTTAAATTCAATTATCTACACACTTAAAAAAGATGGTTCTTTAAGGGTTCTTTATTGAAGAAAATGATTCTATTTAGAACCATGAACACTCAAAGAACCCTTAGCATGATTTTAAAGGGTTCTTTGCATCATTAAATGGATTCAGATTGATAATGTTTCATATGGTTCTATATATAGCACCAAAAAGGTTTCTTCTATTTCTTCCTGTAACAATTGAAGAACGCTTTTTGGTGCTATATAGAACCCTTTTCAGAAAGGTTCTATGTAGAATCATCTACAGCACATTCTCCATCATTCTGAAAAACCATTTAATGATGCAAAGGGTTCTTTAAGTGTTCATGGTTCTCTGTAGAAGTTTTCTTTGCTAAAGAACCTTTGAAGAACCATCATTTTTAAGAGTGTAGAATTGTCATCGTATCATCAGTGTAATGTTGATTTTGCAGTTAAGACGTAAACATTGAGCTGAACTTTATTTTTTGAGCCTTTGTGTGTGTTAATACATAAAAACATGACGTGGTCTGAACCAAAAATCTGACTCAGTGCCTCAGACTTTTAAATTATTATTTCAGGCTTTACAGGGAGACTCGCAGGGAAAATCCCCTTTTTTCCCCACGTCTAGGCTTTAATGTCTCTGAAAATCTGTGCCTGTTCAGTAGGCTAACCCAAAGTCAGCCTGTGTCCCACAGTAATTATTTGGGTTGTCTCGCTGTCCTGTAAGTGTGCTGCCTTTTGCTTTTTGTTTGCAGATTGAAGGTGTTGATGTCGAGTCAAGTGCTGGCTCAAAGCTTGTCTTTGGAATCGCCGTACACAACCGTGTGTCTCTCTGTGAGACTCCTGACACTTGTGGCCGACTGCGAAGAGATCGCCACCAAAGTTTGCTCTCTTAACAGTAAGTTTAATGTTATCTAGAAAGTATCCTAGTATTCATGGCACTTTTTATCTATGTTGCAGTAATTAATTTTAAACTAATCCCGTTTTCCTAGATGTGTGTCCACTTGTCCGAGTTTTCCAGTACATTACATCAAGACCAGAGAAGTCTATGACCGAAGATATGTGGTCTCACTTAGACGTTGAGGTGTTAAACTTTAAGTGTTAAATTCAGAAGTGGAACTACATTTTAAAGCAAACCTGAATGAAAAACTAAACACCTCTGATTCTGTTTACAGGTTGTTCGATTGTTGGCCAAGTTATTCACCCAGAAGACGCCCACATGGGCTGCTCTCATTAGTGAATCCTCGTGCCAGTGCAGTAATGAGGTATGAAGGTGTTTCTTCCAGTGATGTTGGTCCTAAAGCACTGCTGGAGCTGATTAGTTTTACTAGACAAGGTGCAGTTGTGTAATTTGTGTGATTTCACTGGCTGACTGGTTCCTGTGCTCTCCTGTTTGGATGACGTGAATTGGACAGTACTGTTGTTATACTGTTGATATTGTTTTCTTTTGCGATACATTATCAATACACTGGCGCCAAATATCGATTTATTGAAACATGCATGTGGTGTAAACGCTCTAAACAGACTCCCCCTCCAATTTGATTTACCATATTTACTACTTCGTGACTCCACGGCTTTTACAGCATTGAAGAGACAAATGAAATAGACAAAGACTCAAGACTTGCAAAAACTGTCTCGTTAAAATAAAATACACAGGCAGCAGAACGAACATGCGTAGCCACCTTCTTCGTCATCCTGACCAGCTAACGTTGCCACAACTCAAAGTCAGCTTACTATTAATACAGTTTTACAGCAAAACATCCGTTTATGTCCCCGAGGGCAGCAGTAATTTGAGAGAGAAATGTGTATATTTGCATTAACACACACACACACACACACACACACACACACACACACACACACACTATATATATATATATATATATATATATATATATATATAATATTTTTATTTTTATATATATATTATTTTTTTTTTATTTTTATTTTTTTAGTTAGAAAAGATTGTAGTGAGGCACAGTTCTGTTCTACCTTTAGACATTTTAGAACTGTTCTTTCTGCCGGTTTGTGGCTGTTTTACATTGGAATGAAGACACACAGTGAGCGTATGTGTGTTAATGAGACATTAAGCTAAGCTGTGCACTGTGTTTCATATTGGTTATCAAATTCTGTGAAACTGACACTAATAAATACGTAATTCCTGCTATTTGCCTGTTAGGTTTATTTTTGTTTTCTTCAGTTATACAGGTATCGTGATGTATCGCAGAGGATTGTCTTGCAGTATATCGAGTATCACAGAATCGCAGTATTGTGATATCATTATCTTGGGCATTGTATCGTGATAATATCGTATCGTGAGATGCTGTGATTCCCACCCCTAATGTCAAACTGTAAAAACTACACGCGCTGCAGATTCATACTGGATTAAAATCATAGATTTTATCATTTGAATCACAGAAAGTTACCTCTTCAAGAAAAACTATTCCAGCTTGAATTGTGCATGTTGTATTGGCCATTCTTATTTTTTTTTATTTCTTTGTACGTCTTGAACAGTAATAACAAAAACAAAGCCTCTTGTCAGCACTAGTGAAAAAACTAGATCCATTTCTTGATTTAAAAAAAGAAGAGAAGGGTAAAAATTTGGTACGTACTGTTTAGGTACATATCTGGCGGACTTTACATAAGTGACGGTGGGTTATACATGTGTGGTTTGCATAGAAGTGAAGCGTGTAGTACAGTTGGAATATTTGCGTAATACTGGTTTATGCAGAAAAGGCGTTTCCTCATAATTTTTTTCCTCCTTCTCTTCTGGTGATGCTTTTACCTCAGAGCGTGTTGTCCTGAGAGGTTGTACCACTAAACTGAAATCTATCCTACTTTTTTTTTCTTTTTTTCCCATTTTGCACTCTGATAGACAGATAAAATGTTTTGCATAGACGTCAGTCATGTGAGACCAACAGATAAAATAGACATGATGCAACAGTGCTGGTGCGCACAGCTGGACTTGGTTCCGCAGTGAAACTACAACGTGCAGGTGTCATTGTGGAACTCCTCATGGTGGAAATTAAAACTAACACACCTCTTCTGTGTTTCTGTGCATTTTTCTGTTAACCTCATCCCAACTCGTTAACAGGTGGTGCGGACAGTGGTTGTAGTGTTACACAGGCAGTGGCTGAGCATCAAAGGCCAGGAGAAGCACGTGGGTGGAGTTCAGGCATGGACCAGTCCCGGAGTTCAGTTACTGAGGGAGGCTCTCATGTTGCTGCACTGGCTCCTCCTGAACGACTCCTCTTTCTCATTGCACTGTCTGGATGTCCTGCACATATATCATCAGGTCATCCCAGCCATCAGAGACACCCTCCGCAAGATCCCTGACCTCTCTGAGAGTGAAGGTGGGCTTTTTTTTTGTTTTTTAGTTTTTAGGAGTCCAAGAACCAGTGTATGGTTTCTTGTTTGGATTCTCCTTTTTTTTTTCCCTTCTCATTCTTTGCCCAATAGACCACTGTAGTTAGATGTCATTCTTGCCTCTATTACGTCCCCCTGGGTCTCAGCGCGATTTCTCTATGGCCAGAATGAATGCCGTTTTCGACAAATCTGATATGTTTTGTCCTGTGTACATTTTTCTCCTGAATCTCACTGGATCCTCTTATCTACGATATCGTTAAAAAGTTGAAATATGAATATTGCTATATGTAAGCTAATGCTACCGCGCACTGAATTGACGTCCTTAGACTGGCCACCACCAGAGGATCCAGTGTTATTTGAGAGAATAATGTTCACAGGACAAAACGTATCAGGTTCTGAACATTTTTATTTAACACAGGGGGCGATAGAGGCGATTTTTCAAAAACCCAATTCATTCTGGTCATAGAGAAATGGAGCTGAGACCCGGAGTTCCTAAGATGGGCATAAGAGCATGGTGCCGACTACAAAATGACAACATGACGACACGGCTACAGGGGTCTATAACGGGCCGTGGAGAGACCAAACCATCATAGAGACACACAACCTGTTCAGGAAAGCGTGATGAGCTTGATCCGGCTTTGGAAAGCGCCCATGTGGCCTATAACTCTTACAGCACAACACGTAAAGATGACATTCTTGGCTCTGCTGGTTCCTTATCTCAGTACAAACAGCCTTAAACACAATTATGCTAGTACCCTGTACCCTAGTTTTGTTTCTTACCAAATTGTTAGAAATATATTCACAAGAGCTTGAACCTCAATAATTACCAAAAACATGTAGACGGTTATAAACAGTGTGGCTGTCACACGCCAGCAAATTCGTTACAGGAGAGATTGTATCTGCATTCTGAGGCAAATGTAGCAACATCCCTGGGCGGTTCTTTCTAGTCTTATAAGATCAGACTCCTCTCTATCTTTTTGAATAAGTAAAGATGTATAAACTTTAAACTGAAAGCCACACTAACATTTTAAAACCATGTTTGAAAAATATGTTTCTGTTCTATTTGTTTGTAACGTCTGACAAATCACATAGTTTGCAGAGTTTGGCTCAAACAGGCTGTTTTGGTGGTTTGCTTACTACGGATGCATGTATCTCCACTAAAAGGGGGGCTTTTTTCCCCTGGCTTATGACTTCACCAACAAGGCAATTGTCTCCACCCCCACCCACCTTTCTATTGACGGGAGGGACTTTCCATGATGCAGCTGCCTTGTTGAGTGTTATAAGCTTTCCCATTAATTTTTCAACAAGTGAACTGTCTCCATCTTTATAATGTCTGACCACAGACAGTCCTCCTGGATTGAAGTTAACTTCATCTGAAGCTGTCTGATTCTTCATATCTGCATGTTACAAGTCAGATTTCAGTTGCCATTTGACAGGCGTAGCAATTGTCACAAAATTATGGGTCGTCTACCCTGCAGTGCAATTCTGCAATAATCAGCCACTGGGGGGAGGTATAGTAAAGAAATGACCATAACGTATGAACATAAGTTTTCAGTGCAGTGGAACTTGGTGATGTTGAAGTTGTGGTGATGAGTGTTTTTGTTGAATGGGTACAAAAACAGAGATCGTTCATATGTGGAATATCTTTCCCTTTTAAGAACTGGCCATTGAGGAGATCTGTCGACCAGAAGCAGATGTTGAAGATATGGACATTGACGCAGGTTCTTGATGACCAAGGTGAAGACGGTTTATGGACAAGCAACATTTTCTTTTGTTCTGCTTTTCTTCCTTTAGGTATGTAAATGTTTGAGGGGGCACTTAGAAGAAAACATTCCTCCTGCATTTATCTGATGCTCTTTCACAGAACCATCTTTTATGGCTGCTCACTGATATTGTTAATTAAAGCAAAATGGAAAGTGTGTCTTGTCTTTGTTTCCCTGATTCAGACTTCAGGGCTTTTTTTGTTTGTTTGTTTTGTTTTTTTGTAATAATGTACTGGCAACCTGCACAGATTTGTCTTGCTGTTAAGATGAGTAGGTAACAGGTAAAAGTTAAAATCAGTACATTTAACGTTTTTAGGTATAAATGTTTTTTTACATGTACATACAAAACTCCTCTGGAAAATGCTTTCGCAATATGAAACGAGGGAGGAATATCAAATTGGAGGGTAAAACCAGCAGGCATTTCAGGAGTATGATGACAGTGAAAAGGTCAGAACTAAAAAAGCCCTCGTGTTAACACGTTTGAAATTTCAGAAACTCCTCAAGTCAGATTTAAGGGAATTAGGGCACCTTCTGAGATGCATGTAAACTGTACAGTCGTCAAAGGGAAATCCAACATGGGGCACTGTACATTTTTTTCAATTAAAAAATGCCTCCAGTTTTTAAAAGTGCACAAACCTAAGTGTACGCAATGGTAAATGAAACATTATTTAAATGCATATGCATTTAGGTCAAAGCATAAAACCCAGTGGTTGTGATGAGTGTACAGCATACTACTTAATGTAATTCTTAAAAAGAAAGGGAAAAAAAAAAACCCTGAGTAACAGATCACGTCAAAATAAGATTCCACCTGAGGGTGGCTTCAGAAAGTAGGAGGTTTTGAAACTGAAAGCGATTTCTTGAGGCGGGGGGCGCAGCTCATGAAAAGCATTGCTTTTATGTAGTACATGTCAGAACCATCAGTAGAACAATGGTGGAATTCCCCCCTTTATCATGGGCCCTGAACAGGGCTGATCACAGTCAAGCTAATGGAAAAGCAAACAGATCACTCGACTCTGTCACCCACCAGAGTCTGCGACTTTCAAACTTAAACGACAATTCCATCACACAAAGGAAAGACAACGTAGAAATGAGAAAGTTGTTGGCATCCCCTTTTATTTGACATTGGATATAATGGCTGGTTGACTTTTAATCACCCAGACCATGACTGCATAATGTGAGAAATAAGGCATATTCTTGATGTTTGTCTTTTCCAATTAACACAAACAAATACTGAGAGGTCAGAAAAAAAACATTCACAGATGTGTCCACAACCTGAATAAGGCATAACAGAGCTTTGAAAGAAGCACACATTTATATGCACTAACTTCACTATTTAGAGTAGCTTGTGACAAACAAAAAGAAACCTATCATTTCTTACAGTCTCTTTTAGGGGTATAAACATAAAGCTTTGGTTTAACAATGATGTAATGCAGCACTGATGAACAATAATATTCTCCCATTTTACACGATCCAGTATCACAACAGTCAATGAATGTCAAAATGCAGTTTGAGTCACACTAAAAAAAATGACTAACAGCTAAAGAAATCAACACATCATTGGTTTGTGCATTGGAACTTTGACAGTGATCACCTGTTAACCACCTACTCAACCACATTAACGCAAAAATCTTTTTCAAGAACAAAAACATACCCTGCTAAGGAGGATTAGCGCAAATCGAGCCTAATCAGCAGGTTCTGATCACTCCACAAAAAGACAGCTTTCCAAGTTTGTTTTGTAAACCCTTAATGTTGTTTGCCAGTTTTGCTAATCTGAGTTGCAGCTAGATCCCTCATCATGTGAGCTCAAAAGTGCACTTGAAGCTGTTGCTACTACTTCATGTAGAAATTCAGTAGGTCTAGGATTTATAGCTACATGTGTATAAATAAATGGAAAAAATACATCTAAGAACCCAAAAATGTTTGCCTAAACCTAAACAGAAGCCTAGATCAACACTTAAACCTCAATGAAAACCTGAACACACCCATAGACATAACAGCGACAACTTATTAGCCAAGCAAGCTGAAGTATAAAATAGGCATGCACATACCTGCCCATAAACAACTGTATTATATGACAGCAGGGTGGAATTTCAGAACAGCAGCCACACAAGATCACTAGGTGGCTCAACACGCTTGGAGGAGGTCACCAATTGACCAGAATGGTTCACTTAAGTCCTTCTCTATTTGCAACATAACATTTGTTTTAAAGTGAACTGACTGGAGATTGACCACATAATGACAGCAAGAGTCATCACTGAGAACTCAAATAACATTGCATAACTGCTGACACTATATAGTGCACTGTTTATGTAATAATGAGCAATTCCAAATGTAGCTAATGTCAAAGACCTGTAGCACAAGACAGGTCTAAAAATTCAGCTCCCAACTCTAGGACTCAGTGCCACTCCACAGAAGCTCAGTGTCTTGATTTACTCTGGAACAAAACCAAGACTGCTGAGCAATGTGGCCCAGCCAAAAAAATAAAAATATTTAAACTTTAGGAGGCCATACTCACACTTCCGAATGTGGTATCCACATGATTCCACTGGGGGAAGCCGATTTATGGTTAAAACAACTCAAATACACAGATAATAACAAAACAAAAAAAAGGCCGGTCGACACATATTCCCTTTTTACTCCAACAAAAAAAAAGCAAAAATCTGAGTATGGCTTGGAGTCTTGGACAGACTACTATGGAGCGTGTCTTAAATAGCACTGGACCACAAGAAGAAGTGCAAGTGGCCGGGGGGTAAAAAAAAAAAAAAGAAAATCCACCCCGATGTGTACTCAAGGCTGTGTCCCCAGTAAATATAGAACATATAGGAATTCTTTAAGCAAACCCAAAGTGGAAGTATGTAGGCGTTTGTGATCCAGCAGAGGCTGGCATCAAGACGGTTGTGGTTTAGTATCCGGTCTTTGGTGGTTCAACAAAGGCAGGATTGTATGGTGGCTGAGTCGCACTGTAGTCTGTTGGTGGGGTTGGGTGAGCGTAGCCTGGCTGGGTTGGTGGTTGGAGAGGATATGGAGGCTGGCAACCATCATACGCAGCCTGGCTATATGGAGCAGGATATCCTGGGCCCACAAAAAAGGAAATACAACAGTTAGGCTATAAATGACATTATTTACAGCAGCCTTTTTCAAGTCTGGTCCTGAAGTGCTGCTGTTCCGCTCGCAGTACACCCGATTCAGCGAATCAGCAAATTAACAAGCCCTGTCCTGGTTGTACTGTGTACACTATGGTGCGCTTTGATGGTCATAATGAAACTAATAAAACTCATCTGAAAAAACTTGTTCATCCCCAAGAAGCAGTTAATAACTGGGGATGTCCACAAATGAACTGAGCAGCAACAGAACACATTTTGCAAAGCACAAATAAAAAAAGGAAATAAATAAAATAAGTATATATGTAAACACACATTTTCTAAGCCACTTATCCTTCTGGGTTAAGTGTATATGCACCTTATTATAAATTTATTAATGTCTGCAGAGTTTATGACATACGGTTGAGACCACTATAGAAATGCTTCTATTCCTATTGCATTCCTTTATTATATAATATAAAAGCTTTGTCATGACAAACTACAATATTAGCATAACAATTTAACTGAAATGTAGAATCTTTGACATTTTAAAACATGAATTTTAGAATTTCCTAATCTTTGGTGCAGTATGTGCTTTGTGAACTGGAGCTGCATGGACTCTGTATGTTTGTACAAAAGGCTCTATGAGATCAAATCCACCCAAAAGTCATCTGAACCAGAACTTCAATGGAAGAGATAATGCATAAAAAAGTAATTTGTAACTTGGACTTGGTCAGTGTCTCAGATTTGTTTACATTTGAATAGTGACCAAGAAACAGGGCAGAATCATGAATATTTCTAGCACCAATAAAACAGCAGTATTACACTATATAGGGTTGTGGTACTCTCAAAATAGTGGTAACCACCATACACAAAAAACTACGCATCACCATAGCTTCCCACAGGGTAACAAAGGAAGGTCTTAATCATACAATTCACCTCTAAGTCACAGCAGAATGGTCAATTATTTGTAAAGAATTAGAGCCTGTGAAATGGCTAGATCAATGACTTGAACAGCAAAATCTGATTACAGTTTACATTCATTGACTAACTGTGGTGAAAACCCTATTATCTCGCAGGTAACGGAATCACAGAATTAATCTACATCCCCCTTCTGTAAACAATCATATCATAACAAATACTCAACAGCTCATGTTTTCCCTCAGTTTTTTAGGTTTCAATATATGTATGTGTGTTATCAAAACTGTTCAAGATTACTCTGGCATTAAAGCGGCAGTTCAGAAAGGTTACATTTTACACCAAATAGTAGTTGATCAACTAAAACAGGTTTGGCTAAAATTTGCTTCTTCAGTGTTTCACCAGCACTACAAGGCTAACGTACCTAACAAGTGAAACATACTCCACCAATTAGCTTTGTGCTAGACTGCATTTATCATACACTTGCCTCAAACTGTGTTGAGTCATCTCAAATACACTGGCTTATGTAGTTTCTAACCCTGTACGACATACTACTCTTTATAAAAATGGTCAGTATGGGACAGCCACATAAACAATCTTAACAGCTCAATACAGTTGGAGGCAAATACATGAGGATTTATATATGCAGTTTACACACTGCTAAAAACAAAAGGCAAACATCAAGGATGATTACATGTAGCCATAAGGTGAAAAGGTTCTTAATAGATATGTTCCTTACCACTCTCATGGTATGGAGGAGGGGGTCCTGGTGCATACGGCTGCCCCTGATATGGTGCTGCGGGCATGGGCATGGGCTGTCCTCCGTACCCTGGCTGAGCACTATAGCCCGGCTGTGCTGGAACTTGCTGGTATGCTGGATACTGAGCCCCAGGGTTTAAAGGCTGCTGCTGAGGATATTGCGTGCTTACCACTGTAGTGTGAGTGGTTGTCGTCATCACCGCTGTGTGAACAATTAAGAAGATAAAACACAATGCCGAGGGTGAATTAGGACAGTGTTTTGAGTGTTCTGTTAGCTGCTCTCTACTGGTATGAGGTTGAAGGGCTGTTGAAACAGGTTCCATGTCATCTTAACTGCTAAGTACACTGTGAGGTGGGAGGGAACACATTCTTTGCGTTCTGTCTTCTTGTGCTAAATAAATAGGAGCGCAATCTAAAACTGAATGTATTATTGTGAGCTACTACAAGGCAAGTTTCTTCTGATTAATAGGGAGTTTGCTGCAGTAACAGCCTCTACTCTTCTGGAAAGGATTTACACTAGATGCTGGGCCATTGTTGTGGGGAACTGATTGCATTCAGCCAATAGAGCATTAGTAAGGTCAGGTACTGAAGTTAGATGATCAGTTCTGGATCACTCCAACTCACCCCAAAGGAACTGGATTGATTTCACAGCCCAATTCTGGGGGGCTTTATACCCCTCTGGCCATGCTTGGTGGCCTTAGGCTCATGTGTGGCTGCTTCAGAGCATCCCATTCTATTGGCCAATGCTTTACTATGGAGATTATATAACTGGTGCACCTTAAAATAGCTGATGTAATGTCTGAATACTTTTGGACAAAGTGTAGCTTCGTAAGCACACATTAAAATGTCCAGCAGTGCCAAACCTCTAAAAATGTGGAATATGCTTTGGGTAAGGTCAAAAATGCAACCAACCAAGACAAAACACTGACTTGGTCGAACCCTGAAAAGGTATGCAGCTCCACAACTAGCAAATATCTCACCATGAAATGATAACAAAAGTTTAGGTGTGGATACTTGTAAATACACAATGCTTTTGTGCCAGAAGGTTGAGCTCCTACTCTAGCTAATTAGGCTTACATCTTATTAACTGATAACTTTTTTTTTGTTTGTGGTGAATTCTTGAAATCTTTTAAACTGAGTTCTATCCTCAGAGATAAGAGTCATAATCTCTTAAAGGGCACACACTATGGAAAAATTTCCTTGCATTCTTTTTTTAAATAAAGGAATTTAATGAGGCATGTAAGCAAGCTGCAAAAACAGCCCATTTAAATTACTTGTTTTCATGATGTCACATTTACATATATCCACCTATTCAGCCTACAACAGTTTAGCTCAGCCATATATTAGTCTTAAAGATACAGTGACAAAAACAGCCTGTTTTATGATATTGGATAAAGAGAGACTGAAGAAAGGTCATATAAAAATGAATGACAACTGTTTTTGTTTTTGGACTTCAGAGGAAGAAATAAAATTTACCAAAAAAAAGATCTAGGCCCTTTTACTTTGGGGCAATGAAATAAGGCTGAAAGCAAAAGCCGCAGAAACAACTTGAGCATACAAAACAGACTCCCCAAAAAGTGAGAGAGCCAAAAGTTATAAGCAGTCACCCATTGTCTCGTGACTTTTCTTATGATACGCCTCCACGTTCACCTCAGAGTGTGCCAATAACCCCCAGCATGAGTTTTTTATGAACAAATATGTGACCACTTCCTGCATGACTGCTATGCCTCAACTCCTTGTGAGGTTGTCTTGGAAAGTGTGAGTCAGGCTGGGTGGGGAATCCCACAGTATGTTCCTTCACTTTCTCGAATTTAGGCAAACTTCCAGGCAGCCCAGAACAAGAAATGTAGGCCTAGGCCAAGATAATTTTGGGAGAAGGCTAATACACATAATTGACTTTCTGACAGCAATATCGTACAGCAAAATTAAAAGTGGTACTATAACTAAAAATAGGATTTTAATATTTATCTAATATTATCCGATAATACTAGCAACTCCTAAAGACTACAGTACACACCATTTAACAATATCTAGATAATAATCGAAATACTGAAGTGTTTGTTAAGTTGCTAATTGTTCCTTTGTTTAGCATTTGAAAGCTGCATCCTCTTTCACATCACGAAAAAAATGTAGCCTTAAATAAATCTCAGAAAAGGCTTTGGATAGAACAGGTAATATATGGAAATTGTTAAATAAACTCTAGTTAGTTGCTGAATACTTTATAAAGGACAGGCATCCACATCATCTTGCCTAGTAGAACGACAAGCTGCAAGCACTGAAGCTAACAGAACTGAGATGCCTCAGAAAGAAATCGCTTTCAATTATCGGACGATAAGAGAAATTCTCAGTGCAGAATTTGCGATAAGAGGCTTGTATTCCATTGGAGGCCTGACAGGTCTGAGGAATCATCTCAAATATGTAAGTACAGTAATCCTTATCAGAGTACCACTACACGTCTAATCCAGTGTTAGTGCAATAGTGCAGCTGGTGTGAATAAAACACTGATTAAAATGGAAGCGTATCCGTTCCATTAGACAATCGACTAAAAAAAAGCTTTAAATATGACTGTTTTTATGTGTGACTGAGAACGAGTATTTGAGTACTTGTTCAGAAGTATTGACGCTGCCATTAGATCATAATTTTATAATCGGCAGAGATGTTTTATGACAATCAACATGCCATAAAAATGCTGACTTGATAAAGAGGGAACACTGACCAGTGTAAGTAAAAAATTAGGGACTGAAATCATTATTAACTGTTTGAAATCAAAATACTGAAGCAATTCTGACATTTAAGATTAATAGGATTTTGCTTGGAATGATCTTATTTTTCTAGTCAGCAGATGCTCACATGTTTATGCACAACCACATCATGTTTTAAGTCAGGAGTGGGAAACTGAGAACCAGAGTCCAGTACAGTTTAAATTGGATGTTTGAGCAGAAAAATCACCAAATTATACAGCCCTCCAGCACAGTTCTCCACCCATTTTAAGTAAGACGCAGGTAACAGAACAGACCTTCACAGCAACGTATAATTACTGAATTATTAAATTTAAGGATTTTCATGTAGGTGCATCCCCATATTTCATACATCAATTTCTTGAAAAGGTCCTCAGGGGGCCTCTGGGAGCCTTTTTTAAGGATTGTGTTTTTTCTCCCCAGCTTTTAACGCACTTTGGACTAGACAACCAACAGATGCAAGGACGCTTATTTGTTTTATGTGTGTTGGAAGAATCATCTGGCCACTCTGAAGAGTGATTCAAGATTTTTATAAAAATTGTTTATCAATTATCAATCAATTACTTGACTGAAATGCACAAAGTGTAGACTTACGCCTGGGTTTTCTGCACATTTTGTACAAGCAGCAGCATGGGCAGACACAGCACACTACGAAAAGGACGATGACGATGATCACACTTGCTATAACAGAGCCAATGGCGATGGAGTTGACTGACTTGCTGAAATAAAGAACAAACAAAAAAAAAACACCAAGGATTAGAGATCATGCCTTTTTTATCAATACACTGACAATGGTTCACCTTGACTCAGCATTCATTTCTTCATAAAGCAATATATTTTAAATGATTATCTAGCATCCAAAGAAAAACTAAACTGTATACCAGATTTGCAAGCCAGTGCATCATACAGAGTGAGAGTGTTTTACTTTGATTTCATGGTTGTTAATACTTCAGGTTGTTCAAACTCTCTATCTGATATAAATTACAGCCTAAATATAACCATAAAAAATCATAAATTTCACATAAAGAAACCATGGTCCAAAAGACTAGAGGTTGCATAAAACAGCTCAAGTAAATTTTGGCCTTAAGTTTTCTCTTTACCTTAACTGAGCTGCATGAAAGAGTTTAGACCCGAAGTTTAAGTTTCAGCACTTGCATTTTTGACAGTTGCAAATTTTACTTTTTAACTTACAGCCTTAAATATATTCCTTTAGCACTTAATTCAAGATAAATACTTTTTGAGAAAATAATATGCAAAAAGGCAAGCTAAAAAACATAAAATTAGTTTACACTAAATATGTCTGATTTTTTTCAACTAATTACTTGCTGTACACAACTAAAAACTAGAAAGAATAATAAGAGGTCTGTGCAATAACTGTGTGTAGTGAACTAGTGCATTACACCCCCACCCCACCCGTGACCACACAATCAAAAATGAGAAAAACAACACACATTTTTGTACATTTTCTGGCATTTTGCAAAGCAATAAATACTAATATGTGCTGCCCCATTCACCTATTTTATTTAAAGCTGGCCTTTCAGATATTCAGGCTTACGGTGTGGCAGGGGATCAAAGCAGTCACTGCAATGTTCAGGAACTGCTATAACTAGGTTTCATTATCACTTACAACGTGGAAACTTTGGAGTGGCACCAAATGTCACACATTAATTTTAGCATGACCAGAGCTGTCTACACTGAAACTCTGCCAATTTCCCACAACAGCAAAATAATAGTTTTTAAATCATTTTCTCGCAACGCATCCCTAAATAAGTTTGACCTTATTTTATAGAACATTTACGCCAAATTCAACAAAAACACTCGTTCATTTACTGAAACCTATGATGAACAAGTGTCCTGTAAACCTTGTCTGGTTGATTATATCCTTTTAATGGCCTGTTGTAAACTCTGTTTATCAGATCACAGATTTATCTGTGATTCGTTTCCAACTGATCAAAGGGTATAAAATTTGTATTTAAGGCATTTGTTAACTGATAATAATAAGCAACACATCCTTTACAATCACGCATAGTACTTTTTATCATTTTGGCATATGGTGCCTTTTTGTTACTCGGTTTTCCATTGTAGCTTTCTTGCATTAGTATTGTGTAAATGTTTCAAGTTTGGCTCAATAATAAACAATAAACAGTAGTGATGTTTCAGTCAACCAGAATGCTGGATTACAAATTGTTTTTACCAGTATATGATAAGGACTTACCACACTTACCAAATGTTTTTATTGTTGCAAGTTCAAACAGACGTACTCCCACTTTCTACTTTTTATAAATGTTTATGTATAAGCATTGATAAATTTGGAAATTAATGTGATATTATGCTGATGTATTTGGAAAATACTGTAATGTCAAATTTTAATCAACAATGGCCAGCACTATAGCCAGGACCAAAGTGTCCTGTAAGCAAACTGCCCCTAACTTACAATGAGCCACACAACAGAAAGTACCCTAACCAACAGGGCTAAACTCATTCTAACACAGTAAATAAGTTTTTTATACATTTCTGCAGTGTTCATTCATGTGACCAATCTCTGTTCTCAGAGTACAATAGTTAGTGAATTAACAAACTGAACAAACCGACATGCCCCAATACAAAATGAGCCTCTAAAACCGCATTTACCCAAATTAAAGAAATGAAGATACAGTATTCAGTTTAATCCATGCAGCTCAATTAAAACTCTTGCTCACAGCCCTGTTGTAAGAAGACTTAGGCTGCGACAGACAGTGCTGCTCAAAATGTCATCATATCCCGAATCTGGAGGTTCCACTTGTTCTGCCACAGATAGTTTTTTTTCCATTTAACTAAAGAGGTTAAGCTCTACCCGTCTTGTGTCACTTTTCACAAGGTAACCAATCAAAAACAAGGGAGGGTAAAATTGAGCTGGAGAGTGCACACAGGGCTGTACAGGACAACAAATCTGCTCACATTTGCGATTTAAAAAAATACTCAGTTTAAAGATAATTAATAATTAATTGGCATCCTCTATATTGCCATCACCGAGGTTTGCTAAAACAGCTCAAAAAGCTTTCCACTCATAAAGATCCAAAGTGCTCCTTCCACGCCAAACGCAGCTACATTTACTTGCATGGACTGTTGTCTTTGTTTTTCAGGGTTATTTTTGTTTACAGCAGTGTTTCAGTGCCTGAACTGCTACGTGTTATGTTTTTTGTGTTTGTGTTAATGTTTTTTTTGCATTGCTAGTGATGTTTTTGAAAATTATTTGACAGGTCTCTACTTCGAGCTACTACAATACAACACTACGCTTTCAAAAAACTGGTGGAGCCAAATTGGCAGGGTGCCAGGCAGTCAGTGGTTTCTAAAGGGAAGTTACTTCTTGGGTAAATTAGAGAAAAACCATGGTTCATCTCTAATCTAAATTGCAACCATAGGCATTGCTGCAACATGGCCCCCCCTTTAAAAAAAAAAAAGTGTGTTTTTGTGATGTGATATTTATTTTTAAGAATAGTAACAGCTCAAAGCAATTCGCAGCATAAAGAAAAGAAAGGAGATACAGTGGTCACCTATGTGACAGGTCTACAGGAAACGCTGTAAGGAAACAGTGTCATTCTCGGGGGCTGCATTCTGCAAAGCTGTGAAGTGGAGAACACAGTGGCCACAGAATGTGTGCTAAAATACGTTTGCCGACACAGACGACTAGGAAGATTAAAGTAGGTGTTGAGTAAAAGATTTAAAAGCTTACAAGACGTTTTACTCTTCCAATCTATGGGTTTAAGTAAAGAGAACTAATGGTGGGTCTCATGAATGTTTTGCTTACTGATGCTTCATAATGTTCTCGACTCCCACGCAAAAAGTTACTTACTTTAGAAAAACAATCCTTTAAAGCATCTTTAAAAATAATGTGCATAATAACTTTATCCAACACAATGATAAAGCAGACAATTCTAGTGCTGTGTGGTATAATATCATCTATGATGGTATAATGTGATAATGCATTGGAGTTTTTGCCATTTTATTAGTGATGTGTCTGACAGATGAGTCATTTCAGGAGACAGGTGCAAACGGACTTGCTGAATTGAACTTTTTTTCATGTCAAGAAATCAAACTCAATCTTCCCACCTAACCAATTGTTGTGCAAAATAACAATGGGAATTACAGCACTATAAAATTGAGCTTGTGATGGAAGGGAATGTGATGGGATGGAATATTTCAGGCTCAGCTTAGACCATCTAACATTAATGTAGTTCATGGTTTTCATAAGTTAATTACACAATTTCTCTGTGATTATTGACAAAGAAAAGAATACAAAAAATTTTTCTCTGTTATGCTTAATGGACCTTGTCAAAACTATCAATGTTTTACAGAAGCAAAATTTACCAACTTTATCTCCTCAACTCCTCTTCATCATCTCACTTAATGCAACAGTATATTATTTTTATGGCTAAATAAGATGTGATGGTGTGGAAAGCAAAACAAAGCCACATAAAGACAGATAAATTATTCATTTTACCTAATATTAAATTTTATGTTAAGTTTCCAAATTAACTCTTAATGTGGAAGCAGATATACATCTGACCATGGCAAAGGTTTGATGTTAATTTAGTAATATTTGAGATGGAACTTAATTCCTAAAAAATATTAATAAAAACAAAATAATAAAAATCCATTTATAAATAATTAATAAAAACCCATTTGCAATAAAAAAAAAGTTAATATGCTATGTTGATTATACACTTTGAATTCATAGCTTGAAAACAAGGCTAAATTATATGAGAATTGTTGACAAGCAAGTTGATTTTAATTTTTCCAATTGTATTTTGTGCATTTTACGAGGACCTAATTATACGTTAACTATTAAGTATGTGGTAAAACAAGCTTTATCAGGTTTCTAAAACATTCTTTTAGCACAGGATGGCAGCGATCGGGAGTTAATTAACTATATTAATGTGAACGCAAACATCATCTGTGATATATGCAGAAATATTGTCATATTGAATCGTTTGAATATTGCCAGGCACTAAGCAATACTTACAAGGTTAATATTTTAGTTAAAATGAGACTGAAATTTCTTACTAGCAGAAGTCGTCGTTCAGCCTATTGCGGAAGTCAGAACAGCAGTATCTGTTATTGCAGGAACCACAACAGAACTGATAAAGGGGAGCAATCCTGGGACTTTTTGTATTCCCCCTTGAGGGTGTAGTAGCTATCACAGTCGTCACCTAGAAAGGAAAAGAATTTTTGCAGTTCAGTTCAATTTTACTTGTGTAACAATTTTGACAAAAAGTAAGAGTATGAAGACAAAACACTAGCTGCGTTTCCATTCACATACTTTTACACATACTTTGATAGACTGAATTAAACTGACCTGATGGAAACAGTAAGTATCAAATAAAAACGAAAATCTTTTTTGATGATAAAAAGAAATAAATTACAATGGAAAACAAACTCCAAATTAATAACACATATGTAAACGGAATAAAGTCATATGACCAATCAGGTGATTGTTATGCCCTGCTGTAGATAAGAAACATGACAGAAGGCGGCAGTTACCAGTGGACTGATGAAGGAATTAAAACATACCTTTATCTTATCAAAGGAAAAAAAACATAATACAGATAAGGTGCCCACAGCTGATCTTGAGCCATTTTGCTGTCAGTGCATTTCATCTTTGCACTTTTATGATGTGAAAATCTATTTTACAAGCAAAGGAAAGTTACCCAGCATTAAAGATTTCTCTGTATGCAGGAATTTCTCAAGAGTTTAGAGTAATATTCCCTTGTACAAAGATAATGGAACAATTAAGACATTGCAGTTATTTCCATAAATTTTCTTGACATTTGGATAGAACACTGGTTACATAGAGGAACCAAGACTCAGAAGGAGAACCCACCTAAGAGCATGAGGAAGAACCACCAAGAGGAACCAAGAGTCAAAAGGAGAACCTCCCTAAGACCATGAGGATGAACCACCAAGAGGAACCAAGAGTCGAAAGGAGAACCTCCCTAGGAGCATGAGGAAGAACCACGAAGAGGAACCAAGAGTCGAAAGGAGAACCTCCTAAGAGCATGAGGAAGAACCACCAAGAGGAACCAAGAGTCAAAAGGAGAACCTCACTAAGAGCATGAAGAACGAAGACTCAAAAGGAGAACCTTCCTAAGAGCATCAAGAATAACCATCAAGAGGAACCAAAACTCAAAAGGAAAAATTCTCTAAGAGCATGAGGAAAAACCATCAAGAGGAACCAAGAGTCAAAAGGAGAACCTCCTTCAGAGCATGAGGAATAACCACCAAGAGGAACCAAGATCTCAAAAGGAGAACCTCCCTAAGAGAATGAGGAAGAACCATCGAAAGGAACCAAAACTCAAAAGGAAAATCTCCCTTATAGCATGAGGAAGAACCACCAAGAGGAACCAAGACTCATTAGGAAAACCTTCCCAAAAGTGTGAACAAGAACAACTGGCTGCTCAAAAACCCAACAGTGAATTAATGAGTCCACTTTTGAAAACAAAGGTGCCCTCTGTGAATGACATGTGTGACCATGAAGAACAATTTCAAAGTTTGAAGAACTTCCACACTGTAACGGTTCTATACCAATTAGAGGATTTTCTTAGAACCACATGTCAAAACCAAGAACCACTTTAGGAACTTTATCAGTGTAACTCACAGTGAAAACAGATTCACTGTGAGTTACTGCATACCGAGTAGAAAAGTTAAACATGAGCAGAGATGGGCGGTAAGTAACTAGTTACATGTATCTAGGTACAAACTTGATGGATTACTACTTTGAGTATTTTGAAAGGATATTTTTACTTCTATTTACGCACGTTGGAGAGGAAAGTACTCTACTTTGTGCTCATCAACATTTAGTTGAGTTCATTCTGCTACGCTGGTGGCAGCATCTGTACTGCTTTGTGATTACTCAGACATCTGACTTTGGAGGCTCCTGTTTTCTAAGCTGACAGACGCTGATCCACTTATGAATACTGGAAGTATTTAAAGAAAGGAGAAACAGAACACCAGTAAGCGCAAGCAAAAATCTAATTAACATGTACCAAGACGTTTCACTGCAGTTCTATACATTATTTAGTGCTTAAAGTGGAATTCCACTGATTTTTCAAAATTTCTGTATAATTCAGTCATTCAGTGTAAACAAAGTAATTCAGACAGGTTTGATTTGAAATGATTAATTGTAGAGAAACCTACTGACTCAATTCTTTATGGTTCATGGTGACATGAACTAGGGGTCACCATATCTACAACGCAGATACAGCTGTTCTATTTACTTTCCAAAACCACCAGTGAACCTACACGCGTCTTCTGAATTTTTAAATGTGATGTTGATCCTGGTAAAACAGTGTTAAATCTGGAAAAATAACAGTTTTGCCTCATAACGCCCCACATGTACCCTTCTGCCATGAATGTGTTTTAAAAATGTATGTTTCAGGACAAATCCTTACCTCAGAACTTCAGTAAAAACAATGAATTCATTCCTCAATATCTTCCTAGGTTTTTTTTTCTTAAGTTTGTTCTTGAGAAAGGTCCTAATCTGATCTAGTCTACATCTGATTCATGACGTGTTCTTAAACCACAGAACTGTTTGCATCTTTGTGCTCGAGTGTGTGTAGCTTCTGTTCTTACCTAAGAACAAATCCCAAATAGGAAAACACTGGTAAATGTCAGAATCTTTGTGAAAACTGCCTAAGTGGGTTTTAAGAAGAAATTTCTTCTTAAAAACAGTTGGCGAATGAGGCCCTTTGACTCAGACATCAGGCTGCATATTCACCCTATTTCATGCAATAACTTCCTGTGAGGGAGCTTTTAGAGGTGGACGTCTGGTTCCTATCACTACCACAATTTAACAATTCTGACTTAAAGTTTTGCTAGAACGGAGAATTTCACACCAAATCACTCTCAATGACTCTGTTTACATTTTAGCCACTTAATTTTGTACAAATTTTGAAAAATGGGTGGAGTTTCCCTTCCAGCAGTTTATCTTCTACTTCCATATTTCTACTCAAAAGGACTTTCACTAAAAAAGTGATTTAATCGAAGTAAGAATACTTTGACTGCAGTATGGATTTAAGTTATCCACTTCTGAATACTAAAAATATTTAAACAGAAAACCGGAAAGCTCAAGCGAGTATGAATTTGACGTGTTACCGTACAGACTGAACTGACTGTTCTGACTTGAACCAGCCTGGCGTTAATTATTTTGTCATTATTAGCGTGATCTAATATAGATTGTAATTCTATTATTCCCGAGGCACATCCCCAAAAAGCTTTTTAATTACAGCCTAGCTGTATAAGCTTTAGCTAACGTTACCATCCTGGGGAGAAAGGAAGAGGACGAAGGAAAACGAAACCTGGAGAGCCCGCAGAGCAGGCGCCCAGCTAGCTAACGTCTGGAGGAAAGAAACCGACTTGTTTACAAGCTTCCAAACACAAAAACAAACACTTATAAATGTAACTTCAACGTATAACGAATAAAAAACCTGGTAAAACGTAAAATCAAACGAGAAATCCTGTCAGTTTTGACAGCAACGCAATACGCAATACGTTCAGTGTGTTCGTTATCAATAAACAGGGCTTTTTGTCAGACGAACGTTATTTTAGAACTGCGCGAGCGCTCGGAGAGAAAGAACAAATCCAGCTCGGACATTTAGGACATACGTCGACATAAAACATATTTAAAACCTCTTGTACTCACCAACTGCAACCGAAAAGAGTATCCCACTGAAAAGCAGAAGGACGGGGAGAGCTGTCGCCATGGCTGGACTTGAGGCGAAGACTTCCCTTCAGCGTCTACCGCAACTCCAGCTAACGCGGAGCCTGCTAATGTAATATGAGAATGGATTCCACGCCCAACCGTCACAGGGACTCTGGCGTTTTATTGTTTTTACGCCCGTATTCCGACAAATCCCACCCACTCTGCGCTACGATTGGCTCTGCCTGCTGCGCTGATTGGATACCCATTTTCACTCCGTCGTTTAAATAGGCAATCGTTAAGTAAAGGAGGCGGGTGTTGTCGGAATACGGGTGGGAAGAGGAAGAAGAAGACGAAGAAGGGAAAAAAGGGGAAGTGCCGAACGTAGGGATGGACGATACCACTGGCTTTGTTTTCGATCTGTTACCTAGTAACGCAAAGGCTAATATGGCGATTCTAGTACCGATGCTTTTAAAAGTCTATACGCGCACTTGAAATTGGGAATTGTCATGATTTCTATAGCATGCGCGGGGGGTGGGGGGGTGGCATCAGAAACATCACCATAACAATTTTAGTTAGGACTGAATTTAGGACAGTAGCGTTAGCTATCACAACAACAGTTCTTAGGTCCAAGTCCTATCTTATCCATTAACTCCAGATAGAAAACAATTTACAGCAGTATCCTAACTACACTGGATTTTCTTTTCTGTGTAGTATTTAAGTAGACACAGCCAAGCGAACTCTCCCATTGGTTGGGACTTCAGGAACTGAACTGAAGGCCTAAAGTAACAGATGAACTACTTACTTAATTAGGAAACAATAGAGAAATCAACCAGTCATGTTTTCATTTACAACGGGACCAATTTTATGAGGAAAAATGTCTCTTTAGACTATGTTGTAGATACATCACTAACTGTCTAACCAGTCCGTTGTTAGAAATGGAAAACAGTGGTGGCAGCTCTATGGCAGGCCACTTTGCTAAAAGAATCACTGTAAAACTGATACACACTAAAATATATGTTAATGTCTTTAACAAGCTTCAAATAAGACATGCGGAATGTCATTTAAAAGCTTCAGGCGCCTGTTTTTAATTTAGAACAGCCAGAAAATGTTTATGTGAATTGTGAATTAGCTCTAGAATCCCATTGGGGCGCTGACAGGAATTAGCATTATTGCAGAGGTGTTTTTTCCCCTTAGCTTTTGACATTCATGGCCCAAACTGAGGGCATAGCCTTAATGGTCACGGTTTGCCACTTATATTACTACATTTGTGTCCCTGAGGGCCAATCAAACCAAACATTTCACATGAAATCTTTTGGATTACACAACCCAACAAACTGCTGAACGTCCCATGATGTAATCAATTTCCCATAACACAGTCCAGTACAGGCTGTCTTGAAGCACCCATAAAAGGCAGAAAGAAAAAGAACAAGGCCCGGTTTACTTCCTTGACTGAAATTTCAGTGCCCTAGTTGCAAGACCACATTAAATTACAATTACCTTGCTGCAAGAACACATGAAGACTGATGAATAAAGTGTGGAATGGTTGGATTTCAGAAGCAGTAGGCCAGGGCTGCATGCTTGTAATGCTCAATGAATGGCTGTAAAAGTGTCAGTACAGTAGACTCATCTATTGCTAAATGAATAATTACAGATTCACATGATCATGGGGGGTGTTTACGTCTATTTCCTCTTCAAAAGACAAAGTAAAACTATCATCATGTGACCGGTTGTGACATAGGGCCTTAAGGTTGAGAAACCAGGGTGTAGCTGTAAAAGTATCCAGACAGCTCTTATAATTAGTGGATTAGTGGATAAACTTACGTTAAAGAGACTATATTATGCAAAATCTAATTTTCCTATTTTTTTTTTCAAACAAAAGAGTTTGATGAAGCATGAACACACTGTTATAAGTTTCAAAACATAACATTCACTCCCCAGCCCTTACTAAGGGATAAAGAAAGGCTGCGAAATGGTAATGTAAAACATGAATTCTGTTTTTGGTACATATAATCACATAAGTGTTTTCTGTGGACCCGTGGAAAAAATGAAATACAAAGTAGGTCCCCATGTCCAATGCCAAACGTGGGCTAGTGGGGTATAAAGCCCCCCAGCATTGGGCTGTGGAGCAGTGGAACTGTGTTCTCTGGAGTGATGGAGCTCCATCCAGTCCCTTTGGAATGATTTAGAGTGATCCAGAACCGACCATCCAACATCAGTAATTAAACCTTAACAGCAATTAAAATGAAAACTTCGCAATAGGACGCTTAGAAATTCATGAGGGATGTTATGGTGGCAATTTTAAAATCCAAGTTAAAAACATTGATCTCATATCTATTTTACCTTTAAGACTCACACTTTACCTTTAATAAACTTTAATAACACTTTCGTTTTAATTTCCTTTCCTCCTTTTTCTTGTACTTTATTACTTTTCATTTTCCATTTCTTAGAGCTGTTGTACTTTATCTTTTCAGCACCTTATTTTCTTATTGCTTTTCATTCTTGAGCACTTTGTCTTTAGCTTTTATGTAAAGCAAAATAAATTGACTTCGTGTATGAAATCTGCTATATAAACTTGCCTTACTGTATTATCAGTGGAGCACCCAGGTGGTGTTTACTCAGTACAAGGATTTTTTTTCTCCCTTGAAAACCATCACAAACTGTTTTCATCCAAAGGTTGGAAAGGTTTGATTATATATTTTGCAAGCCTTATTCCTCAGTTCAGATCTCACCTTCCTGCCTTAATTTTTGTCACATTTGAGTGACTCATGTCTTTAATGCACTCCCCAGAGTCTTGAAACCAGCCACATGTGCACATTATAATAAGTTCACGTGAATGACCCACGTGCATCATGATCAACAAACGAATGGAGTAGCAGCACAAGTCTTCATGCAAATAGCATTAGCTCTGATCAGCTCTCAGCAGCTCATGATTTAAAAGAGCTGGGTGAAACAAGGCCTTGTGCTTTAATGCTTCAGCAGCCAATTACTGACAAAAACTGGATGCCGATGATGAAATGTGCAACGCGGGAAAAAAAAAACCCCAAATTATAACTGATTTGACCATTACTATAAAAGGGGGCACGGCTACAAATTAGACATGTATCTGACCAAGGACCACCAGATGAATGTGGCTCAGATCTGATCAGAAAATATCAAACATAGATCCATACAGCTCTCAAAACATCAAACATTAGCATCACATTAAGGTTTAAAAAATATATAGAAACTAATTAACAAAAAAAAAAACAGGTTTATGCCACTTCATCCTAGAAGGTTCAAGGCTTGTAATGCGAACGCACGTGTAAAATTATGTAAATATGTTTAAATGATGGCCAAAACACTAAGTAAGGAGTAAGCAAAAGGTGACAACTACTAGTGCAAGTCTGTTTTTCATCACATTTAATGTTAACTAATTGTTAAAAACTACTCAAGCTGAATTGAATACAGAGAAAAGGTACAGTAGCCTCATCAGGCACAGGTACAGTATCTTGCCAAATAATAAAATCTAATAAAATGTTGCCTCAGGCTTTTAATTTGTTTTATTCAGGGTTCACAGGGACATCTCTAGGGCATTATTAACCAGAGTTCTAGCTAATGTGCAAACTTTAATCATTAATCATATGGCTATATCTTCCCCCCCCATTAACCTTTTCATTCTGAGTAAAAGGCAGTATTTTTCAGTATAAAGACAGTGGTATTGTTCTGCATTTACCATTGTTCTGGTAGAAATGAATCTAAATTCAGTCTAAACTAATACACTACGTATGTTTCCCTCATTAATTGAAAGTATAATTGTGAACACTTGCATTGCCATTTCCTCTAACAGAGCAAGGGGAAAAAATGGAAGAGTATTTGAACTGAGATAAGCAAACGCACTTAACAACGGTTTTCAACTTACTAAAGGTAACACAGCAAAAATACATTTTATTGAACAAGGCAGAAGAGCACAGTTATTTACAAAGAAACATATATAGTGGACAGATCAGAGAGAGAACACTGAAAGGAAAGAAACCTTTGAATAGATATTTCCAGAATGATTCTAAAAAACAGTTTTCATTTTCATCATGTCGGCAGTGCCCTCCATCACAATGTTTTCAATGCGTTTGTGGTACTGCTCCAGTGTGGTAAGTAGCCGATCATAGATGGCCTAAAGAAATAATTAGACATGATCAGTCTTATTACACGGATCAGCTGAACTAAAAGGCAAACTACTGCTTGGCAATGATGCACACATGCGGAAAGAGTTCAAGCTGGAAAACAGTTGCACTGTCTATAGTAGCAACAAACAGAAATGAATACCTGGGCTTTTTCACTGTTCTGGTTGCAGGTATCACGAAGCTTCTGCATCTTTTCCTTGAACTGTCTGGTTTCCGAATTGATGTGTTTAATCCGATCTACAATCTCCTCCCGTTTTTCATGGATTTTGTCATATTGCCTTGGCACAAACAAAATTTGTATCAGTAAGCACTGAGAGTAACCAAGTGTTCCTTTTTCCAAAAATATTTTAGACACAGCACTGTGCAAAAGTCAGTGACTACCCTTCATTTCACTCTTCATTCTGATATGATCAACACTGAATGTGTTTGGGATCACTTGGATTTTGAGTAGCAGAAAATACAAAACCAACTTATAAACCCCACATTTACACTTGATATTTGCAGTTTGTGTCGCTTTGTGAAATGGGAGTGACCGAGGCTGGTCTGGAAGATTGGGGTCCAAAAAAAAATTCTTCCATGTTGATGCAGTTAGCATGCAGTATCACTTGTGAATCATAAACAGTAACAACACAAATGTGAACTTAATTAGATCAGATAATTATATACTCACAACACAGTGCTACACTGATCTTTAAACCACAAAAGTAAGGTTTCTGCAAACTGACTGCATATCATGCAGCCTCTTTTTCATGTGCTTATTTATAGCCAGTGGGGAGGAAGAGCCATCTTCTTAGAAATCAAACCAGCCAAAGCAGTAGCTGTACTGGCAGAAGACACAAATGTGTGTCAAAGTTAACCAAAGTTGAATATGATTTCACACTCCAAATTTATTTTTGCTTTGGAAGTTTATGCAAATTCAATTTCGCTAGAGAAATTTGACTGGCAAACACTAGTGTGACTGGGCCTTTAGACTTTGGAGGT